CCAATGTTCATGCCAAAGAGGCTCGGATTTGAAGGCTCAGTTGTCGTGCGCGCCGGTCGAATCGATCCGACGAGAGACTCCTGAAAATCGCAGTCAAGTTCGGCAGCATCCCTTTGGCAGCACCCGATAAGGAACCAGTGACGCCCTTATCACCACGTGTTCGGCTACTTGTCAATCATTGCTTTTCGTCTCGTCATTGAGAAGCAATGCAGACTACCAATGGCGAACAGGTGACCAGAATATCGAGCAAAGAGGAGAAAGGGGACATTAAACAGCAGGTGAGATCTCTGCACTTCGACGTTGATATTTGTTCGAGTCTGGCGTAGGAGCACGAAAGAGTATATGCAGAAGGAAAAAAGGTGCAACACCACGCTTGGACAGTGTTGTCCGTGGAATCTGATCTTCCTGTTCACAAGCAGACTGGCTGCCCTTGCAAAGTGCCATTGCTTGCCCACCTCATGTTGTGCAGAGAGCGACCCAGCGCCAGCCAGTTCTGCTGGACCTGGTGTCTTCCTTTCTCATCCACGATCCCTGCCGTCCGTGGTGATCCTCGATGCCTCTTCTTTACAGTATTCTGACCTTCCTCCAACTTATGCTGTCCCTGCTCTTTCAATCTCGACTCTCCGAGTGCCGCCAGTCAACGTTGACTTTCAACCCTCACAAGTCCACACCATGACTCCCTCTTCCGTTGTGACTGCAGTGTCGTCCATCGTGTTAATTAGCCCATCCTTAACCACTTATTCTCACATAGCTAGCTCAAATTCTAATACGAGCGCGATCGCGGGCCCTCCACAACGAGCTTACCTAACCGTCGAAATCTGTATGAAATATCCAGAGGCGGCCAAGATTGTCCTCGAGACAGTGACTGATGCTATTGGTGGCCATATCAGGTAGGTATTCAGCTGAAGTTCGTTTCTGACTAACTGGAGATTCGAAGGTGACTCTTTGCGTCATGGTAGACATCCTGCTGGGGCTACCACATCGATTTTTTCGAGGCCTTGACTGAGTGGTGGTCCTTCGGAGGGGATTGCGACTGACGCGGCGAGGTGCAGGCAAGTCGAAGGCCGGTGTGACGATGGTGGAGTACAACAGACGGCAGACAACTCCAGTCGGGGATCATTCTGATTGGGAGTTGAAACATCGAGTAGAGAGTAGCATCGCGTGGATGGTTCAGGACCACCAGTCTGAGGATGCTGACGCTGGGGACAATCTGGCTTCGGAGCGAAAGGTCGCAAGGGACTGAACAAGGCAAGCTACTGGCACTCGCGGTGGACGCCAGGATATAGCAAGAGATGCTCCCATCGCGCTGTCGGTCCGTTTTTTAAGATCATATTGCCCTACCCGCCTTTTGTCATGGGACCCAACGCGCCCATGCCTTCTCGGAAGCGTTCGATGAGGTGATCGTTTCCCTCGTCATGGCGACGGGAACGTTGACAGGAACACGACTTTCATTAGTAGCTTGCAGATGCAACCATATTTCTGGTCGGCTTTCTCGCCTCGTCATTTGCTCCGACTTGCGCCTTCTAATCATTCTGATACATCCGTAGATTGTCGGCACATTCGCCACGAAGCATGATGCTGCTATCTGGACTGAGGCAAAGAAGCTGCGGACCGGCTGGTAGGACGATTCTGCGTAGATGTAGGCGATGCGCACGATCGTGATGATGATACAAAAGACGCCCAAACAGCATAATGTCCCGACCCTCAACTGTTCTGATAGAGTTCGGTGACGCACCGCAGCCAGAAGCGGGTAGGAGATGGCCAGGAGGAGGAGGTCCAATACGATGTTGGAGATCCCTTGGACGAGCAATTGAACATAAGCCTTGACACATTTGCCGGGACTCGGGTCGACCTGCCAATAGAGATGAAAAGGGTGACATTCGAGAAAGGTCGAAAGTATCACAATGATGTAGGTGACGGGTATTGCGATCCAGGTAGTCCGAATGAGCTTTGTCGTCCATCGTGCGCGAATTTCAAAAATTCGAGAGTAGAACAGTAGCAGCAAGCAGTTCTGCAGCCAGCATATAGTGGTGATCAGGAGTCGCGCGATCAATGACAAGACACTTCCAATCTTGAGGTTTTCCAGATCTTCGGCATTGAAGTATGCTGATTTCCCATTCAGTGCGTCATTCGAGGTGCCGTAGGTGAGGACGAATTGGTTAACCACCAAACGTGCGATGATTGTGACGATGGCAGCGACGCAGACAACAGTACTGATGTCGAAAGAGCCATGGTGCAGCCTCGCTGCAAATATGCGGACAATCACTATCACCAACGATAACCCTGCGCAGACCCATCCTCCAACCTTCGCTCCCTCGGACGACACCAACATCGTAGGCATAGGTTCGAAGCAGCACTAACCCATTGAGTCTGTGCTCTGCGGCTGTTGAGAGTCGTCTTTAGGCCTCCGTGTGGCGGGTGCCTCATGCGACATGCAATTCGATGCGCCGCGGCAGCATGGCCAGAGGTAGTCGTGGATCACAGGTATCGTGTAAACTGCGGTCGAGCAGGTAGGGAGAGACGGGAGGTGAGATGGACAGGGCGGAAGATGGATCTCGGTGCTGACCATCCTTGGAGTCGGACCGCGGATTTCGAGGGGAGAACTACCCAGGACAAGGAACGACTCGCTCCAAGTCTCGAGTCTCGACTCCCACCTCCCCCCCGGACCAGTGACCCTTGTTTGACGCAAAGTTGCAAGCTAGACCCCGAGCTAGTTAGCGAGTTGTCAGTGGCACGGGCCATGCTCTCTCCCACCGGCTCCTCCACGGCTGAACGCCTATGCTGCCGCACGGGGTGCATACGGCGGGGCCAACGTCCCTGAAGAGCCTGTTTGGGTTCAAGACCTTGCCCATCACGACTCCACGGCGGCAATGTCATCTCAATGCGCTCGCATCCATCTGGAAGCAGCACTTCCTTAAGGTTTATGCCACCCTCTTTTCTGAGGAAGGGTAAGCGAACACCCGAAACTTGATGATCGGGTGATAACCGGGATCCTGTCCTAATAACGTCAGAGTTTGCCGATTCGCGGAGTCCAAGGGTCTGATTGGGATATTTTGGTTCTAGTTTCGGGTCGCCAGCAAGCTCACATAATCGCCAATCCGCAGCTGCGGGCTGGACAGCAACAGCCTCCGAACTTGAGAGTGGAAAATTCACCCTATCTCTCTTCATAGCAAGAATCGCCCGCTGCTAGAAGTATCCAGTGCACCGCAGAAGCGAACATCTTAAATATTGGAGAGGAAGAAGAACGTTGGATCTTCCCAAGTAGGGTGTATCAGTCAGAAGGACCCACGCATGTTCAGTCCTTGCTGCAAAGATCGACTTGTGAGCAACTGCCGCAGAGCGCGACGCAAACTGCCGGAAAACGGGTGCTCAAGGAGCATGAATACGAAGCTTGCGTTTGTCGCACCACTGGGCTCAACGCAAAAAACTCAAGTGTAATGTTTTGCCCTTGAGTCGCCTGCCAGCTGAGTCATGGGGAAGGGCTGCCATATCACATTGACAAAAAGCTAGACCGCAACTTTCAGTCTACTCAACTCTTACATGAGGATTATGGGCTATCTTCTATGGTTCTGCTCTCCCCTTTCGAGAGGCCAGAAGCCAGGATGCCCCGGCCGAAAAAGAGATATCCAGAGTGACAGCATCATCACTCCCATCGCGCCCTTCGTAATCGGCCTTTCGGACGTTGGCCCAGCGTTTCTGCGAGGCCGAGCGTCTCCCAGTCTTCTGAGTGCTTTGACGACATCGGATCTGCCTCCAAATGCAGACTGACACGATGCGAGAAACGAAAAGTGACTGTCGCTTTCCGGAGACTTCCAACTTCGCCCGAATCTTGTTGTTATGCTTGTCTAGTTAATCAAGACACAGAGCCCGAGCACGCCGTTGAAGAAGTCGCTGGTGTCTTCGAGGTAAGCGCACCAGTGAAGTTAGAAGCTTGCCAGGCCCAGGCCCGAGTACAACAACATGGGATCAAGAGCCAGGGTCGGCGAACCTTAGAAGCAGCAAAGAGTTTGGGAGCGTGAATTCGATGCAGGTGGGAGCATTGACGTCCATCTAAGTCAATGTTTGACCACGTAACGGTGGTATGGAGGACTGCAAGATCAGCACACTCCTCCCATCACATTTGGACGTGATGTGAAGCTGAGAAGAAAGGTCGAGATTCTACAAGCAGCTATCAACGACCAGGGATCGACCCGAGAACGACCCGAGAGCAGAGTCTTCATCCTCTCATGTCCAGTGGTAAGCAACCAAAGCAGGAATATCGTCGATGTAGCACATTTCTGGCGACGTTCGCTTGCTGTTGATGATCATGGTGGACTTCGCATCCAATATCAATCTTGTAATCAATCTTGTATTGCTACCTGGCGAGAGTGTCCTACGTCGGCTCGGTGCTAAATGCTGCCCCAGACGGATGGCTAAGTCGATCTATAGACTAGGTGAAGCTGGATTGGGTGGGTTGTGACCGTAAAGAGAAAATCATGGTTTTCCTCGGAACCACTGCATAGGTAGCCTGCATAACCGTTGCTGCAACCTTTGTTCGGCTGAATCATATTTGTCCAGAAGGAGCTTGATGGACTTTTCCAGCAAGCAATTCCCATCCAAGTCCAAAAGCCTGTGCCAATGATGGTCATGTTGGGTGTGAGGGGGAGTTGAGAAATGCCGGTGCCGAATCGCGTCGCTTGTCAGGTTGATCATGCAGCTCCAATAGATTCACCCGCTCGTCAGACTTGCTTCATTTATTTCTCAGAACGCGCTCTTCGCGTCGAGGCTGCCGCGCAAAGTGCCTTCGAATCGTCGCATTCAGCAGATGTTTCTCAATCGTTTGACACTTCTCATCTGACACAACTTCATGCTTCTGCTGCTTCATATCGACTAATCCTTCCAACTTCACGACGACCTTCATAGCAACCCTGCACATGGCATGAATCGCAACTGATCTTGCATTACCTCGACCACAATGGCTGCCCTTTCAGAAGAATGTAAGAATTGCGAAGGTGTTGATCATGAACCATATTGATAGATTCACAGTCACGGTCAGCGCGAATGAGGCTGTGCATATTTCGATTGTCCAACCTGGAACGGATGACCAGCTCAGTACGCGACACAACTTCCATCCCGAGTTCACATATCCCATTGTCGGCGAGGCCGAACAGATCTTCGGCTATAAAGGTCTAGATGTTGAGATTCAGTTTGCAGCGCACAACCTACAGCCGCATATCAACATCTCATATGAGAAGAAGTTCGAGACCGTCGGCGCAACAAGCGCGCTCGATTTGAACCAAAAGTTCAGCGATTTCCTACCACCCACGGCTTTCGAGCGAGGATTCGAGTCGCTGGTGCAGAACGACCCAGACGCAGCAGCATGGACACCGCCCGGCGAGTGCGTCAAGAGGTACACAAGAGGTGGTGAGAACTACGAAGTCTGGGCTGGCTCGTTGCTCGAGATGCCCATGCGAACACTGGTCGACAACATCCAGATCTTGATTGTCTTCTTCATTGAGGGCGGACAGTTCATCAACCTTGAGGATGTGGATTGGACCCTAGATAGATGGAGAGTCTATCTCACATATCACAAGGCATCGAAATCGCCTACACCTCACGCGTCTCCATACTCTTTCGTTGGTTATGCGACAACCTACCGCTTTTACAAATTCCAAAAACCAGCCAAGGGCCATGTCCCCATCTCCTTTCCGTTCTCAGAAGCAATCACACCCAACAAGCTCTCTTCGCGCCTTCGGATATCACAGTTCTTGATCACTCCACCCTATCAGAGCTCTGGTCATGGCTCGGCACTTTACCAGGCAATCTACGATGAGGCGATGGCCGATCCCACCATCTTGGAACTGACAGTCGAGGATCCGAGTGAAGAATTCGACAAGTTGCGCGACATGAATGATTACGAGACTCTGAGACCACAGTTCGAAGCCGCTGACATCAAGATCGACTCTTCCCCCTTCACCAGCCTGGAGCGCGGTCGGCTGAAGAGGATACCAACCACAAAACTCCTTCCTCTTGACCAGCTACAAGAGATTCGGACCAAGAACAAGATCGCAAGTCGTCAATTCGCCCGCATGGTTGAGATGTATCTTCTCGCACAGATACCATACTCGAGACGAGCGGCAGGGGGTGCATCACTCACTAGTCTCAAGGTCCGAGGTGCTAGGAATCCCAATGCCGATGACCGAGCGTATTACTGGTGGCGGCTGTTGCTGAAACAGCGCATTGTAAAAAAGAACAAAGATGTGCTCATGCAAATCCCGCTGGAAGACCGACACCCACAGATCGAGGACAGTGCTCGTGGTCAGGAAGATGAGTACGAGGGTCTCATAATGATGTATGCCCTGAGAAAAGACAAGGAGGCGCATCGGCATGGGAATGGAGCCTCTTCGTCTTCGACAGCCCGAAAGAGGAAAGTTATCGATGATGAGGAGGACGAGGAGGACGACGAAGCGCTGAATGGCGATGACTCCGCATCCAAGAAGGCTAAACTTGGATCCTAGGAGGACCCGCAGACCTATGTTGACCTGCGCGCAGCCTTCGGGACGATGATCCAAGTTCGGAGGCCGCTCCCACCCAGGAATGTAGCCCTCAGTGACTTGGGCGTGCTGAGATTACGTTGCTGTCGACGAGGATCGTGAGTGGGAGATGGAAACGAATAGCGAAATCGTTCTGTGGTAGAGAACGGTCTCCCCGATGTGGAGCATGGTGCCGTCGCAAGCTGAAGAGCCGCCGAATGCTGATGAATGGGCAGCTCATCGAATGTAATGTTTGACCGAGATCTCGGAAAGGAGAGGTGCTCTTGCACTTGTGGCCACGAACTCCCTAGACTCCCATTGTAGCGCGATGATAGCTCACGAATTGAAGACGCTCTTCCGCCTCTTCGTCGGCAATGTCATGTTCGTCTTCGCCCAACGTGGCACCGTCTTCCCACATCATGTCCAACTCTTGATCATCATCGCCCGATACCGTCCACACACTCTCCCGCAATCGCTTGTTGCGCTCTCGGTCCTCTTCGATTCTCTGCTCGATGGCTCTTTTGTCGATCTTGGAGACCCCGTTCGGTTTCCCTGAACGTTCCGCGCCCGTTCGGGGGGTCGCTTTCTGGCTTCCTTCCGGAGCAGGGCCATCTGCAGTTGCGGCCTCTGTGGCGTCTTCGTCCGCCCCGGCTTCGGCCTCGTCACCTAGCAGTTTGCCCAATCTCTCCTCCTTGTCCTTCAACCCGGTCTCGATACTGGTGATGGTGTCGGCGGAGAGCACGCCCTTTTCCCCGAGCCCCGTCACCACCCGTCGCACCACCTTGACGTTCGCGCCACTCTGCGCCACGGCGTCGATGATGCGCAGAATGTCCCGCTTCACCATCTCGATGTACGCGGCGTGTCCGCCCTCCTTGAGATTGAGATCGGCGTGGTGTTCAAGAAAGTACATGATGTTGGCTTTATTGTTCATGTTGGAATTGTGGCCCCGCTCGAGGTTCTCCAGGATGCAAGAGTGCAGGTCTTCGTCCATGTCGCGGTGTTTCAGGGCGTAGTGAGCCGTCTTTATGCTGGCGGTCGCTGACGCGGAGAGGTGGGAGAGCAGGTTCGTGAAGCGCATGCGGACTTCGAAGGGGTCGGCCATGCTGGGCCTGCCGATGCGGGAGAGAGGACTGTAGCTGAGGCTTCGTTGCGTGATGGAACCACTACAGATGAGATTGAGGAATGGAATTTGCAGGGTCCGCCGTTTCACATCGTGAGGTGGAATGGATGGAAATGGATGCTGTAGCCAACAAGATGAAGCACAGTGCTCGCCCGCTGCGCTTCAACTCGGAGGGATGTTCGCGCGACAGTCAATATTCAACATGCATGTCAAAACGTGCACACTGGCTCCGCATCACACCAGGACGTTGCGAGCGCGGTCATTGGTGTGCCTTGCAGACGGATTTGAGCGACGATCATGTCGACCAAGGTGGGAGGAGGCTGTTCACTGCTCTCCGCCTTTCGCCTTTTCGAAATTTATTTTTTGGCATCCCCGCATTTGACTTCTCACTCCTCTACAAAGTACGGAGTACAGCATCAGAGTAAGCAAGTAGTCGAGGGGGGAAAACAACGCGCTACCGAGCCCTGAACTTGTATCTGCAGCCCAATTCCGTATATTTGGTTGCCCCAAAGATGGCGACCGTCCTCCGAGCGCCCAACGGCATCAACGGCGACTCATCCAACGGGATGACTCTGACAATCCTAGGATGCGGTGGGTGCTCAAACTCCGCCCTCGCGTGACCAGCTCACTGACTTCCCAAAGGTACGCTCGGTATCGCCATCCTCAGCGGTATCCTCTCTTCCCTCAGCGAGTCCACGGTGTCCCACGCGCCCTCCCCCGCCTATCCCGACTCCGGCACCGCGACACCCACCACCGAAGCCCCCTCGACCCCTCAACGCACTCCCACAAATTTCATCGCCTGCGTCCGCCGCCCCGAGTCCGCCAAGCGCATAAAACTGGCAGTACAAGCGTACCGACCTGCGGTGACGGTCTTACAGAATGAAAACGTCAAGGGTACGCAGAATGCTGATGTTGTGATCCTTGGCTGTAAACCATATATGGTCGGAGAACTCCTCCGCGAGGATGGCATCAAAGAAGCGCTGGCCGGGAAACTCCTGATCTCGATATGTGCAGGCGTGCCTGTCGAGCAGATCGGACGTGTCCTCTACGGCGAGTCATACCCCGAAAATATACCCAGCAAAGCGTGTCGCATTGTGAGAGTCATGCCCAATACCGCGGCGATCGTGAGGGAAAGCATGACGGTCATTGCGAACCCGACGCCATCTTTGCCGGCTGAGTTGTCAAGTATTGTGGAGTGGATATTCACGCGGATTGGACGGGTGGTGCATCTTCCGCCCAGTATGATGGACGTTAGCACCGCGTTATGTGGGTCTGGGCCTGCGTTTCTGGCACTCATGCTCGAAAGTCTCGCTGATGGGGCTGTGGCGATGGGCTTGCCACGTGCGGAAGCACAGTTGATGGCGGCGCAGACAATGCGAGGGACGGCGGGCATGGTGTTACACGGCGAGCATCCTGCTCTGGTGAGGGAGAAGGTGTCAACCCCAGGAGGGTGTACAATTGGAGGACTGCTTGTGCTGGAAGAGGGCAGGGTCAGGGGCACCGTCGCCAGGAGTGTTAGGGAGGCCACTGTTGTGGCGGCGCAGCTGGGGAAAGGCGTCAGTGGTGTCAATGGCACGAGGTTTGAGAGACAGTGAATAAGACAAACGACGACAAGGGCGTCAAGATGGAGATGCTGCCTTCGAGAACCGTCTATCTCTTCCTTCCTCTCCAACCGAGTATCTGCGGCTTGATCCTGCGTTCCACTAGGGCAGCAACTATTCGCTAACCGAATCAATAGCCAATCGAAGGCCATGAGTGCGGGACTACTAACCCGGCAACGACATAAATGTCGATTCATATACCAGGTACCAAGTGACTGTGAGGGCAAGTTTTTCAGTCGGGTCGCAAGCCCAGCAGTCAGGGGTCTGGAATTGTCGTGTTTAGACCGGGGTTGCTATCTCTGAACTGACTTAGTTGGGAATAACGGCTGGATTGAGAGCTTATCGGCCAGCTCCACCCGTCTTTGTGAGGTCTCTATAGTGGTACGGGCGTTGCCTATCAAATCGAGCTTGTTTGCCTTGACGCGGGAATTGCCACTTGCTCGACTGAGTAAATAGGACGACAACATCTCCAAGCTAGGGATAGCTGATGTTCCCAGACACCTACCAGGAAGCAAAGTATGGGATCGCAAGTGCAATCAAGTCAACCGCGGATCCGTGGACCGAACAGCTGATCCCACCGTGCTTCGAGCGTAGCAGTTCTCTTTCGATATTGTTCGTGACAGGGATGTCACGAGCCAGGAGGCTATGCTTCGACATTGATAACGGCGTGATCATGGCGAATACCTAGGTTTGGTAGAAGATGGACTCGCTAGTCCTGTGTAGTTGTTGTCACTTGGGTCTATGCTGTTAGACAATCCCATACCCAGCAGACCCGGTCGGATTGTTAGGCACGGCATGAAGGAAGATGTTGGCTCATGATCGGGCGAATCCTTTCTCCTTTGACCGAGGGTTCGAGGTCTGATTGATGAAATAGGTACCTGCGCTATCGCTGAACACCCTTTCTAGCAAGCTCACCAGAAGTGGACAACTTTGGTCTTCAATCAACCGAGCACAGGGACGACCATCTGTCAATACTGGTGGAATACTGTACCGCGTATGTTACCGTCCCAGTTGGTCAAGCCCCAGCATGCCCTGTCAATTAGAGCATTATTCCTGCAAGCCTGGGCCAGACAAGTGTTAGTGTGACGAGAGACTTTGGTTCCTCGAGTATGATCGGGACCTGGGTGTCCTGATCTTGCGCACATTGCGCGGCGTGTCTGCAAGAGCCATGAGTCAGGCTGAGTTCTCTTGTGAGTGAGCAACCAAAGCTTGATTTGTACAGTCTCCCTATTGAGGCGCTCTTTTTACCAAGCCCTAGTATAAGTACAATATCTTCCAATGAAGGGTCTCACATTGATACTGGGATACCGGAGTAGGCAGATGAACAGTCGACACGCCGCGTGCTGCCAACTTTTTTTTCCAACCATCTTCCGGACACCATGAGCCATAATGCAGGTGCTATTCCGCACCATCATCGCAGATTTCCGGTAGGGCGTATGCGGCAAGCAGTCCCAGCGCCTCTTCCGCGCGTCTATCCTCTTCACCCATCCTCCACCCTCTGATCTTTTCACGACATTGAGACAACGGCGCCCAAGGCTTTCATAGCCGCAACAATCTTCTCTGCCTCCTCCTTCGGTACACCCTCCTTCATCTGCTTTGGCGCGCTCTCCACGAATTTCTTCGAGTCAACAAGTGACAGGCCGAGCAGGCCCTTCACCTCCTTGATGACCTTGGGTTTGGCAGCTGCGTCGAATGACTCAAGTTTCAACGTGAACATCGTCTTCTCGGCGGGTGCAGGCGCTGCTTCTTCGGGCTCTGCCTCGGCGGCCGGAGCTGCTGCGCTGCCTGCAGCAGAGGCTGCTGCTGGAGCAGCGAAGGCCATGTCGGGAATGTTGAGCCGGGACTATGGTAGAAATGTAAGCAGGTGGGTAGGTAGTATAAAACGAAATGCGCGAGCGACGGTCTGGCTTGCTGGTCTGCACCATGTTCTCCTAACGTACCTTCAAGCTCGCAACCAGATCAGCAGTCTCCAGCAATGTCAATTGAGATATTTGGTCCACGATTCCAGCTATCTTAGGGTTCGTAGGAGCAGCTGATGCGTCTGTTGACTGCCATCTTTTTGACTGCTTCAAGTTGTTCCTTCGTCTCTGCTGGTTTGTAGAGCCTATGGAGAGTCGGAGACATTGAGAGGAGAGGCTTCGCTTTTGCGTTCGAGCTGCAAGCTGGCAGCAACGATACGTCGTGGAGGGTATTTGTGAAGACATATCGTGTCTGAGGGCGAAGGATGAGACTCCGAGAGGAGTAAGGAGGCTTAGATGAACTCGTGATTGTGACTGCGTGGATTGAATAAAAAAGTCTCCATGGTCGCGCGACGAAATGCATTGAAACTGCCAAGTCAATCACGTGACTTAGAAGGAGCGAGTCTGTGAGGACGATTCGATCGCGATCAACCTTCTCACGACTCATCACTTAGCAGAGCTGGATCATCAGGATCAGTCAAACATCAAGTGAACGGGGTTTGGTATACAGGATTCACCTGTTCATCTTGCTTCGTAGCTCGAAGTGTATGCGATGACTTGCGCTTGCTCACGAGTTTCGCTTTCTCGCTGACCAGGCGTTTCGCACCCGCTTCAATCTGGCAAAAGCCCAAACATGGATGAAGTCCCGGTTTTCAGAGGCGCGAAGCGCAGAAAGTTCACCCGTCCACGGGAGGACACAACGCCCGGCTCCGCACAGCAGCCGTCAGCTTCTACTGGCGACGAGATTGCACAGCGGTCGTACGAGAGTAACGACAACGATCAGGAAGAAACTGGCTCTAGAATTCCAACCCTCATACGATCAAGGAAGCATATCCGGAAGCCTGTTACTGGTGTTCAGTTCACAAATATGAAGGCCGTTCATCAAGAAAACACGTCAACAGAGTTGGTGAGATCTGACGAGAGCGAAGCCAAACACATCGACATCACGGACCGCTTCGTTGGTAGCACCGGTCAGGCAGTTAATGTCGATCAGCATATGTTCGTGCCCCTAGCAACCTCACTCTTTGGTCTTGAATCCAGCTGGCTAACGAGATAAGGGTTGCGTTCATAGATTCAGAATTAGCTAGAAGACGCAACACACCTGTTTCTAGCTTCCAACCACTTCCAGCCGACGGTACCGAGGAGGATACGACTGTGTCCAACGACCGAAGTCCTACGAACGAGAAGAAGTCTTCAGCCAATCCGACCGCTGCGCGTCAATTAGCCGAAGTTGACCTGGGGAAATCCGCCCACCACCTCAATCTCGCCCGTACACAAGCTGCACTCGAGCGTGTCAAGGCAGGTCAAGCTCCCATCGAGGATGATGTCAAGCCTCCAAAGCCTCGAAGACCGCGTCTTGGCCGAGACGGCAAGCCAATGAAACCACGACCGAGGAAGCGAAGGAACAGCGAAGACCTTGCTCGTGATGCCCTTGTCGAGCAATTCCTGCACGAGAACAAGATCGACATCTACGACACGAGTACACCAGAGCCCACGAATGTTACGAGGCGCGACGGGGGAGGTGGAGAAGTCGGTGACGCCGATGATGACGAACGCTTCGCCGAGAGGTTTCGCCAGGAGTTCATGGACGCAATGGCAGAGAGGAGGAGTAAGGCCAAATCTGCCACTCAGACGAAAGGTGCCACGGCGACGGAATCAAGGGGTCCGAAGCTGGGAGGCAGTCGGAGCGCGAGGGCTAAGATGGCGCAGATGCAGCAGCAGCAACAGCAATCAGGGGCCTCATCAAGCAAGAAATGAAGAGTAGGCACAGACTTAAAAGTCTGACTGCCATGAGCGTGAACGATTTCTTTCTTGACGCACTGGCATTGGAACGGGGTCCATATCAGAGCACGCTTAAAGCCATACAGAAATACTTTGGCGGAGTTGGAAAGATTTCCACTGGAACTCCGTCCAGATATCAGTCTTCAAACAGAAGCTGGCGCAATATGATGGTTTAATGGCTGCTATGCTCGGAGAAAGCACTAACAAATTGACGGATACACGCCATTGATGCAAGAGCACCCAGGACAAAATCAAACGCTGAGTGCTCAGACATCACTTTGTCCTGGCTTTGTCTTCGAGTTCAAAGGACGACAAGCTGCAAAATTGACGCCCTCTAACTTCGCAGTCAGTCACCGCTGCGGGTCTCTTCTTCTCCGCAACCTCGCACAAGGCAAGTGGAACGATGAAAAATAAAGATTTCAGTCCTGGCCAGAAGGACCAGAGCTGAGAAGGAGGCAAACAAGATTTGTCACCGGTGGTCGTCAAGGGTCGTTGTACCACTCTGCAATAGAGTATGCCCTAAGGTGGGAGATGCCTCTAGGCACGGAATTGCGCTAGAGAGGTCGGACATATACCTAGACCACCCTTCGGTATATGCTCCTGGTTGAACATTCCTGGAGTGCCATCATCGAGAAAAACAGCTTTGGGAGAAAAACTGCAGGACTTTTACATCCCATCCCCACGAGCCACTGACATCCTCGGCCACATCTCCTCTGACCATGCCAGGGACCCGATCGGATGATCCGTCCCTGTGGGTACCATCGAGGTAAATACCGGAGTCCCAAGTCAAGCTGTATAAAAGCAAGGGGACGGCAGCGTGACTTAACCGCAACGTGACCTAGTCAAAATGACTCCCAAAGGCGGGGACAGACCCAATGAGTTGAAGTTCGATTTGTCTTGCGGTCAGAGTCAAGATCTGCTGGCGGCAAGATGGGCACCTCTCCACAACAACAGACAGAAGTGTAAGGCCTGTGTTGCACAAGGGCGAGTGTGAGCCAAACACTTCGTGGCGGAGCGACGAGAGCACAGCAGAAATGATCTGGGAGGGTATGGAAAAAGAGAAGTAAATTTCAGGAAGAGATGGTATTTGTAGTCGGGAGGATGGGCTGTCCTCTGGACTTGTGACTTCTTAGCTGTGTGGTCTGTGCGCGAACCGGGCAGATCAGTGCTGAGGAACATCATGATTGGGATTTCATTGCTTTCTGCTTGGCTAGAAGTGGAGCGATTCGACATGGGCTGGTCCGTGCGGCAGCAAGAGAAACTTTTGCATGCGGACCACCGTCGAAAAGATCAGACGACACTTGAGCAGGATCATATGCAAAGGTGGACGACCTGAAGGGTCTTGGCCGGCCTTCAGTGAGAATGATGGCTACTGTCCACGTTCAGAAGGGGAATATTACACAAGTTCGAGCAAAGCACAGCAGAATAAAGGTCAGGAAGTATACGCTGATCGACGTGGCCAATGATGCAATGGACTGGCAGTGAGGTCTTGATCATGGAGGAGGGAGCATGATCCACACAATCGTGTTGCCGTCAGCATTTCGCGAGAGGCCTCGAGTCTAGCAGCATCCAGCTACTCCTTACTGGGCCTGTTCCATATGCAGACAAGCAAAAATGAAGGTATGCATTCGGAGCTCAGGTGTCTGATCAGTAAGGAGAGAGGGATTGCCCCAGCCGTCTACCTACCGGATTGATGAGATGCAGAGTCTCGCCAGACATTGAGGATGAACAGACTAATCCCTGTCCTGTGTTCCGCTGAAGCATTCAGTTCATGATCAGTATAGAAACGGATTGCCATCAGGAGGGAGTGTGTAATGGAGAGCCGAAGCTGAGACAGTGTGGGCAACGTTCTCCTGTACTTGAAATGATATCGATGGCGGGAAGCATGACACCGCCGTCGACCGGACCATTCCTCCATCCATCAGCGACGACATCATTCTGCCGCACCACCACAGAAAATTCAAGCCTGGTCGTCCTGCAACTTCACTTTCGTCTTGGCGAGAGTATCCTCACACACTGTTCATCTCATCTTCTTTTCAGAAATCGTTGTCTTCCTTCTCTCCTCTCCTCTCCTCTTCCTATTTCTTCTTCTTCATACCACCACCTTCTCTTGAGGCGTCGATGCTTGCATCATCGACTCATGGGAAGAGAAGACTGGTCCTTTGGACTTTGTCTGGCTACTTGCCACAATTTTTTGGAACACTCTCCCCTTCCCCTACCACTTTGAACTGACTTCTAGCTGATGAGACTGCAGAGACCAGTGACTTTGAACGGCTTGGCAACGAACTGACGGTAAGCTCACGAGATACTCGAGGTCGAGTCTGACTGACTTTCTAGACACGATCGACAATGACCGTTACGAGGTCCGATTCGCACGAACCGCCGACGACCGCCACGAGATCCGAACGACCGTTCCCGCCACCGATGACCACCGCCGACCGCCGCCGCCGACCGCCACGAACCCTCAATGACCGCTACGAGGTCTCATCGCGACGAACCGCCGATGACGCCGAGCCTTCGAGTCGAGACGCGAGGTAAGTCTCACCCACGTCTCATTTTACAGTCACTGACATCTCATGTACATTCTAGAGACAGGTACTGGTCTCCACAACGCAGTGTGTCCTTGTGGTGGCGTCGTACGGACGACGTTCAGGTGAGTCATCAACTTCGAAGAATTCTTGTCCATGAGTGAGACGGAGCTGACCTGAAATTAAAATCGTTCAGGTTCAGACTGGTGTGGTGGGAAAGAAAGTCGAGTGATTTGAAGTTCGAGACGGGAAAGGTCAACAGCAAGTCAGCGGCAAATCAACGGCAAACTCAACAGAAACTCAACAGCACCTGGGAGTCACCATCGGAGGATCAGCAATAGGTGGAAGTCAGAACAGTTCAACAGTCAGGCACATGGACCCCGATCTGAGGGAAACATCAAGGGAAGGAAATGCAGGTACAACATCTCAAGTCTCAATCAAAGGCCAGCCAGTACACACAAGAACCTGCAGGCGAAAAGTCACAACAAGTTGGAGAAGAACAGCCAAAACCAAAAGAAAAGCAAAGAAAAGACGCCCAGAAAGGAAGGCCACGACATGAAAGAAAAAAAAATCCAAAAGGCCACACTATCAAAAGGCCAAAGTGCAGAGTCAACAAGCACAAAGATAGCACCACAGGGATACATCAATCCATTATGTAGTGAAGTCAGGCAGAGCTATGGGTGGGGCGGGTTTTGTGACCGTTGATGTGGACAAGCTCGGCGGCAGCGGTGGTGAAAGAAGGATATCCTCGATGTGATCTGGTACCTACGGAAGGAGGTTGTGGTGGCAATGGTGGCAGAGACGAAGGGAGGGGAAGGGAGAGCAAGGAAGGGTGCTTGTCCGAGTGACACCACAGAAGAACAAGAGAGAAACAAAGAAAAAGAGAAAAGATCGAAAGAAAAAAAAAAGGAAAGCAAAGATCAAAAGTCGAAATCAACACAAATCAACAACAAGATCAAAGTCAAATGATCAGATCTCTCATCCACAAGAACCTCCGACAATGTCGAGAGTGAGAGTATCAAAGGCCATTCTCGAAAAAGAGAGAAGAAAAAAGGCCAAGAAAGAGATAGTTAGACCTGGGATAGAAAAGAAACACGAGCAAGAGCGGGAAAGTCAGATATGGGAAAGCTCTCTGCGTGGAGGATGTAGATAGCAGGGCCACGAGGACAAGCACCCTGGTGGAGTGATGTGGAAGGGTGGAGGTTGAGAGTTGAGATGGAAGGGAGGAGGACGAGATGGAAGGGAGGAGGACGAGATGGAAGGGAGGAATTTGGCATCAAGCGGAGGGCAAGATGGCACAGATTACAGGGTACTTTCAGTCTCAGGCCTTGTGAAGGGATGATTAGGAATCAGGATTGTTCAGAACTCAACTTAGGGGCGATCAAAGTTGTGATGGAATATGTACTGTACTCGATGATGGATGGAGAGACGGATTGGATTGATGAGACCCAGGCATGGGAATGGATGTGCATGGAATGGGCTTGATTATGGCGGCGGTGGCGGCAGAAGTAGAACGAAAGGTAGCCGGGAAGACAAGCGGCGGAACTTACTTACTGGAGGACGGTAGACTAGACCAGATGAGACTCAACGAGATAGAGACAGAGACAGAGAGTGAGAGGTCGAGCGGGACTTGATGGTAGGAATCCCTGGGAAGGAAGATACATTAGGTAGACATGAACATAGATATGTACGAACAAGAACAAGAACAAGAACATGACACCGACAAGAACATAATCAGAATCCACATCCACCATGCATGCATGCCATGGCAATGTGAAGAAGACTGGACAATCAGAGATGAGGTACACATCTGGTATCGAATGTCGCAAGTCAAGTCACTACGTGGGTGGACCTGTACGTATTCTAGGGCAAACCTCAAAGCTCGAGTTTCAATGCTCGAACTCAGAGCTGGGAAAGCTGGATGATGAGGCCAACCAGTCAGCGTAATCGTAGTACATATTGCACGCACAAATCGATCATCCAAAAGTGTCCTCTCCATGACTTGATACGCGAGGACTGTGTTTCACGCGGCCGAGAATACTGTGAGGCCTATTCGGCGACACGGACACGGACGAGGAAGAGGGCGCGGGTATTCGTTCACATTGACTGACTGTACATTACTCTGAGGGACAGGTCTTTCGCCGCCAACTCTCCTCGAGCCTGCTTCTATTGCTGAACCATGACCCAGACTCTGCCCCATTCACATCCTGACAGCCAAAGAGACACAAGGGATTAACGCGTCGGGGAATGTACATGGAGAAATAGTCGAGAGAAAGGTGACACCTCGACATCGAACGGCGGCAAGGATTTGAAGCGTCTCGCCTCCTCGACGTGGATAGATTGAGACTCCTCCAACGCCTTCGCTAGCTGAGAATGAAAGTCCTGCCACTGCGAACTGCTGGATAGTCGACAGGAAACGCTGGTGTCGCATGTGAAGATGATTGTCGGTGGCTCCAACGATCGGTTCGCAGGTAGCTTTCCGTAGGTGACGGTAACGTGGCTGGTCTGTATCCCGTACTCTTGGCGACTGAACCCTAAAAGACTATAGGTCTCCTGGATTGTATGGTGTTAGAAAATTTGTAGATGTTTTCTGTCGCGTCTACTCGTGTCTTGACTCAATCGACGCCAGCGTAGAGGTCGACGACGATGTTGATGGCACTGGAAGAAGATTGTCAGCAATTGCATCATCCTTGGTGACAAGAAGACAAACTTACGCAACAAGGATTTCCGCCGCGATAAGAATGATGACTGTTGGCTGTCAGCGGCGCGGCCGACAGCAGGTTCGAAAAAGCTTACCGATCCACTCTAGAACCTCGCCATGTCGTCGACTGCCTTGCTCCCTCAGGACCGCGAGCAAGTCTAGCTCAAGTTAGTCGATGTTCTGGATGTGAATTTCACCCCGATCACGTCTGTGAAGGAGCAGATTGGACTCACCAGCAATCACATCCAACCTCTCGGTCAACAAGCCTACCCGCTGTTCAATCTCCAGGTAACTCCTGACAGCAGCATAAACCGGCTCAAGATGCGGTTCTGCCCACATCAGTTCCGGGCTATCCAGGACAGATCCTTGCAAATGAATGTTGATCCTCAAGATGAACAGCTCTCCAATCTGCATATTTAGCTGTCTTCTCGTCAAGTTGACGCTACCGGTCTGCGCAATAAGCGCCGGCAGAGGGCTCGTCGTCTCGATCGTCTCGCTGACGAGATCCTCAAACAAGCTCGTCTTGACAGATTGTGACAGGGCATGGGAGATGGCCAGCTTGGTCATATAATTCCGCGGGTCTCGCAACGAGATGAAATCGTTGTAAATCCGTGCTTGATATTCTTTTGTGTAATAGAAGTTGAAGTTCTCGGTCTGAACTGACTCGGTGGGCAGGGGAGCGTCGCTGAACTTCGACATGTCGTGCAAGAACCTTTGTTCCTGTTGAACGGTCATGCCCCAGATAACAACAGTGCCATAGTCGAAAATGAAGATTTCGGGGGTGTGAACAGTGGTGGAAAGCTCGGAAGTCGATCGATCGTGCATTTCGTCACCGTCGGGATGGCGCAGGTCGGTGGAGGAACGGGTGGCGACGATGGCCAGCTCTTCGAGTGTTCCGGGTTCCGTGGGGGTTGCTCCTGCTGGGGGACCCAGTTCATCTTGCAAGTCGATAAGGTTTTCCCTTCGATGTTTGTTGTTGTCTTCGACTTCGACGGCGCTGTCTGAGAACCTTCTTTCTCCGGGACCCATTCTCGGGGATGCCATCACTCGTGCCAGCCGCTCTTGAACTGGACTGGAGCCACTCTCGCTCCCCTTGTTCTTCTTCAGATATTCGTAGTCGTAGGGGCTGTACAGACACTCGTCGAACAGTTTGGGGTTTGCACCTCGGGTCCTGGCTCTCGACTTCATGAATTTCATTATGCCTTCCAGACGGTAACCTTGGGCCATACAGTACGCAGTCACACGAGGTAGTCTGTCTCGGTCTGCTTTGCCCAGTCTCGCGGCGTCCCTTCTCGCGGTGGGATCTTTTATCCTGGTAAACTGTGCGTATACATCTCTGCCACTCTCCTCATCGGCCTCCTCCTCCTCTATGTCGGGATTCGGTAATATCTTCAACTTTTCTGTAGTCTTCGTCGTTCTCTGTGCGCCCGCCCTCGGGGCACCACTGAATGATTGGGTGGTAGGCAAAGGAGCTCCATGACTATTTCTTCGGCGTAGTTTTGAGTTGAAAGCACTGAGCATCGGCTGTTGCTCCCGGACCGCTTGACTTGAACTCGTCAGTGCGGAGGAAGGACTTTGCGAGGGCCTGAGAGCGGCTGACGACGTAGCTCCGGACTGTGTACTGACAGACGTCAATGGGTTGAATGTAACTGTCCGCGAGGCACGCAGGCCTGGACGCGAAGGCGAGCCGCCGGGCGAGTTATGCTGCGGGAGCAACGGCGACGACTCGCTGACTGTGGTCGCCATGATCTGGGTCGGTCCACGACCTCGCTGGATGCACAGGTAAGACGATCGTAAGGCCAACGCACAGAGCTGGACAACGCTACCTCGGTGCTTGTGAGTGGCGGAGTTGGGAGGATGCAGTTTAGACGGTGGTGTGTTCAGGTACAAGACCTGGACCACGCCATGGCATCATCGCCTCTACCTTTGACTTTCCATCTCCGAGCTCTACCAGGATCGCACTCCGCACCTACTTATTACATAAGGCGCCGCTGCCACGTGCAAATGGATCGCAGCGACACGACAGACCGAGCTACAGTTCTGCCACCTTCAAGGAGCTGAGGCAAGACGCAATTCATTCCATCCTTATGCTAGCCGCAAGAATAAACTACTGAGACCTGCTAGATGTACAACTTCCTAGAAGGCCGCTTTTCCTCCCGCCCCGATCCCCGCTGCCAATATCACAAAGCCAAGGTGAAAGGAGCACTCAGTAGTAGTAGGTCTCGTCCGGTGTACGCCCCCGCAGGTAGGCCGGCTCGCTGCCACGCACATAGATATCCTCAAATAGGATCTTGGGGGTCGGCTCTGGGACGGGCATCTTCTCCGCCTCCGCAACCTCGCTGTCAACATCCTCCCTCGCCTTCTTGTCAATCTGCTTGAGCTCGTCCTCGGTGCAGACGCCCCAGTCGAGGATCTTCTGCTTGAGGCCGGCAATGGGGTCGTTGGTCGATCGCATCCGCTGGATTTCTTCTCGGGTTCGGTATGTCGTGCCAGGGTCGGACATGGAGTGGCCACCGTATCTGTAGGTGACGTATTCATACACCAGAGGTCCCTTCTCGCTGGTGGTGTATTCTCGGCCATACTGCACTGCTGCCTTCACAGCAAGCACATCCATGGCGTTGATCTTCAAACCGGGAATGTATTGTCCTCGCTTGTAGTACTCGGTCAAGGCGGACGATCGAGCCGCAGAAGTGCCCATCCCGTACTTGTTGTTCTCGCACCCAAACATGACGGGCAAGTTCCACAGCTTGGCCATGTTGAATGCTTCGAAGACCTGGCCTTGGTTGGAAGCGCCATCGCCGTACAGAGCCAATGTCGTGGTCTTGCTGCCGGTGTATTGATGCGCGAAGGCAATACCAGCGCCGACCGGGACCTGCGCTCCAACGATCCCGTTGCCGCCATAGAAGTTGGGCGCAAACATGTGCATAGACCCTCCCTTTCCGTAGGCGATGCCCTCTCGTCGCCCGAGGAGTTCACCGATGATGGACTTGACTGTGCCGCCGCGCATGAGGGCAAAACCGTGGCATCGGTAGGCGGTGATTATAGCATCGTCTCGAGTGATGGCGTGTTCAATGCCCACGGCGACGGCTTCTTGGCCGGTGGACAAGTGGCAGAACCCTCGGATCTTCTTCTCCTTGTAGAGCCTGTCGGCCGCCATTTCCATGCGGCTGGCCCCTGGTCAGCAAAGTGGCCCCAGCCTTCATTCGCGTGCTCTTCACTCACCGGACGGCCACCATGTCGTAGTACATCTTTTTCAGTTCCTTCTTGGTCGTGTCGAGCGTGTACGGGGGCGGGTCGAGGTTGTAGGTTTCGAAACTCTCATCCGAGAGCTTCACGGGGAACGGCTTGTCATCTTCCTGCACACAAAGCGTGAGTTTCCGCCTCGAGTAACGACTGGATTCTAGTCAAGGCCTTACGTCGGGGACGTCGTCTTTCTCAGCATGCGAGCTGGCGGCGTCCGTTGTGACAGTCCTTCGGGCTAGCTGGTATGCTTGTCTCTTGGGAAGCGACTGCACGCCAAAGCCTCTCAGACAAGCTCGCGACAACATGGCTGGCAAAGGAGCGAACGAAAAGAACGAGGAGCGATGCGAAGATACAATGGGGAGGATGGGAGGATGGGCGATTGTTAGGTGTTTCTTAGCTGGATCGTGTTGGGACGCCGAAAAAAGAAGCGGAGCTCAATGGATCGGATCCCGTCTGGCGTTTGGCGTTTGGCGTTCGGCGCCGCTTTCAGCGTCCAGCAAAACTCACGGCTAACACTGTCCTCCTCGTACGAATATACAACAATACAACGCTTGCGACACTTGTCATGTGCTCGTGTTATCATTCGAATCTGCTTGCGGATGTCCCTGTCTGGATGCAAACCTCCCTGGTGGTCCATCAACGCCGTGTATGCTCTCCGTGTCACACGATCAACGAGGGTATCACAACTACAGCCTTGACGGATGTTCCACCGTTCCCGCCTCCTCCATCGAACAGTTCCTCAGTAGCCCCCAGGGCCTACCAGACCTGGTTGGGCGCCGTATCCTCCAGCAACTCCGCCCTGGTGTCCTAACTGCGCAGGTTGCTGCAGAGTTGAACTGACATGGGGTCTACCGTGTCCCGCATAGTTGGGCAGATCAGAAAACCACGGGTGGCGCAGCGCATCCTGTGCGCTGATCCTATTCTCCGGCCTGAGCTGCAACAATTTTCCCAAGAGATCTAGCCCCAGTTGGTCGATTTGTGGTAGAAGAATGGCTAACGACTGAGTGGCGTATGAGGGGAAGTTGCTCTTGTATTCAGGCAGCTGAGAAATGCCGGGCCACGTCCTCTCCGAGGGTGTGCCCATTAGCCTGAAAATCTTCTGTAGTTGGTCTTCGTTCGTGGTGCCGGGGAAAAGCGGTCGGCCAGTGTACATCTCTGCCATGATGCATCCGGCGGACCAGATGTCAATACTGGTGTTGTAGGTCCGCGATCCGAGCAGAACGTCTGGCGCTCGGTACCACAGTGTGACCACTTCGTTCGAGAAGGTGTTGACGGGGATCCCGAATGCTCTTGCCAGGCCGAAATCGGCCAACTTCAACTGCCCCTTGGTATTGATGAGCAAATTTTGAGGCTTGAGGTCGCGGTGGAGGACCCGATTCTCGTGGCAGAATGCGGTGCCTCGTAGTAAATCCTGCATGAATCGCTTGATGGTGACATGGTCGAGCTGGCCCCTGTCTCCCCGTGCGTCCATGTACTTTTTCAGGTCCTTGTCCATGTACTCGAAAACCAGCATGAGCTTGTTCTCCGTGTGAATGACATCGTGCAGCGTGACGATATTCTCGTGCTTGAGCTCCTTCATCAAACTGATTTCTCTAATGGCGGTCGAAGGCGTGCCCTCTTCCGAATCGAGATGGATTTCCTTGAGAGCGACCAGCTCGCCCGTCTGTCGGTTCCGGCCCTTGTAGACGGTGGCGTATGTTCCTTCACCTAACTGTGCTGCATGTCAGTCCGGCGACGTTTGCGTACGTGATTAATGGGAGCATACCTTCTCCAACTGCTGGAACGAACTGGGATGCCTCCGATCCATGTCTGTGTAGGATCTACGCTCTTGCACGTTTGTTCTCGCAGGAGGAGGGGCAGTGGTGCCTTGAAACAGCACCGAGGCGGGCGAAATCACTCGCTCAGCGAGCTGCTGTGCGGTGAGTTGTGGGGGCTGTTGACGGCTTCCCTGCTGAGAATGCGACTGCGACTGCGGCTGCGGCTGCGACTGCGACTGGGACTGGGACTGAGAGTGTTGTGAAGACGTGTTAGAAGAGATCGAAGAGCGATGCGGGATGGAAGTGGAACGCGAAGAAGACATGACAAGGCAGCCGGGGACCAGGCCCAGAAAAAGAGATGCAGCCTCTCTGGGATTTCACTCAGATTGGTGGTTGGCGGCGACGATCTTCAAGCACCAGGCCAGACTCCAGTAACATGCGAACCATTTGCCACGAGCGGCTAAGAAGCTGCCAGGGGGATCGCGGTGCCTGGAGAGAGCGTGGTTACTCAGATGTCACCAAACAGAGCAGCAGACCGTCCGAAACATGTTACTTCATTCCCAAGATCTTCAAGCAGGGCGCCTGCTGTACCCCGCCATTCGCTATTTGCTTGCTGGCTTCGAGCGTCTACAACTGGTCAGGACCCAGAAGCCGCGCCTGCGTCTCGCCTGTTGTTGCTTGCTGGGCAGATGCGGGTGGAAGGCAATTAATACCTCGGCGCTTGCCCATCGTTATGAATAGGAATAGGCCTGCCTCAAACCATCCGCCCTGCTTCGGCCTCACGTCGTCTGCGTCCATGGATAGGCTCTCCCAGGAACCGAGTCGAGGACTTCTATGCATGGAGGATTAACTTATGTATTAAATCTAAACGCCTCTGAGGAAATGCTGGCCCGCAGCTTCCTATACAAGGGCATCTATCCTGCCGGGCTCGCGCCCATCCGGAGTCTTCATTGACACTGAGCCAAATCTTCGCTTCTTCCTGTGCATGCTAGACTTTTGGTGATCCAATGACAATTCGCTTGCTTTTGAACATGCTAAGTCGCTTCACAATGATAGTTATTCATAGATGCCGGCCGTCAGTGAGGGGGTATCTTCTTCAAGGCGGAAAACCAATGGGCTGCATATCTTCTCTTCAACATCATGTCGTGATAAGTCGTCTCGTGTTCTTCGTGAAGCCTCCAGGGCATGTTGCGGTAATTTTCAGAATGGTGATAAATGTAGATGATATAGGTCGGATCAAGCCGTGCGCGGGTTGCCAGTGGACGGCGATTGCCTCTTCCCTCCGGCGGTAGCGAGTGTTGGGACAACCGGTTCACTCATAGTCCGCCGCCGCGTCTCAAAAACCGGACGTTGCGCATATGCGATGAGCATCTTAAAGCTGGAGCCTCGCCCTTTGCACTCGCTCAGCACGTTCTTGTCGGCGAAGATGCTTCTAGCGAGATTGCCGTCGCTGATGACGCTCGCTTCAAAGCAATGCTGCCACCATGTTCGCGCGGTCGTTGACACGATCTTGCCAATACGCAGATCGGCGTTGTCTGAGCGGTCGGACAGCAGCTCGTTCAGCGAAAGGTTGGTCCCCTTCCGGCCTTGGCTAAAAGTCATTCGGAGAGATGCGTCGCCCGGCCTCACATCACCAGATCTTCGCCTGGCGAACCCATCTGATCCTCGACTCGAGCGCGAGGATGAGGACGAATCGGCCGACCCTGGCGGGCGTCCTGCAACGGGGACGCCGACGACACAGCGACTGATGTTCGTGAAACCTCGCGAGCCGAGCACGCTCTGGACATTGTCGATAATAGGCCGGAGGCTGATCTGCTTGTCTGCTGTCGTCATTCTAAACTTCAGTTCTCGGACAGCGCGTCGAGTCTGCACACCCATGTTGACAATGTCGAGGTCCAGCAGCATCAATTCGAGATAGCCGCCAGGGAGCAACACTCGCCGGCACTCGGCGATGATGTTCTTCATCTTGGCCTCTGCCATTGCCGGTGGAAAGCGCAGTACTATTACAGAAAAGAAGCTGGGCGGGAAAGGAAAGCGCTCGTGGAAACTGGCCACCTCTGCTCGTCGATGGTTGTCTGGGGCATGCTGGGATGGTTGGGACATTCTCATCCCCTTCGCATGGGTCTTCTCCTTGAGGTCATGCACAAATGCCTTTTGCGCTTCGTAAGTGACGGCGCAGTAAATGGACCAATCTTCGTTCCCAAGACCATCGATGACGAGAATGTGTCTTTCAGGAATGGTTTGAATTTCGTCATGTGCCGGAGAGAACAGCACCCTGCCAAACGAAAGCCACTTGGATACCATAAGCGACGCATAGTGAAGCTCGTTTTGAGCGATTGGGTCTTTGCTCCGCTCGACGACCTCCAGCATTGCTACATTTTCCTGATGAGACGGTTCGGACGGCAAATCAGGTGCACTTGTAATCGTCGTCGGGCGTTCGAGGGAATGACTCGCACTAGATGTGCTCAGGCGCTCGGAAAATTTGGCACTGCTTCCCGATTGATGTCTGTACTCGTTCAGGAGATCTCGAATAGACAGGGGCGATGAAAGGTCCATTGAAGAATGCAACGCCGAAGCGATCCTTGAGCGGCGCAGTCGAATGTCGTCTCCGACAAGTCGCTCGGGCATTGTCGGCGGAGGGAACACGACTGGCGGCGTGACTGACGTCGCTGGCGCTCCTGCGTAGAGAGGTCTTTTCATGGCTGGTACGGGAAATTCCGACAGGATGGGATCTGATGGTTGCGCTCCTAGCGAGGGGTCCTGCATCATCTGCCGTCGTTCAAGCCCAGAACGCTCGAGGCTTGGGCTATCTGGTTGCGCTAGTGCCTTGATGCTTTTTCTGGCTCGAGACGGCGACATGACGTGGTCGATGAAGTCGTCGTACTCATTCCAGACCTCGTCAATACTTGGACTACCTGAAAAGTAAGTACTTGTCTGCAACGCGCTTCTTCCAGGCATTCCAACTATCGATGGCCCTGGAACGAGTGGCGGACCGAGAGTACTCGATACCCCTGCTGATCCGCTCGAAGTTGAAACATCAGAAGTCTGCCTCGATGGGAACTGCAAGAACTCGGCTTCTTCAAGGTTTGGGGCATTGACGGCTTGATCGCTGTCAGCGCTAGCGAAAGGTCTGCTTAGTAGCACGTCGGTGCTGAGCTGAAGTGGCATCGACGGCGTGACATCTGAGAAGCCTGATACCGCGTCAAACTCCTCAGTCGCAGGAGATCTGATGAACGGCTGGGAGAAAGAAGTCCGACTGGGTTTATGTTCCCTTTCGGTCCTCTGTACGACGGGCGGGATCCTGCCAACCCGGACGAGGCGTGGCGGCCGTTGTGTCGGCTGCTCTGTTGGGATAGGTGCTTGCTCGACCGGGTTTTGCAGCGGTACTGAAGGCGGCGATCTTGTGAAAGTCTGCTGCGGCGAGACCGGGACACTCGGGAGAAAGACGTCGTCTTCGTAGACTTCGTGTCGTTGCTCATCTTCCCCAAGATCTCCGCCATAGCCTTCAATCAAGGGACTGACTGCTGGGAAGTCCACCACCTGTGCGAGGTAGTCCCCAACAGGTTCAGGCGGGTTGACTTCACTCTCGGAATCAATCATCGCATAGTATGGCATCTGTCGCGATATTGGTATCGCAGAAACGCTGACAGGCATCTCTTCAGGGGACGAAGATGGTAGACCAACAGCCCTTTCTGGTTCGGGATCTGTGCCTTTTCGTCGGAAAATATTCCATCGGAGCTTCCTGGACTTTTTCTCCTTGGGCTTCGGGAACCCAGTGTCTCCACGACTGGGATCAGGAATCGTGCTTGGCGTAGACGTTGGAAAGGCCGAAGACCGACTTTCGTCCTGGCTATTGATATACAAGGGCGCGGAGAGGCCTTCAGTCCTGATTGGAGTTGGGAGATTGAAACCCTCGGCATCATTTCCAAAACGCTGTGATCGCCGTAACGCCAGCGTGGGACCAACTGTTGGATCCCTAGCGGTGGACGGTATGTCTCGCAGAGACTGTTGACCCAAAGATGTCTTTGACTGTGTCGGAGTCCCCCATCCGTCGAAGACGGGGCCAGGAGGTGCTGAGGTGCTGTAAATGTTGAGTTGACTGCCTGACTCGCTCTTCATATTGTTACCGGAGCCACCAATCATCGGGACTGGCTTCAGTCGCGTGGCCGCAAATTCGTCCAGGTCAGATTGGCTGCTGCGATTGTGGCGACTTGTGCTGCGATTCTCCTTCGTCCTCGACGAGAACAGAGGTTTTCTCCTGGTACTGCTAGCGGACCTCTCACTCTCACTGCCCCTGGCGGATGAATCATCTTGTGACATTTTGCGGCCTCTTTTCCCATATCTACCATATCCCTCATGGCCTGTACCGGCGGCAGGACCTTTCCGCTGCAGCTTGCGCGGTGACTTTTCGACCTCAATTGAGGGAGACTTGGTTCTGCGACTAAAGAGACCCAAGCGAGAGAACTTCCCCGTACGGCCAGGGGAGTTTGGTACTGGAGCTTCCGGAACTTGTGGTGCTCTGGGGAGTGTCTCCGCAACGTTGTACCGCTCCTGTCGTTGTGCAGCTTCATCCGGTCGTCGTATACTGCGGTCTCCGTAGTATGGTATCGGCCGCACACGAGGGGCAGGACCGGAGTGATTGGCGTCGGCCGTCAAAGTTCTCTTCGCGGCTAGCGCGTGTGGCTCCTGTCGACTGGTTGCCGACAACTCATTCCGCAACGACTGTTGCAAATTGTCATGAGCCTGTGCAACGGTGCGGTGCTGCCACGAGTCTCCTACAGTGTCTGGATCTGTGCGACCACGTCCTGCCAAGGGGCTGTGCTCTAGCTCTGACGATGAAGGCGTTGGCTCCTGGGTGGACGCTTTCCGTTGCCTGTCGCTCTTGCTGCTGCTTCTGCTCAGAGAATGTTTTGCAGATGAAGTGCGTGGAGGAGGTGTAGGGGCCGGCGTATGTAATAGTGTGTTTTTTCTGGTCAGCGACTTGGTCGTTTCTTTTGACTTGGCTTGCCAGGCACCCTCAACAGACGGAGGAAAAGATTCCGGAAGAGCCGGCATTTTGGGGACTCTCTCTCGCTTGCCTGCAGGGAGTGGAACTGTCTGCGACCTCTTTGCGGGATTTGTCATGGGAATTTGCTGCACGATACCGGGTGACGTGGAAGACCATGATGTGGGTGTCGTAGTGGTAGTGGATACACTCCAAGGGCTGGGCGAGCTGGAAAACCGCGTCGAGGGACTGCTGACGGAGCTCACGGATTTATTAGACGTCTGCGGTAATCTCGTGGATGAGGCGGCAAGGGCTTGCAGCTCGGGTATCAGTCGAGGAGGGAGCTCCGTAGCGCGAGCGGTAGAATTTGCTCGCGGCATCACTATGCCAAAGATCGCATCCCGCCCCAAGTCCAAAGACGATTGCTCATAGTCCGAAGGCTCCTGGGTGCGCGCAAAACTCCTATCACCGGAGGTTTGCTCCCCCCGTCTCGGCCGATGGTATGATTCCATCACCAAAGGGACTTCTTGCGATGTTGACTCTGGGCGTGCAGTTGACCTGCCTATCCCAGAAGGGGCCGGCGCATTCTTCGAAGTGCTTATAGACCGCTGGGACGGATTTCTGGTGCTCGGCCGAGGAATGGCTGTTGATAGCTGCCCAGCCCTTTCAGGAGGACTGGTGGAATCTTCTCTTACAAAAGGTGGAGAGCGCGAAGCCAGTCGCGTGCTCGCATTGGGGCGAGTCGTATTGAGTTGACGTGCATTGTTACTGGCAGTTGGTACTGTTCGTGGCACGGTTGCATCTCCGGTTCTCGAAGCACCTTTTTGGGTGTCATACATCGGTTTTCTGTGCGACATATCCTCGGTCGGTTTGTATCCTCCGTTCCAGCCTCCGTTGATACGTGCAATGACAATAGACACATTGGGCTCATCCCGTGATCCTCACGTTTGAGGCTGCGACATCCAGGTCGAGTCGTTGTTCGAGCCGAAGTAGTAGATGTCAAAAACTGGTCTCCAGCCGCCAGCGTCTAGTGAAGACCGAGAAATGGTATCGTCAGATAATTCTTTCCAAAAGTGACTCGAGTAAGGTGTCGCACAAGGCACTGTGCCCGAGACAAGTAAGTGTCAAGGTCCTCTGGATGCCACGGGAATAGTATAGTCGTGGACTCTGATCGACAGTACGCGCCACACAAGCCTCTATGCTCGGCGAAGACCGAGGCTACTGTAAGGTGGGCGAAAAATAGTACACGGTGGCCCTGGCCGAGGCACGTGACACCGCAATGAACACTGCGGTCTGCGCAGCGGCCGCGTGTTTGAGACAAGAAATAATGAAAAAGCAGGTTGGAGGCAAAGTCTTTCTGGGATGATAAAGGCTCAAGAGGGAAACAGTTGCATGAAAGTGGGCGGATCATGCAGCCATCTTGTAACGAGGGCGGGATAAGCGAGTTCGGCTTAGTTGGCACGAGCACAAAAGCACTCGAATCCTCCAACGGGCTGATGCTGAGGCTTGCTTCATGATCAGAGAGTGTCTATCCACAGGCTGCATGGTGTCAACGTGTGGGGGCGCTAGATGGGCCGCACATGTGTCGTATTCAATGTTGAGCTTGCAAGGCGTCAACCACTTGGGGTCTCCGACTCCAGACCCCATCTGAGGTCTGTCTCGACTGTCTCCATGGCTCCTCCCGCGCCCAGTTGGAGCAGGAAGACTAATTGAGATAGCCGCCGATTTGGTAGGACCATCCAGATGGAGCTCTCATGGCCACCTGTATTGTGGTCAAGAATACAACGACTACGTACCGACTATGCAGCTAGGCAGGCGAGGCCGAGAGATGTCGTGCGTGTGCGTGTGCGTGTGCGTGGTGCGTCTTGCTGGTTTGGGCCTTCTTTACGGGTCATGTGCGGAAGACCAATCTAGTCGGCAGGTGGCTCTTGAGCGGCGTCATAGGCAGAACCGTTATGCAAAGGCAAGGCCGACTGCCAGAGACCGTCAAAAAGGCCTCAGTGAGCGCGGGATGGGGATCACACGGGGACGGAGGATCATGTGGCGACGCTTCGATCAGCGGCCGTCGGAGTGGACAGCGTGGACGGCTCTTGACTGACTGGTGCCCTCGTATTGTTCCCAGAATGGAGTAGAATCAGACATCGCTGGGGCCGCTGAAAGACGGCTATCCAACAGAGAGCGACGGGCAAAAAATGTGAAAGAAATGTGAGCCAGTAATCAGGTTGAAGTGAGGCTTGGGAGAAGGAGCTGCCGCGGAGTGGAGACCTGAGGGGAAGCAGGACCGGGGCGTAGGATTCGGGTTTGGTCTGCCGCAGGTGGCGACAGCTGAGAATCTCGTGCACAATAGCGTATAAGACTCGCCTAGTGGCAATACGCAGGCAGCGCCGGGCACCAGTAAGGCACCGCTGGGAGGCCGCTGGGAGTTTTCTGGGAAGGCTCGGGCCACTACCCTCGGCGGATCGAAGGCACGCGTCCTTCGGGGCTTGACAATCTGCTCTCGTATGCTCAACCGGGCATCTGATTGAGTCGTCACAAAAGTCTCGCCTGCTCGGCTTGAGCCAGCCACAAGTTTTGAAGAAAAGGATGTGCCGCAAAACCTCCGTCTCCTGTTCTGCGCCCCAGAAGTATGACTACGGTGTACTGAGGTACTTCCTCGTCGGCTGTTTGTTCCTTGCGTATGCCTCTCCGGAACACAGCCGTAGCCGCTCTGCAGTCTTCTCCACCAGTATGAAACGCATCTGACAATCTTCTCAGATCCCCAATGATGGGGTGACAAAATGCTGGTCACTGTAGCTACTGCACGCAGTCACAGACCTCAAACGTGCTTCTGCAAGTCACCGATGCAGCAAGCACCTCCTTAGCGTGCGTGCTGCAAGCCCCCAGGACGTTGTGGCTGCCAAATCCTCCGAAGCGAACTTTCCAGACCTGCATTTTCTTTCCCGCTTTCCTCCTCGTGCAGCAGCGATTTTCCTGGCCATGCGCCAATAAGAGTGCAGAGACGATACAATATCGTCTGTTTGTGGCTGATCTTGACACTGAGAACGTTTGATAGGATGCGCTTACGAGCAGCCCGTCTCGGGGTCCGGGGATCCTGTTGGCTCGAAATCCCCGAGGGTCCCAACTCAAGACCGCGTAAAAGCAGCTCTACCCGATCTGCTGATTCATCGAGCGACGATGATCTCAGATGTTCGACCTCCTGCCAGGCCGGGTGCGGGGCCAACCACAAGCGATAGTGATTATTTGTAGGACTTCTCTGCTCGACAACTCCATTGACGCCCCAAGTCCGCACCATGGCGCCACAAGGAGTCGTCTTTCCCATCGAAGGAGGGTGTATTTGTGGAGAAGTCCGTTATTCCATGACAACAGAGCCCATGATTGTCCATTGCTGTCAGTGAGTTTTAGAGAACGCCACCAAGCTCTTCGTCTCCTGCTGAAACAACACAGCTGTCGATGGTGCCAGCGGGAGACTGGAGCTTCCTTCGCTCTCCACGCTATGATTGAGACGGAGAGGTTGAGATTGCTCAAGGGCGAGCCGGAATGGACTACAGTGCCGAGTGCAAGTGGTGCCGGTCAACGTATCGCCCGGTGCGCTACATGCAAGACCGCTGTTTGGAGTGTTTACAACGCGGGCGAAATCAAAGCGCGTGTGAAGGACTCTATCCGCATCGTCGATGTCGGGACATTGGACAACCCAGACGCTTGGCCGCCTGATGCCCACGTTTGGATTTCCGACAAACAGCCATGGATTATCCTTTCAGACAAGACTCCCGCCTTCCAAGACAGCAACTATGTCCGTGAGGAGGTGTGGTCAAAGGAGAGCCTGGAGCGGAGACGAAAGGCAGGGGCATTCTCTGACGACGAATAAAGTCCGCCCAGGTAGGCGGTAGGTTGAGGCCTCAGCGGAGAACCTTACCAGTCTCGATTGTGGGACGAATGGCTAGCGGCTGCGTAACTCGAAAGCCTCATCCTGAGATACAGCTCTGATTGAGAACGCCTCTGTCGCTGTTGAAGTCCGCTCAGAATGGTAGTTTAGTCGCAGACCAGAAAGTGATGTCAAACACGGAGTATGACCTAAACGAAGCCAGATTACTCTTGGCTCAACTCCTTTCGCCAGCACACGGAAGGGTAATAATGACAGTCTTGCTTCATGTCACAAGTGATGCGCGGGCAGCATCTGGACAATTCGGTCCACAACTGGGCCAACCGCCTGCCGCATGCGGTATAGCGCGTGCCTGGGGTCCTCAGCCTTGGGTCCTAGAGGACCATTCCAGCTGAGGCGAATGCGGCTGAGACACTGGATCAGGTAACGTCTCGAATTCTTGACACTTCTGTCTATAGTCAATCCCTTGGATCTGCGTCGGCACCAGTATCTACCCGAAGGCGAGGCTGGCGCAATTTGCACGAGGAGTAAAATAAATTCCGGCCTCCGGCGTACAGCATCCAGACCGTGGGTAGAGAAGCACGATTACCTTCGGAGATGGAGAAACGGGCCGCAATAGACTGTCCCATGTACACAGCCAATGGCTTCCCCGTAGCCTGATGCCAATACATCCCGATCTGCTGGTCACAGCTGCGCCATAATGTCCCTCCATGCTCTCGTTCTGACCGCGGGGACTTCTCCTTCGGACCCCTGCGCCTCTGAAGGCAGTTGTGTATTCTGGACGTCACCTGGCAAACGCCTCGATCTCCATGACAGCCATGAGGATAAACTATCGGCATCTGTGTGGACCAAGTCCCCTGTGAGGGAGAGCATGCCCATCTTGTCATTCATGGAAAGCACGGTTGACAGCCAAGCCCAGGGGCGAGAATATGGGTATCAACTCAAAAAGCCAGGTGGCATTAAAGGACGTTCTTCGGTATTGTGGAACGGTGTTATGTCGACGAGAGATGTCATTCAACATCTACCACGTCCATGGCCATCAGCTACCTGAGATTCAACAATCATAAAACTCTCGGCACTTCCAGATCCACTCGAACTGATTGCCTCCAGACTTAGAACTGCCTTTAGTGAACGAAGGCGTCCCGTCTAAGATACCAGTCATCAGGCTGCCTGGGGCAGCTAGACTAACGACCTCAGCATTGTCACTTGGATCATTCTCAATGGTACGTGTTCTTCGTAATGCCATAGCAGCCGATCGGATGTGGCTAAGTAAGCGCGCGGAGTCTTCGGCTTGCAGAAGTGCATAATCGAGCTCAGCACTGCGGATGAATCTTTTCGTCTGCTGGAGAGACGAACAAAGACACAGCGTCGTCCTGGTCTTGCGGCCCTCGCACCGTCATATGCATGGCTTATTATCGCAAAGAATGCACTCGTGCACTGCATGACGGCGGTTAAAACATATCTCCTAGATCGCACTGTAACGTCTTCGAAGTTGCAGAGTTCATGCACCTTTAATTTTCAAGAGAGCAGATCACGGGCCGACTGAGTTCAGAGCGAAGGGAACGAAATCAGAGGATGGATGAAGAATACATGGCGTGTCTGAATGGCGTGGTGGACCTCGCATCGCGGCTCGTTTCTATGATGGTGGGAACTGCTAGCTTGCCGTACGGGTCGTCCGATTGCCAACACATCAACTGGAGCAGTGGCTTGTTGAGACTTTGTGCGTGGAAATTTCGACACTCGTTACAGGCTGAATGAGGATGCCAGATTGGAGCAAACGTTGAACGCGCCGATATGGCAGCGAATTGCTGGGTTCATTATTGACCGAACCGACAACATCGCGGATCATCTTCTCCTAGTGGATGGCGCCAAACGACTTGCCATATTTCACCATATTTGTTTGACTGTGTGTGTGGAAGATGGTGCAAAGCTTCATACTCGAGACAGAGACGAAACGCTGCAATGAGGCGCTAGCTGAAAATGGCTTAGAGCAGCTCAATTGTTAGAATGACGTATATGTCGACAGTAACGGGTTAAAGCAGCCGGGGATTCTTACGGTCGATGCTCGCCAGCAGCCTCGTCCCCCAAGACGCGTTCCAAGCAAAGAAATATAACAACACTATTGCGAGCTACAGTCGGCGCATCGTATTTGCACTCGTGAACGATCACGTTGGCAAGGTCGCGATTTGGTCCTGAGCGGTCACCTAGGGTAAATCCACTATCCTAAACCGCCTCTCAACTGCGACGGCGGCGCGTCTTCCATTTCGCAGCAGCCATGGTCGATTACTCTAAGAAAACGGTTGCCGAGCTGACAGAGATCCTGAAGTCGCGAAGTTTACCGCACTCAGGGAAGAAGGCGGATCTCGTCGCGAGACTGAATGAAGCAGACAAGACGGCACAAGAGAATGGTATGTATACACTGGTGTTGGCGCAAGTGCGCGGCAAAGCAAACCTCCTCGATCACTCTGCGTGCGTCAAATCCAGAATGGTCTGACGCTGACATGTACCTGTATAGAAGCGGAGAAAGCCCCCCCAGCAGAGTCCACCAGCGCGCCTCCCGTGCAAGAGCCAGAACCCGCACTTGAGCCTGCTTCGCAACCCGCGCCTGACGAAGCCGCACCTGTAGAGGCCGCACCTGCAGCTACAGCCCCCACGACTGCCGACGAGCCCGCCGACTCCCCCTCTGCTAATACGGATACTGCACTCGCGAACTCGGCGTCATACTCTTTGAATCTGCCGCACTCTGAGATGGACGCTGAGATGGCCAAGCGCAAGGCCAGGGCTGAACGATTTGGCACCAGCGCCCCTGGTGCCAACGGTGAGACAGGAGAGAGTGCTACCGATGCCGATGCACAGAAGGCCTTGGAGCGCGCGAAGCGCTTCGGCACAGGCCAGACGGCGATGGGCAAATTGGACGAGGCCCTTCCGGAGGAGCGTGAACGCGGCTCAAGGAAGCGAGGCAGGACTGAGGAAACGAGTGCTATGGATGATCCAGCTCTAAGGAAAAGCTTCGGCGGACGAGGTGCACGAGGTCGTGGTGGCCGCTTCCATGGACGAGGTGGGCGAGACAATTCACGGCGCAGAACAGGCGAAAAGCCGACCGGTGTCAGTAAGCAATCGGGCGCTTTCTCGTCGGAAGCAGATCGCCTAGCCGCGGAGGCAAGGAAAAAGAAGTTCGCTTCTGCCTCTTGAATTCTGTGACTATTGGTTTGCGGCTTCCCCTCCAGGGACCGCCGGATATGAGTGTCCTCTGCGTGTTTCAGAAGGTTATGCATGAGGGGTCCTCGACAGACATACTCATAGGTTGGGAAGCAAAAGCAACGCAAAGTGCTGTCGCGCCGTTCGGTTATCCTTTCTACGGGCTTTGGAGGAGGTGGCTATCGAGGCGCTGGCCCTGTGTTATACTCATCTTCCCGGATATGGGTCGTACTGATATTACGCGTACAGAAAATGAATGAATCATATGACCGGCTATGAGCTAGCGGTTGAAAATCAAGACCACAGGTGGGAAGTCTGTAATCTGTCTGTTCGTTCAGTGGCGCTTCTTGCCGTCTTTTTTTTGGCATTTTGCATTCCACTCCGACTACCTGACGATGTAATCGTCTCTAAGACGTCGTTGCAATAAAGGCACTGGACTACCTAGGGAAGAGGCCGTTTACCGGTCCTTGCTTGGGATGATGATAAAGTCTTTGACTGTTGAATGGTACAGTCGACCTGCGACGGACAGCATCATGACGCGATAAATCCCTCAATCAGAAAACATTTCTGGGTCCTCGACGTTGCGCAAGATATTTTCTGTAGGAGCATCACAACCAACACAGGACGGCGGGCAATATACGAGTAGGTCTCGTGGTGATCGAATTGAGAGCTCTATCGAATGTCAAGTGGCTGTGTCGCAACTACAGACCGGCTTGTGCCAAGGTGAGCAAAATCTCCCTGCGCCTCACCCCGGATCCGGCCAAGGGTCACGCCGCCCTATTCTCACCCTCCGACCACAGCGGGTTTATGCTCATCATGGTCAGGCTCATTTTCTTCCCTCCCAGTCTCAACCCTCGCTGGTCCTGGCGAGTTCGAAGGGCCAGTGGTCATCGATGACCCATTCTGTGGCTCGACGGACCGATAGCAATCACCAGTAACTCGAGCTGGTTTCGCAGAAGGGGTTTCGAGCGGAAGCCGTGGCTTAGCTCTGTTGGCTCCAGAATGAAAGACCATCAGTGTTCGCTTTGCAACAAGACTTTCGGCCGACAAGAGCATTTGAGGCGCCATGAACAATCTCACCAAGACCCTCGATTCCGCTGCGACAAGTGCTCCAAGGCCTTCCACCGCAAGGACGGCCTCGACAAGCATGAACAGACTCACCGGTCGAACGGTGCTTCTCTCTTGCAGCGCGGCGAGAGAGCCTGTACAGCCTGCGCTTTAATGAAATCTCGCTGCACCGGCACGCTTCCTTGCGCAAGATGTGGCGCGAAGAATTTGCAATGTGTGTACCCTACGAACAACAGTCGGCCAGTCCCATCCAACCCGATCGGCCTGCAGGAGCAACATGGTTACGACGGCCGCGACTCTTCCTCTCCACTGGCACCACAGCGTCGAATGGGACGGGAACCGCATGACTTCTCTGGCTTCGCTCCCGTGTCGCCACAGGCGCAGTATGACCGTTTAGCCAATCCGCCACCACATGCGCCCAGTGCACCACATTACCTCGATGCCGGAACACTAGGCCTGCAGCCATCTTACGGCATTCAGGACGCTGCATTGTATGGTTCTGTCGGCGAAAATGCGACTACACCAGCCGCAAACTGGACGACAAAAGCGCTGTCGACAATCAATTGGCTCCAGGCGGATATGACCAGCTTCAGTGATGATGACCTCAACAATCTGTTCGGCTTCTTGTCAGGCGATTTCTCATTTTCACCGAGCATTGACCTCGTGAGTCCCGCACAGCAGCATGATGTGGAAATCCCGGCAAATGATCTGCTCTCGAATATCGTTGCTCAGCAAAACCCGCCCCAAGTGGTAGACAGAGTAAACTTTCAGCAGACTTCGCCTAACCCCGACTCTTCCGACGTAGTCGACAAGTCGACCGTGGAAAGTGGCGAGTATTACGTTGACGGAGATGCTGGAAGGCTCCCGAGATCGAAGCGTCGGAAAATCGGGTCAAGGCCCAGGTTTCTGGAGCATGTTGAAGACCTTGAATTCTCACTGGAATACCGCTTTCCGATCACACCGTGTCCAGATTCTCGGTTGACGCTCTCCGATGGAGTCCATGACATGCTATGTACCCTGCACCGTCAACTGTGCCTGGAGACGACTCTTTTCAAGCCGTTTTTGCCATCTGAGTTCCCTACGAGACCGGCCTTGGAGGGCCTGCTCTTTAACTATTTTTCACAATTTGATCCGACAATGCCATTTCTCCATTTTCCAACGTTCAAAGTCGAATCCGGCCCCTGTGTGCTCCTGCTGGCCATGATGGCTCTCGGCAGTTGTTTCGTCGACAGCGACGAGACGGAGATATTCACGCTATCAATGCACGAACTTGTCAGGAGATACCTGATTGTCAGAAATGAACGGAAGGATTGGTCTCCAGAAAACCCGCAAACCCTGGCCCAAGTACATCTGTTGCACGCCGTCGGTGCTGGCTACACGCAGGTGGAGGGTCTTCATGCGTCTGCGTCGTCCTCACTTTATCAGGCAACCAAGTTTTGCCGCGACAGTTGGGCTCCGCAAGAGCCTGCCAACGATCCTGGTCGACGCCATCACAATGCCTTTCCGGAGTGGATAGCTTGGGTCAAGAACGAGGAAGTGATCCGGACAGGGTTCTGCATTTGGCTGCTGGACTGCATGTGGGCGTTTCAGTTTCAACAGCCACCACATTTGAGCCTCGACCATGCCACGGCTGTGCAGCTCCCTTGCCCTGAAAGCGCGTGGTCTGCCAAGGACGTACCCAGTTGGAATCAACTGGCAGCCTCCGGAATTACCGGCACGCCGACCCTGCTTGAGGCGTTACGGAACCTTTACATCGACAAGCGGCACCTCCCAAATCTGGGAGAGTTTAGTCGCATACTACTGATCCATGGCTTAATCCACCGAACGAGGGAGGTCGAAGCGACGGTCACTCAGAGCCTTTCAAAGTTGGAGCCTTCGGCACAGAAGCAAGCAAGTCATGACATTGAGCCGAGAAGCCCAGTCTGGCCACCTTCGGTGCCGCTGTTCAATAGGTGGAGGAATTCTGCCTGTGACTGCCTGGATATATTGCACTGGAGGGCCAATGAAACGATTGGAGCGGCCTGTGGAATGGAACACCCGACGGTGCTCCATCTGCACTTGGCACGAGTCATACTCCTTGCTCCTATGCGCGATATCATCCTGTTTTCCCACCACCTTATCCGCTCCAGCAAAGATGCGATCCGCTTGTTCCCATGCGTGTCATCGGCAGAAGCCGAAGAACATTGCCGTCTGATTCAGAGGTGGGCCTTGCAGGATCAGTACAAGGCTCGTCTGGCGGCCATCCACGCCGGCGTTCTCTTCTGGCATGTCCGGCTGTACTCCGTCAACGGATTCTACGAACCCACGGCGGTAGCATTCGCGGCCCTGCTGCTATGGGCCCTCGGCGCATTCTCTACCAAAAAACCCGTCCAGTCTGGGAAACCTGGTCCGCGAGCTCGCTCGGGCGGAACGTCTTTCCCCTCCGAGCCCTCCTCGCCTTCTCCTGACGTCTGTGACATCATCTTGATCGATCGACCCACGGATGACGAGCTCGTGCAACAATTCGTGCGGCAGGGCGATTACATGCACGCGAATCTCACCGGGGTCGGCGACTTATTTGGGCCCAAGGGGCCTCGGAAAGTGCTCGCAGAAGGCCAAAAATTGCTGAGCACGTTGAGAGGTTGGCGGGGGCTGACCGGGTACTGGATCGGAGTTCTCAGTCGACTGGAAAAGGCGACTGCGAAGTTTGGCGTGGATTCTAATCCTGCAGGAGCAGAGGTGACAGCTCCGGCAGTATAAACCCTTCGTGTGATATGTTTTCCCTTTGGCCGCAGTCAAGTGTATTGCGTGTGCGGAGGAGATACGCCCGTGTATCGTCTAGTCTACAATATGGGAGTCGCTTGCGTCGTCTATCTATGCCATCTTTTCAAACCAACTCTCATTTGTCCGCTGCCACCACGAGACGCTCGGAAGTAGTAGGGGATGAAGTTCAACTCGTCGATGACGCTGCCACCTGCGCGAACCGCGCCATCTAAGAGATCAACATCGACTCCCGGCTCAGCATGGATGAGATCCCTCCTGACTATGCTTGCGTCCTTGGCGACCGTGAGTGCCACGTATTGATCCCCCGTGGTCGCATCGCTCACGACCTTCTCCCCCACTGAGCATGCCGGGTCAAGCTGCACGCTTTTGAAATGATCTTTCACCCACGCGTTGTCGACATCCTCGACACAGTACACTATGGGGCCGCGGATTAGGGCGACGATATCTTGATTCGTGTAGGGATGAGGCGCGACCAGGCGAGGTGACATGTCGACCGTGAGGGTAAAGCGAGGATTGGCGGCCACCCAATCAGCAGGAAGAATCAGGTATCCCTTCTCTAGGTCTGTCGTCGGCGGCGAAGGACTGATCTGAGGAAACGTCAGCCTCGAGCTTTCTGTGGTGGAACTGGAGGATGCTGGGTGTGACTTACCTTCCACGATCTGGCCCAGCCTGGGATTCGGAGAGCCACGCTGACACGCGACGACTCGGTCTTCAGTTCGAATTCGACTTGTCCCTTCCACGGCCAATCGCTCTTCTGAACCAACGTCACCGGGTGGTCATCGCCAGACTGGAATCTGTGCTCGCTGGGGATGTACAAATGAACATTCACCTGTTCTTGACCCTCGGCGCGCGAGTATATGTAGCCGCCCACCTGGCCCAGCAACCTGAGCACATTGGGCGGACAGCAGGCGCACGTGAACCACTCCTCGCGGGTCGACGGATTTGGTTCACTGGACGCCAGCTGGTTGACGTACGTGAACTTGGTCCCGTCGTGCGACATGGCCGTCAACACGGCGTTGTAGAGACACAGCTCCATCACGTCGCTGAACTGGCGGTCCAAGTCGTACTGCAAGATGCGGTCGGCAAGCATCATGACACCAATGGCCGCGCAGGTCTCGGCATAGCAGCCGCCTTCATCGGTCCCTTGCGGCAGGAAATAATCCGGACCGAATCCCTCCCATTGCTTGATGGCGCCGATGCCCCCTGTCACGTACATTTTGCACCCCACCATGTTGTGCCACAGTCTGTAGACAGCTTCCTTCAAGCATGCGGTCGTGGCCGGTTCCATGCCTACCAAGTCGGAGACCGCAGTCAGAAGATACATGGCGCGTACGGAATGTCCCTCGATTGTCTTCTGTTCGGTGATCGGTTTGTGTGCCTGGTAGTAGCAGAGAGGGTCCCCGCCGCCCCAGTACGGCATCCTCGCGTGAGGTCCTTCGCCTCGTGCCTTTGCTTCGACACGATAGTAATGCTCGCCGTTGGCGCCAAGTCTGCCTCGTTCCGTGATGAAGTACTTCGCAAGCTCGAGATGTTTAGGGTCCCTCGTGCGCTGCCACAGCCGAAGAAGCGCGAGCTCAATCTCCGGGTGACCTGGATAGCCCGGTATCTGGCCTTCCTTAGGTCCAAATGTACGGCACAAGAGCTCGACATACTTGAGCAGAGGTTCAAGAAGGTCATTATTTTGGTAGAGCCGATGATGCGCAAGAGCGGCTTCGATAAGATGACCGGCGTTGTAAAGTTCGTGAAAGTCGCGGATGTTCGTAAATCGCTTCCCGGGTTCGACGACGGTGAAGTGGATGTTCAGATAGCCGTCTGGTTGCTGGGCGGAGATGATCATTTGAGTCAGCTCGTGAACGGCCGAAGAAATCTCTTGGTTCGGATGGTCGTGGAGGAAATAGCATGCTCCTTCGATCCATTTGCCAACGTCCGAATCCCTGAATAGGTCACGTTAATTAATACATTCCATTCGCATTTATGACAGCTTCGGCAGGTGGAAATACCAGAAGAGATGGTTAGGTATCGGCCAGACGTCAGGAGCATCGGCGTATGAAGGATGCCACTGCAGCTTGAAGGCATCATATCGACCCGTGTCTTTCAATACTTGGAGCTGGTAGAGAAGAGTCTTGCGGGCGGCTGTTTCGCGCCTCTGCCAGATTAGAGATCCTGGAATTAGCGACGTCCGCGTGAAGGTCTCTTGCGGATAAGCCATAGTAGCTAGATGTTTTCGAGCCTGAGGCGCGGGCTCGAACGTCTCGACATATGCACCGTCTCTCCTGACGTTACAAATTCGCGAGGAGCCAATTTATGACCGGTAGTCTTTGCGCCGGACGAAAGCCTCGCTCCCCCCCAGTCCACCGGAAGACTGTCCATGGGAAGACGTCGGAGGCAAGCGTCGGATCGACGGCATACTGTAGCAATGCAGTAGGGATTCTGGAAGTACTCGTACCCTGTCATGCTTGCCCCGGAGTTCGACCCGTCACACGAGCGACATGCCGGCAAAACAAAACAGTGATGATTCTTCTTCGCTTATTGGACATCCCATCGGAGGATCGCCTCGTCGGCCCACCCCCTTCGGAGGTGAGCCCCCCCCGGTGTTGACTTGGAGTACTATTGAAATCGAGTCTCGCGAACTTGCGAAATACCGACGCTGCAATGCTGACCACCGCGTCATGACTGTTTCTGGAACCACTTTACTCAACGCAGACTTTCGTCTGTAAAAACGAATAGAGCCCCAGCCAGGAAACGTGGCAGCGGAGCGCGTGGGTACGCGAGCAAGCGAACTTTATGCTTGGCCACATTTGAATACTCGGTTGCTCCAGCTGATTGCCTAGGAAGCTAGTCGTGCTTGTTGTGTGGAAAAAGCGGCGGCGCATCCACCTCGCTTCCGGCCCTGGGACAAACGATCCATTCCAAGAGGAGACTGCTTCCCTGTTTCATATCCTGGGGAGTGGCTGTCGAGAGCTCGCTGAGCAAACGCCGCGTGCAATCGCAGGATTGTGTCGAACAGCGGCGCCATGACCCGGGTGCTACGAACACCCTAAACTGGAGACACAATGGAGAAGGTTCGTCGTCTCCAGATTGAGCACGACCACTCGGTCGCCGCGCCCGGTGGGATGAAAGGTTTCCGGCTGTGCCCCCGGACGAGCCCCATGGGGCAACCCCCCTGCATACCACCTTGTCGAACACCAGATCTGCGGAGCAAGCGCGCTTGAGGTATTGGGATAATAGCCATTCATATAACGACCATGCGCCCCCCGGCGTTCAACATCTCCATCTCTTAGAGCTCCCTGCAAAAGCACTCCTACCTTTGTCGATTCAACCCCAGCACCCCACCGCTGCCAGTATGGAGACAGAGAAGGTCGTTCCAGCGGCCTTTGAGCGCCATATCTTAGATGCTACCCACAACGAGACTCTCGAACTTGTCCGCCATGCACAAGAGAGCGATGCCGCTGACAGGCAGCTCACCATCCGCCAGGCCTTGTCCAAGTATAAGAAGGCGGTCTTCTGGGCCATGCTCCTGTCCACCAGTCTCGTCATGGAAGGCTATGACTTGGTCATTGTATGGCTCCCCATGCTCGGTGGGCCACACGGAACATGAGTTATTCTGATTGCCGTTGTATAGATCACGTCGTTCTATGGCCAAACGCAGTTCCGAACCCGGTTTGGCATCCAAGACCCGACAACAGGGAAACATGTTATCCCGGCCAGGTGGCAGTCGGGTTTATCAAATTCGGCCCTTGTTGGCCAACTGGCAGGCCTCTTGGTTAACGCCTACACCCAGGACAAGTTTGGCTGTCGACCCACGATGATGGTGTTTATGGTCTGGATGGCAGTGGTCCTCTTCATCCCCGTTTTCGCGCCTTCGCTTTCGGTCTTGGCCTTTGGCGAAGCGATGTGTGGGATCCCCTGGGGTGTCTTCCAGGTCAGTGAGGCCCATCATACCACCGAGGAGGACACGCTAACTCGGAGCAGACGCTCTCGACGACGTATGCTTGTGAAGTCGTCCCCACAATCCTTCGGCCATACGTGACGGCGTACGTCTGCATGTGTTGGGGAGCAGGTATCCTCCTTTCGTCCGGCGTCGTACGAGCTGTTGCTGGCATCGAGGGCAACCTCGGCTGGAGGCTGCCTTTTGCACTCCAATTTGTCTGGCCTGTTCCCTTGTTCATTGGCGCCTACTTTGCCCCCGAGTCTCCGTGGAATGCCGTTCGCCGCGGCAAGTTCGAACTTGCGCGAAGGAGTTTGCAGCGCCTCAGGCAAGAAACGCCCAACAAGGAGAGGGAGGTCGATGCCAGTTTGGCCTATATCAAATACACCACAGAACTTGAAAGAGCCGAGACGGAGGGTGCTAGCTTCCTCGAGTTGTTTAGGGGAACGAATTTGCGTCGCACCGAGATTGTGAGTTGGAATTCTCTTTGCCTGGAATCTCCTCACTGACCCCAGCTTTTGATAGAACTGCGTCGTTTGGGCGGCACAGATCCTTTGCGGCAATGCTATCCTTGGCTATTCCGTCGTGTTCCTCGAAGCCGCCGGCTTTTCTGAACTTCAAGCATTCGACGTCAACATTTCCCTCTCCGCCTGCTATATCATTGGCGGCATCATCTGTTGGTTGATGTTCCCTCATTTCGGGAGAGCGACCATCTATATGGGAGGCTTGACGCTCATGTTTTTCTGCCTCGTCGCGATCGGCGGTCTCGGATGGTCTTCATCCAAACATGCCCAATTGGCCATTGGCATCTTGCTGGTTGTCTCGACCCTCATCAATATGATCACTGTCGGACCCGCCTGCTATCCCATCGTCGCGGAGACCCCGTCGGGAAGACTGAGGTATAAGACCATCGTGATTGGAAGATTCGTCTACAATCTGACGGGCATCTTCAACAACTCGGTGACGCCTCGGATGATTGCAGCCGATTGTAAGTTTGGCCTGCGCCGTTGCTGTCCCTCCGCTGACCATTGCCACCCAGCTTGGAACTGGGGTGCAAAGACGGGCCTGTTCTATGCAGGCACCAACCTCCTCTGCAACATTTGGTGCTGGTTTCGCCTTCCCGAGACCAAGGATCGTTCCTTTGGTGAGATTGATCTCATGTTTGAGAATCATGTCCCGGCAAGAAAGTTCAAACACACCAAAGTGGACCGTAAGTGGCCGGTGCTGTTTTACCTCTCGTTGTGTCTGGCTAACAGGAATGCTAGAATTCGCCATAGGCCAAGCCACTCAGAAAGAGATTGAAGCATCGGAGAAGCATGCCAGTGCTGAACATCGAGATGTTGCCGCAGTCGCATTGTGATTTGCCTTGGATACAATGTCTTCCACGCTCTCCCTTCGGGGCCGCCTTCTCGGAGACCCGGCGACTTGAAGTTGGATTAAGCACACGCGGGTCCCAAAATGCCATTGTTCCCGATGTCCTTGGGTCAGGATCTCGGGGGCTTTTACTGAGAGCGACCACTAGCGATGGTCATGGCCGGGTCCAGCTGTCTTGCTCATCTGGTACTGGACTCAGCTCTCCCTAGAAGAGAGTATTTCACTGAGCTGTTCGGATTGCAGATATCCCCTTTCCTTCTCCCTAAGTAGGCTCTCTCGTGTTCTCGTCTCCCACGTGAGGACGTGGAACGGGCGAAGTTGTTAAGCATACTACTGGTACACTTTTCGCAATCGGCGCCTCTGCTGTTCCACGCTGGGATCTTTAACAACTCACCGCGGTAGCTGCACAGAGGAATCTCGAATAATGTCGAATCCGAAAGCATGATGAGAAATTGACAAACTACTACTGCTCCCCGGAAGCGCAGATATCGGCCGTGTCATGGACCATGCACACGTGCGTGCACCACAGGACGTCGGCGGCTCTCAATCAGGTGGACGACGAGAAAGGAGTATTGGTACGCTTTCGACTATGTGGGAGAGCATCGATTGACCAAGAAGAGTTTGAGCTCTCTGAAACACGTTCGACTGGCGGATCTGACTGTACATACACTGTCGCTGGGACATATTAACCCATGTCATGGTGACGTGATAGAGGGTCGCGACGACGACCGACCGGGTAAAGCGGCCCTCATTGCGGAACTCTTTGATCCAACAGGTTCAGCTTGTAGCGGCACAGCAAATCAACATATTGACACTGGCTGCGGTACGAGAAAGGCGCTGTGAGCTGATCACAAGTCGACATCCGACCTGAGGAACAATCTTGGTAGGCTATACGCTAACCCCAGGCAAAGCTGGAGGAGCTGGAGAAGATGTTTCTTCTCCCACAGGTGCCCTGCTAGACACTGAAGTCAAATACCCAAGCAGTGGTATTGTCGGTGTGCACTGGCAGATTCGTCCGCCCGTCAGACACCGACACCTCGATATCACCAAGGTCCAGGGGTGCCTCCATAATGCTCCACTGCGATGTTCCGGGAAACGCCATCTGGCGTACATTCAGGCTTGTTCGGCTCCCTGGAAGGCCCGTGATCGTGATGTTCCAGCTGCGGTAGGCCACCCGCGAGCCAGCCAGTACCCGCGTGGTGCCTGCGCCTGAATCCACCGTGGCGTACACATCGAATAATGCATCCGAGCTGCCCTGAGTTGCGAGGCGATTGCCGGTCATGTTGGTTGCGTAGTATTTGTAAACCTGAAATTCCGCAGCTGGGGCATAGTCAGTGGCAGTATAGTTTGCGGGATCGTCGAACTTGGTAAGAAGGTTCGCCATCAAGTCATGCAACTCGGTGTCGCCAAGCCAATTTCTGCGCAGACCGATCGCATTGTATCGTTCGAGCCGCGAGATCCACCAAGCAGCGCCAGCCGGACGCTGTTCAGCGGACGTAGCATACTCGTTGATATTGCTTGGGCGATCCGGCAACCCGTACTGGGCTAACAGAGCTGCGAGAGATTGATTGGCGTAGACAAGGTCATTGCCCGGTTCGTGCACACCGCCCTCAAGATGGTACACGTATTGGTCGGGAACGGTGTTGTTTCCCGAGACAGCCTCAAGCCAGGATGTCCACCAGGTGTTGTTGGCCATTGGCAGGTTTGTGAGCGTCGGTCCCGATATGAGAATAGAGGGATAGGACGCGTCCGCCCTGAGGGATTGTGATCCAATCAGCTGGGTCTTTCTATACCAGCAATGGTTGATCCTATGGCCTGCCCGACGTTTGCTCCAGATTTTGACGACGTCTGAGGCATAAAAGGGTCCCAATGGCGGAATCGGTGTTAAGGGCGACTTACCGAATGAGTCTGTGCGTGCGCACGTAAAGCTCAAGCCACTGGGCCTGCGGACGTTTCCAGAAAAAGTCAGATCCGGCTCGTTCCAGATGTCCGAGACAACGCTGTCCAGAGCATTGTTGGCGTCCATATCGGCCAGCAACTGTGTCACAAAGCGGTCGTAGTCTGACAAGTCACCGCCGTCGCCGGGCCAGACCGTACTCGAATTCGCATGATCCGTAACCCAGATATCATGCAGGAGCAGGATGAAACTGGCGTTGTATTTTCGACAAGTATTGTAGTTCAACAACGTCGACGCCAGGCGACCGCGATGTTCCTCAATTCCCCAGATCCAGCCACGGGCGGGAGCGTCCAGTCGAGCACCACCCGCGCGACCGTATCCGAAGTCGATGTCAGTATAGAAGCGATCGGGGATTTGACTGGGTGCGTCGGGTAATCCGTAGATGAAGCCAGAAGCCAGATGTTTTGGAGAGCCTGTGCTGTTGCTGAGGTCGACCCTTGCTGAAATGTCAAGGCCGAGAACGACGATGGCGAATGCTGCAAGAATGAGAAAAGGCTTCATATCAGAGGACGGTCATACCAAGGGATCGCGACTGCTTCCTTCTGGTGACAACTTTCACCAGAAGAGATCGGCATACATTTGATGAGTGGACTCCATCTCAAGACCTTCCTGTGACATGAATGTACAACACCGAGCTTACTCACCATGGTAGAGACTGACGGTAACAGCTACAACTAGTCTTCTCGGCTCACCGCCACGACGAGCATCAAGCGCTCCGAGCATGTCCACCAAAATCGCGAGCGTTTTAAAAGCCACGTTCCCTCAGTCTACGATTCAGAACTGGCAGACATCGAGTATAGTTGACCGGTACGAATGAGGCACCACGGAGAATTCAGCTGGCACTGCCTATTGTTTTCTCGGCAAGGGACAATTCGGCCCCCAGGGAGAAGGGCTCAGTAGATATATTGCGAACACCTATCGCTGCTTTCGCTAGCTGCGATCCTCCCACACGTTCCGCTGACAGTCGGAAGTCAAAGATAGAAATGTGTCCGCGGACGTGTGGCGTCTGCGAGAATACCAGGCATAATTGCAAGAGCCTGTCAAGTGTTTGTCTCGCAATCTGAGGAAGAGGGTTCTCGGGAGTTATAAACAATTCAAAGCATCATGCTGGAGTGCAGTCAAGAAATGTGTAGGTGGTCGAATTGAGGTGACCCACGCGCTTATCACCTACGTTCTTCTGAACACTCAGGTAATATGAAGGATGTGTCGGTGGGTGAGGGTAGAGGGTGAAGAGGAAGTAATCGTGTGGAAGGTGAGTCGTACGTAGTTCGTTTTGTTTGAAAGCGGCAGGATCAGGGTGAGCTCGAAGTGAGCAGCGAGCAGTTCGACCAATTGCTTTAGCCGCCCATCTCTCACCTGTCTCTCACTTCTTCTTTGATTGGTTCTCGCCACGTCTTATCTCGACCACCCTTTCATGCTCTTGACCTCGATGTCGCCATACACAACGCCGAGCGTTGTTACGCTCGCTATCATATGCCTGACAGCTCAGTTGCCGATGTATTCGGAGAGAAAGGCTCAGTGTCAGGCCGTGGACTCTGCACCGAACCCATGTACCCGAGGTGGGTGCTGGAGATCTGATATCACAGGATCTGGATTTGAGGTCGGCAATCTGATTTACAATCCCGCGGAGAACATCAAGCGATATAAGTCTTCGAGAGAATGCCAGGTTCTTATCAGAATCCCATGTGAACAACAGCGCGAAGATATCGCAGAAAGGAGCTGTCTGATAAGCAGGCTCCACCAGGTTGGACCAGGATGCGCATGGTACAGATAAGCCATGTCCAACCACAACCGCACATTCTTCAACCCCAGACCTCAAGCCGAGAGGCTGGTGTCAATCCTGCCTCAATATAGCTGACCTTTTCTCGTTATCAGGCTCTCAGGCGTCAAGCCTTGTACGGCAGACCACGGTTGACGCTGTCCCTGCGCCTAGGGCCAGCTATTCGAGTGCTGCACAAACACCACCAATGCCGCTTTGTGATCTACCAACGCCGAGTTATCGCGGTCATCGACGCTGGATGCTGGACCGGCACTTCGATCCGATACTTGGCCTTGGGAGGCTATTGCACACCTGGCAGTCAATACTCAGATGGGTCAGAGCAGCTCATTTAATGCCTCTTTGTGCCTTCCCGCTGACGGCCAAGTGAAAGGATTGAGAGGGATCTAGACATCTGTGGGCACGAGGATAAGAGTCTCCAACATTGTCGAAGACTTCCGAGGCATGTGTCCATCGTGAGTTGACAGCGTGTGTACGCTCAGCTATTTGCATACACTTGGATTTATACACCAGGCCTCGGAGCTTCACTGATCGACTGGGGGTCCTGCTGTGAAAAGGTGAGACCCATGTTGGTGCCGTTATCAGCAAGCCTATGGCCAAATCAAGAGGGTGGCTTACATGTCCAGGACTCTGATTCGCCCACAGTCTATCGATCTCGTCGAGAGATCTGCCGCGGATATGCTGTTTCAGTAAAAGTGAAGTCTCGAAGCGAATCTATACTGCGTCCCCGGAGAAGCACAAGAACGTCATTTGTGATCTGAAGTGCTTGGAAGGGAGTCCCCCACGACCCGACAACAGACTCCCTAGCAGTATATGTACCTTTTAATGTCTCATGGTGGAATGCTTCCGTCAACCCATTCAGCATTCCTCTCGCTACACGAGGGAGCAGCTCAACAACCACAACGACACCGGGCGGATACACAAACGTCGAACCAACACGATGACTGTCGATATCGGCATGCCCTTCAGGGCCCCTGAGGTCAATCCTATCACTCGAAAAGCCCGGGCTATTCCCTTCCTAAACCCCCTTAATATGTACGGCCGGGTGTTCTTCTTCTCGTGGTTTGGCTTCTTCATTGCCTTCTGGTCATGGTATGCGTTCCCACCACTGGTAAGCAAGACCTCACGCTTATGTGTCCGTGAGCATGAGCTGACTCGCATCAGTTGCACGACACCATCCAGAAGGACCTCAAGTTGACCAAGGTCGATGTTGCGAACTCGAACATCGTTGCCCTTTGTGCCACCCTGCTCGTTCGATTGATAGCCGGGCCTTGCTGCGACCACTTCGGACCACGCTGGACGTTTACTGGATGCCTCGTCATCGGTGCCATTCCTACATTCTTGGCGGGAACCGCCTACACCAAAAGCCAGCTATTCGCTGTTCGCTTCTTCGTCGGTATTCTCGGTGGCAGCTTCGTTCCTTGTCAGGTGTGGAGCACCGGCTTCTTCGACAAAAACGTGGTTGGCACCGCCAATGCATTCACCGCTGGCTTCGGTAATTCCGGTGGTGGCGTCACCTAGTATGTGCACCTTTGCGCACCTATGCCCGCCATACTGTTAGATGACCGGATGCTGACGAACTGTATAGTTTCCTGATGCCGTCCATCTACGACTCCCTCGTTAGCGATGGGCTGACTCCCCATGTCGCTTGGCGTGTCACCTTTATTGTACCTGGCATCGTCATCCTCTTTGTGGCCGCTGGCCTGCTTCTCCTCTGCCAAGATACACCTGTTGGTAAATGGAGCGAACGCCATAACGCCGCTCAGACCAATCTAGCCGCTCATGGTGTGCAGGCTACCATTGTCGACAGACCTCAAGTTGGCATCGCAGACAAGCCCGCGTCCCTCTCTTCTGGCACGGGTAGCCCGCCTGCAGGGGAGAAAATGCAGTACGACGCGACGGGAGAGCGCAAGCAGTCTGTATTCTTCGACCACGAGGCTCAACTTAGCGAGCAACAAATGCTCGACACCGCTCGTGGTGAAATTGTCGTCAAGCCAACGATGATGCAAGTCTTCAGAGTCATGTTTGCACCACAAACCCTTGTCCAAGCGTTCTGCTACTTCTGCTCATTTGGTGCTGAGTTGGCCATTAACTCCATCCTTGGCACCTACTATCAGAAGAACTTCAAGCAACTCGGCCAAACCACCTCGGGCCAATGGGCGGCCATGTTTGGTCTCCTCAACGTGGTTACTCGGCCCCTGGGGGGCATCATCGCCGACTTGCTGTACCGGCGCTTCCCAAACGTCTGGATCAAAAAGATCTGGATCCACACCCTGGGGATCATCACCGGTGTCTTTCTTATCGTCATCGGCGTCCTCGACCCACATGATACCAGCACCATGTTCGGTCTCATTGCTGGCATGGCCATCTTCCTCGAAGCTGGCAACGGTGCCAACTTCGCATTGGTTCCGCACGTCCTCCCTCACGCCAACGGCGTAGTGTCTGGTATGACTGGTGCTACTGGAAACTTCGGTGGCATCGTCTTTGCCATCATCTTCAGGTACATGAAGACCAACTATGCCAAGTCTTTCTGGATCGTTGGTGTTATTACTATTGGGATCAACTTGGCCGTATGCTGGATTCCCCCGGTTTCCAAGAAACAGATCGGTGGTCGTTAGTTTCCCAAAGGTGGAGGTTACGAGAGCTTACAGCGTCTGATGAGAAGATTGCACGACTACCAGCGTTGTTTAGATATCTATATGGTTAGATCACCAACTTGATGTCATGTTATGGACAAGCACTGAATGCAGAGCATATTGTTTACATCTCCTCTGTCAGAGTACGCGCTTCCGGTATGCCAAATGCCATATCTTACATGGTGGCCTATTTCTCTCTTAGCCATCGATGCTCGTCCATCACCAGTTCAGCGCAGTCGGTCTTTCTGCAGGCCGTGTCCGATTCAGCCTTGGCACAAAGGATCCAAGGGTGACTCGTTGTCGTCACCACTTCTCGCTCCACCAATGCATCCATCCATTCAAAACAGCCAACCGCCGTTGCCACGCAAATACCTTGTACAGCGACATGATCGATCCATGGCCCAGGTATGAAACACGCCTTGTGCTTGGAGCAGGGCGCAACCCACCGCTCGGCTGCTGCCGAGCTGCACTCGTCGTTGGTCAATCTATGCCGTAGGGAGTCTTGTACGAGTTCCCATGCGGCAAACCATGGTTGATGGTTTCGTCATGCTGTTATGTAGGTACAGATGATTTCATCAAGCCATTGGGAATAAGTAGATCTGCTGTGCCAGATTTCGCCAATTTGCAAATGTCTCGAATTCCAATCGCCAGGATCTTGCTCGCCCCAACACGTCCCCCAACACTCACATCATTTCGCAATCCATTCGGCTGTGCTCTTACAAAACATTCCCAAGCCCGAAACATTTGTGCAACAATACGTCCCAGCATGCCGGAGCCACTCCACGCCAACGAGGTCAACACGGAGACCGACCCCTCGGTCGCGAAACAATACGACCGCGAAACACCCAAAGAGCAGCAATGGAAGGAACTGTACGAGATGATCGACGGCAAGAAGATCAGTATCCTCAGCACGTACCGTGCAGGCGTCGGACCTGTAGGCCGCTCCATGGGCGTTGCGAAACGCGTCGGACCCGACATTCTGTACCTCGCCAACAAGCATTCACGGAAGTTCTCGGACATGGAGAAGAACAAGGAAGTCCAGATTACCTTCCAAGACAGCAAGACGCAGGATTGGATCTCCATCACCGGAACTGCCACGGCCACCAGCAACGACGACCCTCGCATCCAGGAACTGTACAGTCCCGCAGTGTCGGCCTGGTTCGGCGACCTGAAAGATGGCGTGCACGATGGAACATGGAAGGACCCCCGAATGAGTCTGATTGAGGTCCAGAGCAAGTATATCGTGTATTGGAAGAAGGAAACCTCAACCCTGGGATTCATGAAAGAAGTTGGCACCGCAGCACTTACCGGCGGCGTTGCTCAGACCGGTGTGCAACGAGAACTGTCGGAAGAGGACATTAAAAAGGAGCGAGTGTGAAGTTGATGATTGACGACATTGCTACCACAGAGCGCGCCGCTTCATGTTATGATACTACATACCTTGCATCTACTCCGTCCTCCGTACCCGCAAGCGGACGAGAATATTCACGGTGTTCCATATCGGGAGGCATTTCTCCACGTGCGCACGTGGCTGGCGTAGAGCACATGATACAAACGCAGTCGACGAATTTCGCATATTCACCGCCGCTGCAGTTTAGCCAGACTCAGGGGCAGCGAAACGCCATAGAGCCCGACTGGGATTAGCGCCTTGGCAGCCGTTGAGGGCGTCACGCCTGGACCGACTGGCTGGCGATTTGCGGTGAAAAGAAAGTGAAGTGAACCCGTGGCCTCAGCTTTCATTCAGCCCTTGCAGTCCCTTCAGAACTGCGAATTGTTGTAATTCCAAGTGAACCATCGCGGAGGCTGATATCGTCTCCATCTATTTCCTCAGGTGTCTCGACTGACATTGACGATCCCAACATGTTGAAAGTGCCGTCGCGCAGCAAGTCTGGCGGCCAGCAGTCTCTCACCAAGGCGGTCATTCTGGTAAGCTTGGCACATCAGCATCACGAATTAGGACTCGACTGAGCAGTGCCAGGTCGGTGGTCCATCTCGAGGCACCCGTTTTCGACCGTTGAGTCTCGATGTCCCCAAGGTAAGTGAGTCGACAATCAATCCCGCTGCGCTGCTCCTCGCTTATCAAACTTTTGTTCCATAGCCTCTCTTCGATGTTGCCGGCCATCCCATCATCTGGCACTGCCTGAAGGCGGTGTCCAAAGTCGACGACATCAAGGAAGTCATCCTGATCGGCTACTATGAAGAGAATGTCTTCCGTGACTTCATCAAGGACTCGTCAAGAGAGTTCCCCCAGTTCAAAATCACCTATCTCCGCGAATACCAAGCGCTGGGCACAGCCGGCGGGCTCTACCACTTCCGCGACGCCATCCTCAAAGGCCGGCCGGACCGATTCTTCGTCCTCAACTCCGACGTCTGCTGCTCCTTCCCGCTGGAAGCGATGCTCAAGCTGTTCGAGGAGAAGGACGCCGAAGCCGTGATCCTGGGCACGCGCGTCAGCAACGAGGCGGCCACCAACTTCGGCTGCATCGTCTCGGACACGCACACCAAACGCGTGCTGCACTACGTCGAGAAGCCCGAGTCGCACATCTCCAACCTGATCAACTGCGGCGTGTACCTGTTCGCCACGGACGCCATCTTCCCGTCCATCAAGACGGCGATCAAGCGCAAGACGGAACGCCCGCGCATGATCAACTACCCCTCGTCGGAGAACCTGGACTCGTCCTTCATGGCCGACCCGGAAGAGGACGGCGAGCGCAACGAAGTCATGCGCCTGGAGCAGGACATCCTGCCCGAACTCGCCGACAGCAACCGCTTCTTCGTGCACGAGACCAAGGACTTCTGGCGCCAGATCAAGACGGCCGGCTCCGCCGTGCCGGCCAACGCCCTCTACCTGCAAAAGGCCTTCCAGTCGCAGTCGGACGAGATCGCCAAGCCGTCCGCGACCATCGTGCCGCCCGTCTTCATCCACCCGACCGCCCAGGTCGACCCCACCGCGAAGCTGGGCCCAAACGTCTCGGTCGGGCCCAAGGCCGTCATCGGCGCGGGCGCCCGCGTCAAGGACGCCATCGTCCTCGACGAGGCCGAGATCAAACACGACGCCTGTGTGCTCTACGCCATCATCGGCTGGAACAGTCGCGTCGGCGCGTGGGCCCGCGTCGAGGGCACGGCCACCCCGATCACCAGCCACAACACCACCATCATCAAGAACGGCGTCAAGGTCCAGAGCATCACCATCCTGGGCAAGGAGTGCGGCGTCGGCGACGAGGTCCGCGTCCAGAACTGCATCTGCCTACCCTACAAGGAGTTGAAGCGCGATGTCGCCAACGAGGTCATCATGTAAGTGAGGTGTGGGGTTTCGTCCTTTCGTTGGGTATGGACGATGGGTAATTCTTGCGTCGAGAGCACGAATCTTTTCCCACCCAAAAGCCAACCCCAACCCCCCCTTTAGTCAGGTGTTCTAGGCCGGAAAAGTGATAGAGAGAAAAGCAGTCCAGGCGTGCGAGACCAAGCTAAAGGCAGCAAAATTGTGTCGGGATTGTTTGCGGGCCTGCTTGCTACTTTTACTTCTACTAGCTAAGGTAGTCAATGAGGGTACGGACGGAGTGGCTCGAGCATTCCCCTTCCCGCTCCATGAATCCGACCGAGGGTGATTGCAACGCAGCTGCTGCTAAAGGCACATGATAGACCATTCAGGAGTATAAACCATCAATCGTGCAACATGCAAGAGACCACAGAGCACAGATCCCGTTCATGATCACACAGAAGAGACATCTTTCGTTAAATTGGAGACAACCTGCTCTCGCTCCCGTGTAGGGCGCAATCGTTCGGTTCTAGTCAGAGGCATCCTTCAAGAACTCAAATCTGGCGGCACAGCTTCGGCGGCCGTGCTTTCCCAGCACGCGATTCTGCCTTTCCACGTCCTTACTGCATAAGTCTTTGTCGTCCTCACCAGTCCACACGCCTTGGATATCCCGAGGCAGGAACTTGTCGCAGTCGAACGTTGCGAACTCTGCCGTTGAGATCTTCTTGCCTCCACGTTGGCGACGCAGGCGAGAAATGTGGGACCGGCGGTTACTGAGCATGATGGGTACAATGGTGCTGGCGAGCTCCCACTGGAAGGTGGTGGATTCGGCAGCTTTGAGAAGCACTTGTTCGCAGCCACGCGTGGTCAGGTAGGACTTGCGTTGCTCTTCGAACCACTTGTCCATCGGGTGCTCGTGAGTAGACAAAGGGTGTTTTTGCTCTGGAACTGATGTTGTTGAACTTCGTCCTTGTTCTGCTTGTTCTGGTTCTCGGGCTTGTTCTACTTTGCATCGTGCGTCTTGAGGCTCTGCTTCTGGGTGTTGTGCTTCCTGACGCTGTGCTGCAATCCGCTTCTCCTTCTGCAACTGTGCCTCTTCGTTTTCATCCTCTTGTTTTATGTAGTGCCCCTCGGCTTCCCCTGTTCCTTCTTGCCCCTCGATAGGCTCTTCAAATAATTCGGCACTGGAATTCGAGCGATATTGTGGATCTTCAAGTGGCAGCATGGCCCTATGGCGAGGTTCCAGCCAGGTTTCGTCTTCGATCTTGATCTCGAGTGACTCCTCCCGGTCTCCCCCTTTGGTGATGGGATGCTCGGCAGAGTCCAAAGCATTGATACTTTCATCGTCTGGAGGCATGACTGAGGCGCCAACGCCGTATGCTTCGAATCCTCCTTGCGGGTCAGGGAGCTCTGTCAGGTCGAAAACCTCGTCGTTGGTGAGTTGGTCGGACGATGCCTGCCTGCATTCACGTTGAATTGTGTCTTGTTGGGTTTGTTCTTCTTGTGCCGTCTCATAGTTTTCCGGTGTTTCTTGGGCGGTCTCAAACCCTTCCGATCTTTGCCGCTTTTTCGGCGGTACGAGGTCAGCGAAGTCAACTTCGACATCTTCGTCCGTCTCATCGAGGTCATACTCCGAGGACGACTGGACATTGGGTCCTGGTTTGTCGCTGAATAATTGCACCTTAGTAGGAGGTGAGGCTTGCCTGCCATCAGCGCCTCGAAGAAGTCTACCGCTAACGTCTTCCTCCCCATCGGACTTGTCGTCATCTTCAGCCTCTGAAACAAAAAGCCATGAAGTGCCACCCACTTGTGTCTCAAACTGTCCTGACGGCGACGTCAATGTGGGCGACGATATTAACGCAGGCAGTTTCTCGCTCTTTCTCCAGGAATCGGTGCTGACCAGTTGTGCAGGTCGTTGGCCAGACGGCCAGCCATCAGTGCTGACTGAAGAGTGTCGCTGCGTGGGTAAAAGTGTTGGCTCAGTATGCTGTCGCTTTTGCGTGTCTTCTGAGGATGTTCGGTATGACGGCCCAACAATTGAGGCTTTGGCAATGGCGCCGACTTGTGGTTGGACCGGTTGAGGATGACTCTCTGTCGACTGTTCCGCCCCCATAGCGGCCACCGCAGCCTGAGACTCCCCCTCTTGACTTCGTCCTTGAGCGCTGGAGGCAGTATCCTGACTGTTTAAATTCGACGAATTTGAGGGCTGTGTCGATTGAGATTGTGTACTTCGTCCCGCGCTTCTCTTTCTCGAGGTGTTAGACTCGGGTAGACGAGTGAAAGGAGGAGGATCAGGTTGAAATGATGGCGATCTTGTCCGGCGACGCAGTTGAGGACTGATTTGATCTGCGCCTTGCGAAGCTTCGACAATGTCAGTTGAAAGTGTCGTGTGTCTGTGGGTTGGAACATTTTGCGTAGGAGGTTGATTGTCGTCAGCCGAAATATGAGACGTGTGTGCTTCTTCACCTTCTCTTTCTCCCACTACCTCTGCACCATGGGCTTTGCCTCCCCCCTCCTTCTCCTGTCCTGCTCTTAGCATCGAGGCCCGTCGGAATCCATGCACCTTCACAAGCTTGTAGCAATCATAGCAAAGAACTCTGCCTTCTTTATCCTGCCGCCACTTGCCAGCTTCGTCAATGAAGCAGATAGCGCATTGCAACTCAGCTTGGCTTGACGCCGCATCCGATCCTCTGCGACCGCCCGTCTGACTCTCAAGCTCCCCCGAGACATCGGGATGGCCTACTCGAGATTCTTGAGACAAAAAGGGCGCAACCTTTGAGATGGCGAGCCCATTTCTCTTGCAATAGTCAGGGAGTACTTGCGTGACAAAATGACACTTCCACTCGGCAGCGGTGTGGCTATCATTTTGCTCGGCGAAATCCTCCCAAGGCGCATCGAAGTCCTCAAATTCCTTCCCTTCCACGATCGCGACAAGATCATACAGCAAGTCACTTTCCTCCTCTGTGAAGGGCTTGGAAGCGGCAGGCTGCGTTTTCGCTACAGGATCCGCTCTCATTCGATGGCTTGTGGAAGTCTCAGATTGAACGCCATCTCGCATTGCTCTCACTGAGGTAGCGGTAGCAGGAAAGGTTGTTGCGGCAGACCTTCTCGAGTGCAATGATCTCTCACTGCGCTCTTCGTGACCATCTTTGATTCGCTGAGCTTCCCCATCGTCATCCAACTCTCTCCGCCTCTTCTTCTGTGGGACAGGCCTCGACAGCTCTGCGGCTGATCCCTCTGGTTCACGAGGCTTGGGTTCGATGGCCTCGGTGACTTGTCTCTTCTGATACTGTGTATGTTTGATCCATCTGTCGCGCCAACTCTGAAAGGTATGTCTTGGGTTCACTTCTTCCAGCTGCTTGTAGATCTCATTGCCTTTCCAAGAGCCACCGCGATCCACAAACGGCTTCAACCAGTTCCAGAGGAACTGATCATCTGCGGGTGTGAAAGGAGTCCTCCCTCCCTTGGATGATGTCACACTACTGCCGATAGGTCTCGCGACTCGTGTGGGTGCGCCGATTGCATGGCTCGCTAGGTCCTCCAGTCTGCCGTCGCGGATGGACGATTCGACGTACTTGTAGGAATGTGTTCCGGGGGCATTGTTCTTCTTCGCGTGGTCGACAAGTCTCACGTCGGCCTCGGTGTCTCTGTCCACAATGACTGCGCCATTGCGCCGCGCGTTCTCGATCAGCCATCTGCGCTGTGGGATGACATGAGAGAACCAGAGCTTCTGCCCAGCAAATAAGGTCAGATCGTCGTCGTTGGCATCATGCGAGCGTGTGACACCTTGGTACACGATGTGACGAGACATCGTCGTCAGCTCCGGTGGGGTTCTCGTGGCATTTTGAACTGGCTCAGCGCATTGTTTACTGATGGACAGCCCCGCAGAAGTCGGTCGCCTTCCTGCCCTTCAGCGCCCCAGGTTTCCGAGCACGTGAGCACGTGACTGGCCTGCGCCCTTCGAATTACCTACTACGGTAGTATTGACCGAGCCCGCAGCACTGCAACGAGGTACGGAACGGCGCCCGCACTATGTCGCCCACCAAGGAAAGAAACCCATTTCGTGCCCGGCAAGGGGAACAGAAGCGGCATCCGGGCGACGAGCGATGGGGGTACTGGATCCCCTCGGGAAAAGCGAGCGGGATGCGGTAAGTTTTCGGAAGCGAGCATCGAGTTGGAATCAGCAATTGTCTCCTCTCTGATTTGCCGAGTCTGTGCGTGCATGATATCGTTCTGTCCACTTCTTCACACGTTCACTTTGATTAATTGATCCTCTGCCACTTCTCTCTCTGCCGCCCATCTGCGCAGCCCTCGTCGACCTGCTCTCGCCGTCCATCATTCACTCTCATCCCGTCGTCCACCTCAGCTCGGTGCAAAGCCATCTTCCTGAGCTTACCCCATCTTCGTTTCCCGTCTCCGATCAGATCTCACCGTACCCATCATGTCCGAAGAACTCACCTACGCCGAGGTGTCCAAGCACTCGACAAAGAAGGACCTCTACCTCGTCATCCACGACAAGGTCTACAACGCATCCACATTCGTCGACGAGCATCCGTAAGTCTCTGTCTTGCTCTGCCCTGCTCTGCCCTGCTCTGCTCATGCCACTCAATACCCCAAATCCATGCATCTTCCCCCACCGGCTGGGAGCCCCACATACAGCACGATACTCAGCACGCCCGCCGCTGGCACTCCTATGGACGCGAGGATCGGGACTTGTATCGGGACCCGTAGCGGTGCCAGTGTCATGACCAGCAGACTAACCCAGTGAGACCAATACAGGGGCGGTGAAGAAGTCCTCCTTGACGTCGGCGGCCAAGACGCAACCGAAGCATTCGAAGACGTCGGCCACTCGGACGAAGCACGAGAAATCCTCGAGGGCCTCAAAGTTGGCAGCCTGAAGCGCGGTCCTGGCGACCCAGCCCCCAAAGTCGGAGCCACCGACAAGATCGCAGCCGGTCCTGGTGGAAGGTCTGAAGCCGGCACTGGTCTCGGCATTGCCGCCTACGCTGTTCTCTTGGTCGGTGCAGCGGTCGCATATTTCGGATACACATACATGCAGAGTCAAGACAAGAAATAGACGGGGGATATAAGATCCGTTCCGCGGATCCTGACGGCGGCGGAGTCAACCGGTGCTCTCGAACACTTTGCGGCGTTCAGTTCATATCAATCTTCTCCTCGGGCCGGGCTTGGCTTGGTCTGGTCGGGCTCGATCGGCGACGCAAAGCCTACACATTGGCTCCGTACCAGTGGGACTCAAGAGACGGAAGCAGGTACTTCTTACCGGCTAGACCTGGAAGCCACGGCCCGAACGGTGTCCATTTATGGAGCGAGCAATACAGGTTCCTCCAGCAGCGGCGGCGCCGGCGGCAGCACCAGAATCAAGACTTTTCTCAAGCAGGCCCTCTTGAACGACACCGTCCAGACCCAAACCGCTGTCGTCTTGCACTTCAAAAGTCGGCCAATACAGTTTAATCCTTGTCACCCACATAGAAAGGCATTCTCAGTTCCATGTTATTCTGCCAGCCAGTTTATTAGCATTGTCCTGGCTGCATATGTGGACCGTGTTTACCAGCCCTGTCCTGACTACACATGTGAGGGCCGTGATAGCCTTGTCCTGACTACATATGTGGACCGTATTTATCAGTCCTGTCCTGACTACATGTGAGGACCGTCCCAGGATCGCACGGATGGTACCCAGGCAGAGCACAGACGTTCTCTCATGCACCTTTGCTTTCGTCGCGTATCGAAGACCTCAAACTCAAGGCCGTCCGTCTGTCCGTCCATCTATCTATCTATCTATCTATCTATCTGTCTGTCTGTCTGTCTGTCTGTCTGTCCCGATGACTTCGCTCTCCCAGTTCCCCACTTTGACACTTTCGGCATTTGGTACCGATTGGTGATACCTAGGTATACAGCATACTCGTAGTTACTCCGTACAGTAGATTGTTTGATTTATCGACCGGGTCACTTGTATTTGCGCTGGTGCAATGACCACCGTCACTTTGTGCCCTGTACTTTGTAGCCTGTACTTTGTGCCCTGTACTTTGTGCCCTGTACTTTGTGCCCTCTACTCTGAACCTTGTTACCAGACGCTGTACCCCGTATCCCTAGCACAAATACACCTATACACCTATACACCTATACACCTATACACCTATACACCTATACACCTATACACCTATACACCTATACACCCTACACACTACCGACACACCAACCCGGTCGTCCACGTACTTTGTACTGTACGACCCGAGGCGATTCGATGCCATGCCATGCCATTTGAACTCGATTCGATTCCCCAAGCCAAGCCAGGCCCAGGCTTAGGTCCAGGCTCACGCCCAGCGCCGTACGTGAGATATGTATCCGAGACACCGAGAACATGCAGCCTTCTCGAGCTCTAATGCTTTAACGCCCCGGATCTGGAGCTGGAGCTGGACAGCGACAGGGCCTAGGCTGATGGCATGGCCCGACTACAGTACGAGTATTACTGTAGATCGGACGTCAAACTGGAAATGGAATTTCCATCGATTTTACCTCAATCTCCTCGTCTCTCCCCCTCCCCACTACCTAGGTAGGCCTGCCTGCCTGCCTGCCCGCCCGCCTGCCTGCCTGCCTGCCTGACTGACTGACTGTCTGACCGCCTGACATGCCACGCCACGCCGAATGCTCCCATTTTGTGGCTGCAAAAGGGTACAAACAGTACATACGCGACCCTTTCGACCAATACTACGGAGGAATGACGCTGCGCCGTCCATTACTAAAATCCAGATCCTCGCACACACCAGGTGAAGATGCACTGCTGCGTTTCGCCGCTCGGTAAGGCGACGATGTCATTTTCATCAGTACAAGACACACACACACTTCCTTCTTCTCCGTCCCTGCGTGATCGCTTCGTGTTTTTGTCGTCCTCGTGGCCCTTTTCACCGATAATAACTCGTCGGCCGCTGGTTATACGCCTGGTACTGTCGCTGATGCTGCCCGGGGCCCGACGTGGGCGAAAATACCGGGTACGCCGAACTCTGCGCCAAGGGCGTGACTGGCCTGTGCTGCGGAGGATCCGTCCCTGGTGCTGCGCCCTGAGGAATCGGTGGTGGGCCGTGAGAAGGCGGCGGAGGAGACATGGGATTCGGCTGTGGATAGTCATAGGCTGCGGGGGCCGGTTGTGGGGGCGGCGGGTACGATGTTTGAGGAGGTTGTGACGGGGTCGGTGCTTGGCCCTGGGGCATAGGTGGGGGATACGACGGTTGAGATTGCGGCGGCGGCGCAGACGGGCCCAGGGACTGCTGATTCGAGGCTTCGTCCATCGAGTAGTTGCTGGGTGAATAGTCTTTGCCGGAGTCGTCGTGTAGTTGGAGTTGGGATATATTGGGTGGTTGAATCATTGGCGGCGCGGGTGGATAGCCGGCATATGCTTCGGAGGGATGGGATTGGCGACGAACGGGACCTGCTGCGTTCGTGGGAGGGTATGCAGGATAGCCGTCTGGCTGAGTTGGCGGAGGAGGCTGATGATTGAGATTACTCGGCGTGTGGCTCTGTGGGGGTGGGCTGGAGACAGGATACGGCGGCTGGTATCCTAACTGAGGTTGCGGGGGATTGGAAGGGTACGGAACGGCATTGTTGGGAGCCTGACCATCTATATTCCGACACATCACCTCATTTAGATCCAATTCTGCGGCGCTCCAGGAGCGGCGGTGCCAAACTCACCAGGCGTGTAGAATCTCTGAGGCGGATAGCCTGCCGCTCCTACTGGAGGCTGACCAGGCGGAGGGCCACCACCTGCTCCAGGCCCGTACCCGTACGGTGCTGGGCTGGGTCTCCCATATTGCGCGGCGGATTGCGCCATGGACGTTTCGAGGAGGGCTTCGTAGTCGCGGCGGGCCTTGATGAACTTCTCGTTGAGTTGCTGGAAGTCGTCTGACAGACAAGGTCAGTCACTCGCGTGCTCCATAACGCTCTATGTGCAAGCCGGCCTCACCTTTCTTCTGCGTGTACTTGCCGATCAAGTCGATCAACTTTGGCCTGATCGCCAACGTGCTCTGATACAGCTCGGTAATCTCCTCGTTATCCCGCACATTCATGTCCCCCGTACTCGTGCTCAGCAGCGCGAGCAATTTCTCCACGTTCTTGATCTGTCCGAACACTTCGGCCTCCATCTGCGCCTCTCTCTGTAGCTCTTCTGGTGTGGGATCTTGGAGTTTTTCGACGTAGTTCAGAGGAAAGATACCCGTCTGGCCACGCAGCGAGCCCTTCCACCAGTCTTTGTACACGGATTCTAGCACGGCGATGACGTCGCCTTTGCGGAATTGGAGCTCGCCCGGCTCCGACGGCTGGAAGTCGAAGAGCGCTCGTACTCGGGACACTGTCGCAGCTGTGGTGCCGGAGGGGACGGGCTGAGGAACTGTCTGCTGCGGCACACCGCCGGGTGTCTGTGCCGCCAGTTCTGCCGGTGCGTCCGATGGCTGGCTGGAGGGACCAGCGGCCGACTTGTCTTGGATGGACAGCTTGAGGGCCATCTGGAGCTCTTCCTCTTCTCGCCTTCTGTCATAGTCTGTGATTGCGCTCTTCACCGGTGCCTGCGGTGGTTGGAGACTGGGATCTGTGAACCACGCCGTCAGCCCGAGTGAATACCGGCTGTAACAATGGCAGACTCACTCTGCGCCTTCAACCTCATGTACGCCTGCTCCATGATGCCCAGTTCCGTATTGCTCGCAAACATCTTTGTCCACTCCTCCATCCTCTCTAGAATCTTGGATTTGACTTGTTGATGGGTGTTCTACTTTTCCGTCAGCATACCATTCTTCTCACCCACCCAACACCGTCAGAGAATAAGCCGACATGCGACGAGCGTATCTACCGAGAACCGCAACGGCCAAACATACCCGATCGTTCGCCAGCCTCAACAGCGCATCTGTAAAACTGCGACTCGCCAATTCCCTGTGCATGCTGATCCCACAATTCTGGCTCAGGGCATTGGCCAGCTCGAGCGTGTAGAGTTGGACATTCGCATTGCGATGTGCGAGTCGCTTGATCATGGCGGCCACGACGTCTTTGCTGCCGCTCTCACTGGACGATACCCGATCGCAGACATCGAGGATGTACTCCCAGTTCTCCGAGGTCAGGTTTTCGTCGGTAGCTTTGGCTGTATGCGCGCGCAGAAGTCACCGTTAGCGGGCTTGCTTGGTCGAGCGAGGTCCACGCAGGCTGGGTCATGGGGGAGCTTACCAACGACATCGTCGAATACATTCTGCTGGGTCCGAAACATGACGGTCGCGCTTCCGATGGAGGATGTTGTAGACAGTAGAGAGTGAGTCCGTGATCAAGTCGGAGAGCAGGAACGGTGCGAATGACCGTCGACTAACTGATCTGCCTTGGAGCACGAGATACTTGGGCGCAGCCTGGTCTGTCCAGCCTTCGAATGACGCAGCACGAAGTGGCGGTTGAACGTGAAGCTCAGATTCCCGTGCTGCACAGCCACATGACTTTCATATGAGTCAAAACGGGCAACGCCGCCGAAGCACACAGTACGAGTACATACCACGCACACAAATCGTTCCATAGCTCATTGATTTCGAGGAGCTGTCTCGTTTACATGGCTCATTTGCTTGCCTTTCCGCCTTGGTGTTACACGTTCCAAGGTGAAACTCGTAGCTCATCTCAGCACTTTTGACCCTCTAGATCTTGTCTCGGGCTCTTGTCGCCTCGAGACCGCTCATGGCACCCTCGCCCAGGCGCCTATCCCAGCAACTCCATTGCCATTTCGTGTGCATCGTAACATTTTCGAGGTCGTGAAGGAAGCGGTAAACCGGGAGCTCGCGGAGAATGTTGGACAAGAAGAAAAACAGGCCAGTTGAGCCCGTCTCGAATCAACGGCTCTTGGTGAGGAAGGCCCGATCGTTGTGCTTGTAATCGTCGCCGCTTGAGACTCGTGTCCGGCCGTCTAATTGTGCACCATTCTCGGCGCGTTTGACGCGCGAATACCACCTCGCCGATCAATCGACAGCTTGAATCGTTTAACATGCGATCGTACTGTCCAAAATACGCCCCCGTCGGAAGAGATCCACCTTATCGTACCCTCGCTGCAATAATTGTACAGGTAGTCAATCACGACAGTCGTCAATTGCCTCTATTGGCCTTTTCCGCAGCTCTGCTTTCTTTGGCTGATTGTACCAGGGGCGCCAAACTGGTAAGCGGCGCACAATTATGCATGAACGGATGCTGCATTGTTTGTCAGACAGCGATCTGGGAGCAAAGCGGTCGCCAAACTTACATGTAGCAGGTCATGGGCACTGGCTCGTTTCTCAGGCTCGACTTTCAAGGCAAAATGGAGAAAGTCTCGGAAAACAGGCGACAGTGCTTGTTCGTCTTTGATGCGCGGGGTCCCGTATTTGGCGATCAAGTACAATGCCCGCAGTGGTGACTCGGTAAGGTACGGCGGTTCCCCTTCGATCATTTCGATGGCCATGATGCCTAAACTCCAGATGTCGACCTTGCGCCCGTATTCTTTCCGCGTCACAACTTCGGGGGCCATCCAGTATGGGGTTCCCACCATGGTCGTGCGTTTGTTGTGCGAATCGTTGATCTGCGCACAGAAGCCGAAATCGGTGAGTTTGATGTCCCCTCTTTCCGACAGAAGGATGTTGTCAGACTTGATATCTCGGTGTATCACGTTCTTCGAATGAAGATGCTGTAAGCCGAAGAGGGTCTAAGACAGTCAGCTGTGCTTCAGCCCACATTGCCCGGAGCGCACTCACCTCTCGACACACTGCAGCGATTTGTCCTTCGCTCATGACATTGAATGTCACAACATCTGTAAGAGACCCACCCTGCATGTATTCCATCACAACCCACAGGTCTCCATCGTGCAGGTAGCTGTCGATAAAGTTGACGATATTCTTATGTTGGCTGCCCTTCATCACCACGATCTCGTTGATGATCAAGTCTTTCTTTGGCTGCTGTTCCAGGTTCATCTGCTTGATTGCAACGCATCTCTTCGACCCGACTTCATAAGCGGTGAAAACACCACCCGAAGCACCTTGTCCAATCTTGTTGAGATTGCTGTACTTCGTGGTAGGGTCACCCGGGCTGCAGATTGCGCGTAACCTTGCCGTCACGTCCACTATGTTACTTTGTTGCCGTTTCTGTCGGGGTCGGGGCACGGCAGCCACCTGTGGAGCGCTGTCCAAGGCTGGGGCCGCTGTCACTGCAGCAAATTGTGTCTGTGGCACATTCGGGCTGTATTGCTGAGGTAGAATCTTTGGTGGCACCTCCGGTGCGCCTGGTGCAACTTGACGCTGGCTTCTGCTCCGGTCCAATTGCTTGCTTTGAATCGCTTGTTGTGCCAGCAGCATCGCATGCTCCTGTTGTTGCTGGTATTGGATTGGAGATTGGATCGCCTGTTGTGGGCGTGGAGGTGTCGTACTAGGACCCTTTGAATTGGAGCGACTCGGCGCTGTTGGTTCTTCTTGCGAGGCTTGTGGTGTGTTCGGCTGGGACACTGGTGCTGGCGGAGGTCTTGACTGTTCCAGAGGCGGCCGTAACGGCAGGTCTCTGCTGACTGGAGGCGGCGGCGCAGGCCGTGTGGGTGCCAGATCTCGCAGGCTCTGCGCAGGCGCTTTGGGTGCAGGCCGGTTCGGCATCATGATTGTTGGTGATTGGCCTTGCTTCAGGCTGGGCATTGTGTTCGCAGGGGGGCCTGTTGGAATGGGCGGCGGTGCTCGAGGATTTTCGAAACTGCCTTCATGATTTTGTGGAAACCGAGGGCTTGCCGGTGGTGAAATCACACCGGCCATGGGCGAGTATTGGGCAGGACTAGACCCAATGTTGGGCGTGCCTGGGCTCCGATAACCGCTGTTGCTACTCTGTGGAGAGTCGGAAAGCTTCGCGTGGTCGAACTTCTGCCAAACCCCGTCGTCGTTGCCACCCAAGTTGTTCTTGTATGTCTCCACGATGTTCATCATCATCTGCGGGTTCTGGTCTTGCTCAACCTTGGTGATGCCACTGTCGGACAGGATCCTCTGCCAGTCCGCAGGTAGTCCCTGTGTAAAGAATGCGTTAGCTATCAGGCCGGGAGGAGTGCTGCACAAAGCAAGCCATAATCACCAGGCCACTGCACCACTTACCGTAAACTGCCCCGTCTGATTGTCATAGCCAACGTGTATCATGTGCATGGGATTCTCAGGAGCAGAAATCTTGATGGTTCTCGGAGAGCCCAGCATGTTATTGACGAAGCTGGAGAAGCCACTCTTCTTGCGAAACGGCCCGGCAGGTTTGATGTGGCCATCGCCCGAAAATCGTTTGGGACTGAGCGTGCCATTCTCTGATTTGGGGGGAGTGACTTCCATCATGCCCACGGCTCCAGGACCGAAGGTCTGTGAGTTGCGGAGCGGATGAGATCTAAGATCGGGACTGGTGTAAGTGTGGGTCAACGGCGCAGGGAATGGCGACGAGCCACCCCCATGTTGCTTCTCGTTCATGCTGGAGGCTTGGAAGGAGGACAGCAGACCTGAGGCGTCGAATGGCGCACCGATCAGGTCGTTGTGACGGTCATCTGAGGTCTGCGGCGTGAGGGGCGTGTGCTGCGGCAGTTGGTAGCTGTTGGCGGAGGCAGCGAAGAGGTTGGTAGAGGAGACGACGGGCGAGGGCGCACCGCTAATGTGTTCGAGGGAAGAATTGGATGAGCCGTACGCGTTGGATTGGGATCGGTGGTGGAAATCGCGGGTTGACTGGGAGGCGTCGTGACTGCGCTGATATGGAGACGGCGCTGATGGCGCTCGCTGGAGTGCCGCAGCCGAATGGTGCCTGGCGAGCGATCCTTTGGAGGGGTACGCAGAAGGCGGAGGATTCTTGGTCAGAGTGTTGCGTCGTCGCTTGGAAGATGAGAAGGTGGTCAAGTTGGATGTGGCCGAGTTGTAAATGTCGTGGTCCATGGTCAGTCTGGCAGGTACAGTTTGCCAGAGACGTGCCGTGCTGCGCTGCGCTGTGCTGTGCTGTGCTGTGCTGTGTAGTGCAGTGCAGGTGCCAGTTGGACGAAGCAAGTATGGCACGGGCAGGGAAAAGCGGGCAGCGAGACACTGCACTAAACCAGGCCCGGGGTCCAGCTTGCAACCTTTAACTAAAATGCTCCGGACAGCGGGTAGCGAGGAGTCAGAGGGGCGCTTAATCAGAACAAGGCCAAGCGACAACCGCGCCCTGACCAGTGTCCAGTCCGAGATGGAGGTGACTGGCTGTTAATTAGGCAGCGCGAAGGGGACCGAGAGAGTGACAATCCACGGATAGACACAGTGTGGGCGACGGGCGTGTGTTTCTATGCTGGCTTCTAAGTGCCACGCCCATGAGCGCAGCTACTGCAGCACACAGCGGTAAAACGCGCGCATCGAACTCCGGCGGCCCAACGACAAGGCTCGACGACCATGGAGCGACCTGTTCACATGGAGGGAATTATATTTAGCTTCCAGTCGTAGTCTTTCAACTTGTCCGTACTTCAGCGCTAACAGGTTTCCTCACCAAGCAGACTGTGAACCATTTGTCGCTTGGTGTTTGAGCAGCCATCATGAGAAAAACACCGTCATGGGCAAACCAGACAACTGTTGAGCATCCTATCGCCTGGATCCTTGTAAGGGCAGCGGTCAAGCCGGCCGATCAAGCCCAGAAAAACCAGGCGGTGGCTTTCTCATCTCATGCCACATGCTTGACTGGCGTGACTGGTTACGAGTACTCCGTAGTTAGCACTGATAGCACTGGCAACGCTGGCTTTCAACGGCCTTCTGCAGCCCACTTCGACCACAGTCAGCAACAGCATTCTGAGAAGCGCGTCACTGTCATCATACGTATCACGTCCTTGTCCGTCGCGCAATCTCTTCTGCTTGTCGCCAGCCCTGGTTCAATCTCGTCGCCCCCCACCTCTGTGCATATTCAATAGCACTAGCACGCCACGGCCACAATCGATAACGCAGCGTCCTTTGCTTTTATCGATACATTTCCGGGCGATCTCTGGCTGATCCTGACGGGAACTCACTCTTTTCAGCGAAGAGACGCCACTCACTTCCACTCTGGTGCCCGCCACGTGGTTCTAAAACAACAGGAAAGACTGTTATTGAATGGGCCGAGTTCCCGATTCTGCTTCAAAGCCTTTGATCAACAAGAATATTGCTCGACCCGGAGGTTGCGGTTGGCAGACCACTAGCAAGCCAGGCGTGGTTATTGCTGCCACAGCGCGCCACCCCACACATTTACTGGGTATCCTGAAACAGACCCAGCAGCCGTCACAGAATAGTCAAGCCCGAAGCCACTCGTGGCCTGTGCCCAGCAGTCATGTTGAGGCTGCATATCCGGAGCGTTTGAGACGCGCATCCGCTGCAAGGTAAATTTCGATGGTTGGGTGTCGCATTTTCCCTTCCCAGGGTGTCCCCGAGCAAAATGCTGATGTGTCGTGGCCCAGAGGAGAAAAATTCCCACTCGTCGGGCTCTTCATTCGCCCTGCAATCTGCCATTCTGCGGCCCGCTCCTGAACTGAATTGCGAGGTCAACACTTGCTGCTGCAGACCCAATCGTGGATTGAAGGCATACCAGAGGTAGGCGTGGTTGAACTTGATCCCACTGTCGACACGTCCATGTGCTGTCGTGGCCACGGAGACTGGTGGCGTAAGTACATAATCGTACTCCTACTCCGGCCACATTGCGTGGCCCGGATTTCAGTCCCATCCACCTGTCCCGTATACGAGGCAGGAGCCGAGATCGATGCCATCCTCAATCGCGGAACTCGTTAGCGGTTCCGGAAGCTGAATGATATGCTACCAACTGCCTCCCGCACGTGAGGGAGTTTCCGAGTCACTACGGTTGTGTGGTTCCGTCCGAGGTCGATGCGCATCGTTTGGGCCGGTGAGGAGTAATGACGAGGCACGAGAAACAAGAGGGCCCGATGGAAGATCGAATGCCAGGGACTTGCCTCGACGGCTACCGACCAAATTCTTATTGATATGACAACAACACCAGCCGGAACAGGTAGCACAAGTGGCCAGGATCAAAGTGAAGACAAGAAATCATACAATCTTAACCAGAGATCAAAGTCAGCGCAATGAAGAGTGAAGTGTTGGGTTTGCATAAGTGAACAGTATACGACTCTCACGCCAGGCCTTCCAAGCTCACGTCGATCGCACCCGCTCATCTCTCGAGCGCGACAATTTCTGCAGGCCTCGTTTGGACAGCTGGTCTCGAAGTGTACCTTCGGCTTCGGTCGATAAAATCAGACCTATTCCCGTTACAAGAGGCATGATTCCCGCAGTTGCCAGCGCGGCGGGTCTCGCAGGAAGCAATCCATTCGACTTCGCTTTAAGCATCTCTGTGGCATTTTGTGTAGACCTGCTGCCCAAGTTTGCCTGCGTCGCAGTTCGTTGAGCCAAGATGCGCGCAGCTTGTGTTGGAAACCAGACCCGACTGCCCAGCACGATTGTCCAGGTCAGTAGCGCGAGACTGCCCGCCTGATGCGCGCTTGCCAGCCCCGTAGGCACCAAATACAGCAGTGTAGTAATGCCCAAGGTGACCTGCAAGAAGACGAAGCCGACAACTCCGTGGACACCTCGTTGCGCCGCCCGAGGAAGAACTTTCTGCATAGCGCCGGAGCGTGCGAAAGCCCACAGAGCCATGACTGCTGTGAATGTGGTGGTTGCGAGAATCCGATGGTCGAGCTGAACGAGGCTGGGGTTCTCGAGCATGTTGCGCCACCAAAGATCGCTGTTATCAGCTGCACGGCTGTAGAATTTGTCCCAGAGCTCGGTCTTTGGCGGCGTAAGTCCTAAGCCCATATATGGGAACTCGTTGTAGATCAAGCCTGCATCTAGACCAGCCACCAGCCCCCCAGACATTGCGGTGATGAAGACTAGACCGGCAAGGACGGCAACGTAGCGCTTGAAAGGCCTCAGCGCGGGATTCTTCAGAGCATTCAGGGTCGCGTTCGCTGTGTCAGGAGTCGCACGCAGGATCTTGTTCGTCCGCAAGATGTCGAGACCGTTCCAGAACATGGCGAGATAACAAATAAAGGCCGCACCCAAATGCGCGGTCAATCTGTACTGCGACACACGTGGGTGCGAACCTGGAGCGAAAAGGTCGTCCTTCAGGCCGGACTTGACCATCCACCAGCCGATAAAGCCCTGGAACCCGATCAATCCAGCTATACCGAGCAGTCTGACGGCCATAGATCTGGAGACCTGCCTCCTCGCAATAAAGAAAGCCGCGGGTAGCACAAAGGAGAGGCCAACAAAGCGGCCCCAGATGCGATGGATCCATTCCATCCAGTAGATAGACTTGAACTCGTCGAGCGTCATGCGTGAGTTGAGCATCTTGAACTCCGGACTGGAGCGGTATTTGGCGAATTCGGACTCCCAGTCTGCCTCAGACATGGGGGGTAGAGAGCCGGTGACTGGTTTCCACTCGGTGATGCTCAGGCTGGTGGCTTGGGTCAGCAAGCTCTGTGTGTTTCGAAAAGACCGAGACCACGGGAGATACGAACCCAGACTCTGTAAGTCTTGTAAGACCTCCAAATACCACGATCCCAAAGACACTGGCCGCACTCCCTAGCAGCCAGTAGGCCACCGTGTTCGATGATGCGTCTGGGAAAAAGGATTCTTTGCTCTTCGTCTCGTCCCCGTGCTTTCCACTACCCTGATTCTCTGCATTCGCACGATCACTCGCCTCCGAAGTGGTTGTTCTCCTGGCTCTTGTAGATTGGGTAAATGCCCGGAAGTATTGGGCTGGAAAAGGGGGTCGCGTGTAGTGACTGGACGGAGAGCATAGCTTCGTAGTAGAGAGGTATCTCGTGGGCTTCGTCGGTGATGTGCTGGGTCTTCGAGCTTGTTCATTGAGTATTGATTGTCCCTTCGCGATGCTATTTTGCGAGGCGTGCCGTCGGCTGCTGCATTCGAAGAAGCGTCTTGACAAGCCAGGCGCGGCGTCTCGCAGAGCTCTGGAGAAGCCACTTGCTGGCAGCATCGTGCTTCATGGGAATTGCAAACTGGCAGCAGATGCAGACGCAGACGCAGCGCAGCCGTGGCTCAGGGTCAGGTACTGTACACAACTAAGTATCATATGGATGAGGGTACACTAGAAATTGGCCAATCACAGAGCTCAGGTGTCGCGACTTGACGGATTCGACATGTTACTGAGTACAAGGTAGCACTGACGGGACCCACGGTCAGACCACCCCGATTCACTGGACTGTGTAACACTGAATTCTACGAGTACGGCTGCGAAATACCAGGGGTTGAAGCAAGGTAATGTGACATTCTTGCTACAGAATCTAGCCAATATCAACCGTCATTACTGTTTCGTCACCAAGAGCGCAGAAGTCGCTTTAAAATTTATTTAACCCAGATCGACTAGCTCAGTAATGATCCAGGATGTCGTCCGTGTCCCGACTCTCCCGTCTGTATGGTACTGGGCCTCCTCGTGGGCCATTTGGAAGACCTTGTGGTTGTTGTCCAAAAGGTGTATATGATCTCACGGGCTCGGTGACGCTACGAATAGTAGCACTTGGGGGGATTGAGGACGATGCCGGTGTCATCGATCGTCCTGCAGCGTATGGAATGTAGCCAGAAGACTGTGAAGTTTGTAATCGTGGTAAAGTGGGACCGCCACTCGGGGTTATTGACCTCGCAGGAGGCACACCTGCGGGTGTGAATGATCTTTCCGGAGGTCTTTGGGTGGGAGTTTGTGAGCGAAATTGCGGTCCGGGTAGCGGTGACATTCGGCCTTGTTCTTCAGAAATGCGTGGGAACGTCGGGCCGACTGCGACAGCTGGGGTGCGACGGCCAGCTCCGTCGATCGGACTATCAAGAATTGGTCCTGCCCGTGATGGCTGCTCATCGGAGGGGGTCAAACTTCGATCCACTGGGTATGGGAGAGCGCTGTTCTTGTCGGACGGCTGTCTGAAGCGTCCACTATTGGAGTTACTCGTACCCGGACGTGGAAGAGGGTCCATCTGATACGATCCAGGGCCGTTCCTGTCTCCCTGCGCCGTCCCTGGCCGAGGAAGGGCGGGACTGAAAGAGCGGAGAGGTGGTTGTGACAGGTTCGTGACACTCCGATTTGCCGGTCTTCCATACCAACCGCCGTTGAATTCGGACCCGGGCGTTTGGACTCGATCTGGTGTTAAACCCATCTCTTCTGCGTTGCCCATTAAGGGCGCATCTGATTTGTAGCTTGACCAGGATGCTGCAGATCCATGTGTCACAGTCCGTGACGGCATAGGCGGGCGTGGTGCAATGCTAGGCAAAGTCGGCAGAGTGGGAACGGGATCGTCACTGTTCCTGCTTGTGGCTGGACGCGATGTGTACTCCGGAAGTGTGGTCATCGTCGTCGTCCTCGACAAAGTTGGAAGGGAGCCAACTTCGCCAAGGTCGGGAAGGGTGGGTTGCTTCTTCATGTCCGACAATGTTCCTTCACGGCCAGCTCGGGCCTCTTCCCGCGCACGAAGGGCATTTTCTTTCTTCAGTGCTTTGTCAACCTTAATCCTCACGACTCTCTCCATCCTCTTGTTGATCTTGTTACGGCAGTACCCTGTCAGACCTCCATCCTCAGTCGGAATGTGATGCCAGAGAAAGACGAGATATAGGACGACCGAGATGATCAGACTGATGACCGAGATGACCCAGATCACAAGGGTCCATAACATGCCGAAGAGGATAACGGCCTGCAGATGGTTGGAATCGGCCAAGATTCCCACGTTGACAAAAAATTGTACCACTGGTGAGTGGCCATCCGAAGGTGCATGTTCGCCCTCTGGGACCAGTTTCAGTCTCAGAACTGAGTACAAGGTGATAGCGTTCACGACCTGTCGCGGTCCTTCGGCGAAGACGATCCTAAGCCAAGCCTCGAAAGAGAAATAAGTGAACAGGGCAACGTAGTCAGCGCCCTTCCGACTCTTGGTCAACTCGGCGAAAACTAGAAATCGTTTCCACCCTCTTGCCTTTCCCCACCGGATGGATTGTACGCGGACAGCCAAAGGGTCCAGATAGCTTTTAGCCACCCCTCCTTGGCGCATGACCCGAATCGCCCTCACCCATCGATAGACGAGTAGAATGAACGACAGAATGATACAGCCAGCAAAGATCCATCGTGAGACGTTCAACGGGATCTCGGGCTTGATCTGGCCGGCCCATTTGTCGAAGGCGAGAAGGTTGATTGCCGTAAAGGTGTCGACGGCGTAGACAGATAACGAGACGATAAGCATAACCATGAGGTAGCCATAGGCGAAGGGTGTCCAGCACGACGAGGATTTGAAATCGTCAAGATTCTGCAATACGTGTCAGTCTAACTTCACCACTCCCCGCGGGAAGAGCACATACAATGTAGTCCCATTTCTGTTCGGCCCTCAAGTTGCCAAACTTCTCTCTTTCTCCGCCACAACACCCCATGGCGAAGAGAAAATCCGAAGTGTGTAAGGATCGTAGAATCAGCTGCAGCCTGGCAGCCGTTTATGGAGGAGATTCGTGAAGCCCCAGAGGTAGGGGTAACTGCTTGTATTTCCGTGTGGATGTAGTAGCCCAGTGTCCGAGGGCACGGCGGCGCTGCCGCTAATCAGGTAATTTGTTGAAGAGTCCAGCTCAACCGTCTCGTGAGTCTAGAAACACGCCCCTAGCTTGAACTGAGGCTATTTCATTATTCGTTGTCGCGTGCTCCCGGTGAGGTGGCAGTGACGACTGCTTCTGCCTCTGCCAGTGCCACTGCCGGCTCCTTGTTGGCCAGCAAACACCTCTTTGCACCGTCTGGTGGTTGACGATCGAGGAGGAGGAGGCGCGTCGTCCGAGTCGAGGAAGCCCTTGGTGAGGGTTCGATGAGCCCAAAGTGGACAAAGCGTGCGCAGAACCGGGACAAGACAAGGGGTGGCAGGGAAAATAAAGAACGAACGCGGGTCTAGGGTGACCCGCAGAACAATGACGCCGAACGAGGGAGCTTGGAAAGCGAGACGTATTCTGAAGGGACCAGTAATGAGAGACTTGATACACAATGTGAATGAGTGGACGAAGTGGCTGAATAGGGAGGCTGCTGAATCGGACGACGGGGAGGGTGCGACAGATGCCTCAATGCCACCGAGACTTGAAGCTCAAACCGCGCCAAGACAGTCCGAGCTTAACCGGCTTAGCTCTGACGCTCAAGACGCCGAGCGCTGCACCCGAAACAGGCTGCGGCCAAGTGCCTGATTCTGATTCGCCCTCATAATCCTGCGCAACACCGGGATGCAGGGAACCCTCGGTGATTGTTTGGCCACGGAGAGCAGAGCTTCACGCGGCGAGTGGCCTGCAAGATACTCTGTAGAGGTCGCGACCGTAGGTTTGTGAGTATGAATCAAGGGTTGTATGGAATAACTGCTCTATGTGAATAATGCTCTCGGTCTCTCTATCTATGTTTCTCTTCTACGCGCCCTGTCCCGTCTACAAACACTGTCCCGCGCCCTCGCTTTGATCAGTTCTTCTCTTGCTCCCCGGGAAATTCCACCCGTCACCACTCGTCTAGCGAGCAGACTTGAGCGCGTGCTTGTCCTTACCGCCGATGCGGCCCTGGAAGCCCCAAGAGATCTGATGCGCAGCTGTGATCTCGACGCCGAGCTCCTCCGCAAATTGCCACACCAGACCTGGGTTCTTCTGAAAGAAGCGCCCAACCAGAGCGACGTCGAGACCTTGCTCGAGCAACTCCTGTGCGAGGGCACCGCTGGTGATAGAGCCGACCGTGCCAACTAGTAGGGATTCCCCAACTTCTTTCTTAACGGCGTTGGCAAATGGGGCTTGATAGCCTGGACCCCCGGTGATCTTTTGAGCAGGATGGGCACCGCCTGAGCTTACATCAAGGAGATCCACGCCTAAGTCGCGCAAGATGGGTGCGAACTTGACCGTCTGATCCAGTGTCCAGCTTTCGGGATACTCCTTTTGTCCACTGAGCCAGTCATCTGCGCTGATCCGGAAGAACAAGGGCATCTCCTTCGGGATTACGGCGCGGGTGGCCTCGACAGCTTCTCTGGCAAAGCGTGTTCGGTTCTCAAAAGATCCGCCATATTGGTCGTCTCGTGTATTGCTAACGGGGCTGAGGAACTCGTGGATGAGATAGCCGTGTGCTCCGTGCAGCTCAATCACGTCAAAACCAGCTTCTACGGCTCTCTTGGCAGCATCGGCAAATGCGCTCTTGATTCTTTGGATGTCCTCGATCGTGACGGCCTTGGGGCTGGGGTACGTGTCCTGGAACGCAATGGCCGAGGGTGCAAGGACTTCGTCAGGCCAGCCACCAGCCTCCTTCTGTGCAGTGTCCCCTCGGCTCAACCAGGGAGCAACAGTGCTCGCTTTGCGCCCGGCGTGACCGAGCTGGATACCGATCTTCTGGTTCTGGCTGTGAGCGAACTCGACGATTCGCTTGAGAGGGGCAATCTGTCCGTCTTCCCAGAGTCCGCTGTCTTCTGGGGTAATGCGACCCTCGGGTGTTACGGAAGTTGCTTCCACGATGGTGAGTCCGGGTCCTCGTTGGATGATGCCCCCCAGATGGGTCAGGTGCCAGTCGGTCAGGTACCCATTCTGAGCAGAGTACTGGCACATAGGCGACACGAAAATGCGGTTTTGGAATGTAGTACCGCGGATTTTGAGGGGCTGGAAGAGCTTGGGAATGGGGCTGCCATCAGACTGGGGGTCCTTAGCTGTGCCAGACGGAGGTATCTGGGCGGGGGTGTAGTAGCTGATGCCCGGCGCGCCTCTGTTCACCACAAGAGGCTTTGCGTCGTGGGAAGGGAGGGAAGCCATCGTAGCGGTAGTCTGTGATATGAGGATGGATCGAGTCCCGACCTCGAACCGATGTTGTGGTGCAAGTGATAGCTTTGGATTGGACAGAGTGTTGTGCTTCAGGACGTGTTCAGTGACAAATCTAACTGAGTGGTCGCCCTTGAGAAAAGATGTCAGGCCTGGTCAAAGAAGTCGAACATATTTATTCGTGATCTATCTTGCTCGTTCTCCAGATCGTCCAAGTCCCACAAAGCCATGCCATGCAGGTGGGAGGCAGGCTTTGAAATCAGGACAGAAAAGCTGCCAATCATCAATCAACATACATTGATCGGACATGAACAAGCACTGTCGTACGTGCCATTGTGGTTTGGCGTCACAGTCCCTCCAGTTTTCTCTCGAGTCCGCAGCGCATCCACATGGACACCGCGACGGCGGATATCACAGCCATGCCGCCTACATACCTACTAGGTATGTACTTCAGGTACGGAATAGCTCGTCCAGAACGAGCTGCTTGTGACGTAGCCCGCTTCGAACTTCTCGGGCCATCGAACAGTGAACAACACACCGCACTGTGACTGTACGACCGTGCGCGTCGTCGTACTCCTCCTTCCGCCGGATCTTTTCACTCTTGCTTTGTCAATTCCAGAGCTGCCAAGTGATCTACCAACTGCCCCTTGTGCCTCACGTAACGAGGTACAGACTGTCTACACACCTGGTGGTCTCCCTTCTACTTCGCACAATGCCGTCTAATCGCCACTGCTTCCCAACCCGAGTCGTCCGCACACCTACCTTTGTTCGAGCATCGTCCTTTTTCGGGCCCATGACAGATACAAAGCAACTCGATCTTCGTTGATTAACGCTTGTACGATTCACCAGTCATTGAGGTAAATCTCATGTTACATAAGCTCTGGTGAAGTTATTCTCCCACCTGTCTCCACTGCCCAACAAATCCTTGCCCTAAAAGTATATTGAATGAGAAACTTGGTAATAGATTGAGCGTCAGGGCAGATCGCGTCAATCGGCCAATTGCATGTTCTCCCCGACTTTCCTCGACGGGATCTAAATCGTTGAAGACAGCGACCTCGTGGAGGCACGAGCCCAAGGTTGTGTCATGGCCACGATAAAGTCCCGAGACACAGATCGTACGCGGCTTTGAGCCAAAGAGAGATATCGCTCAACTGCTCAGATATTCCCAATGACGACCATATACCTCAACTTTCCGTCCTTGCTAGACTTGATGTTGTCAGAACCGCCAATCCCATCGTCAAGCTGCATTTGGCTACTCTTCCAGCCCCAACTCTTACTGACGTCGAATTTATCGGGCGCACTCTCGTAGATGCTCAGAAGCCGACCGGCCTTGCTAGGTGAATAGATCTTGAAATATGTCCGGATTGTTGGACGGGAATCCATATAAGGTGGCATTGCGGAAACGTTGTACTTCCTGTTGGTCCGCAACAACTCTGCATCCTCTTCGTCCGAGTCAAGCAGCTGTCCTTCTGGGCCGGCAGTGGAAGTGGACAGGCGCCCAGCAACCCAAGGCGTCTTCTGCGTCGACTTCGCTGATTGTGGTCGTGGAGCCTGAGCGCCACCTTCACTCGGCTGTGGATTCGCACTATCATATTCCTGAGTAGATTCGGCCGATGTGTCTTCTTGCTCGACCGTCGACCGCCGCAGAGCGTCAACAATCTGCCAACTTCGACCTCCTCGTTCACTCTTGCGAAGAAGCATCTCCCGCTCCAGCTGCCCGATGCGCTCGTCCACATTTGCTGCCATCCACTGGTTGAGCGGATCATCAACCGGCTCCTTCTCCTTGGCCCTGTGCAGGTAAATGCCCAGTTGTTGGACTTTGGAGTTATTGACACGCTGGATATAGAGATTCCACAGGCTACCAGCATACCATACTGTGTGCGAGTAGACTCGTTTCTTCTCTTTGAGGGTACGCGGGTTTGGGAACTCTGCGGAGAATCGAAAAGGAGGATAGTAACTGAAACGTGGCGCTGAGGTTGGCGAAAACCCTCTTGACGGTGGCCGGGCACTCTCAATTGCATTGCCGCTCGTGAAATCAAGAGCCCAGGCTACGTCAGTGGGCTCAAGGCTGGCCGACAACCTGGCGGCATGAGTACTCCATTCTGCGATACTGGTCGAATTTTCGGCCACATAAGCTTCACGGGTGCCCCCCATGATACACGAAACGTCGTGACTGGGAATCCAGAATTTCCGAGGTTTCCCATTTCCATCCCACGAACCAGACTCCATATCTGCAGATATCTGGCTTACACCTGCCGGGTCGTCGTCGCGTGATTTGCCCTTGTTGTGGGCCTGGGCGTGCTCGGACTGATCCTCAGCCTCTTCGAAGTCTTCAGCTACTTCACTCAGCCCAAGCATCTCATCTGTCTCGCGAGCGTTCAGGACTTTCTGGCGAAGTTCCATGGACATCCACAAGGCGTCAGATATCACCTTCTCCGGCAGCACTGGGACTCCAAGGATGTCTTTTTGCATTCTTATCTGCTGCAGCTGTTCAAAGCGGAGATGGACATAGTGAATGCCTTCGTCGAGCAACACCAGCAAGGGTGCGATTTCTGGGGATGTGTATAAGGCAACCCAAGCCTCGTCTTTCTCAGACACATACCGATGATTTCCGGTGATGCTGTAAGGTGCATCAAACCTCACGGCGAAGAATCGGAGACTGTTGGGCTTTGTATGAAGATAGTGGCCACTGGCGGAGACAAGACCAACCTCAATTGCTTTCGCTCTCAGCCGGCGGTTCAAAAGCTTCAAGGTCAGATACCACCGTTCCCATTCACCTGGGCAGAAGAACGGGTCGCCGCCCACGATCTCCCGAATGATCTCAGCAGGTATCTCGTCCCAGTACTCGTATGGCATCTCCCACCCTTCTTTGCATAGCATGGCTTTTGCAGAAGCGAGGATCCGGTCGCCAGCTTTACCGTAATAGTTGTTGGTCACCAATTTTATGAGGCTGTGGAGGCTAGCGGGCTCCATTTGGCGCAAAATTGAATCAACGCACGAGTCCACCAGTTCGGGCATATCCAGCCAACAAGCAGTGGCGAACAAGCCGATAGCCTCATCCTCCTCCTGCGCTGGAAACTGCGTGCCGTATATTCTTTTCAGCGCCAGCTCAAATGCGTTCTTGGTAATGTTCGGATCAAGATCTTCACAAGGGATCTTCATCTCTCTCGCCGTACTCTCCGCCCAGGACCCGGAAAAGGCTGTGGAGAAATAAGGCACACGGTCGAGAAGGAGTTTGTGGAGCCTGTAGCTTTGGCCAAATGCGAAGACGGTGATATCTGAATGGCGACCTTCTCCAAAACCGTGGTGAAAGAGGTGACCCGTGAGGGTTGAAGTGTCACCTATGCTACGGCCGAAACTCGATAATGTACGAAGTTGGGAAGCTCCTCTGGACAGCGGACTGGGACTTACTCCATCGCCAGGGACAAACAGACGTGCGAGAGCAGTTGACGTATTGGCTGCTTCGGTATCAAATGTGTTTCCCGTTGAGCTCATGGTAGGATCATCAACGTCTTTCTCGGAGCCGAGTAGAGGATGTCTAGTGCTTGATGTGGCGGGCGAGCCGGCAAGGATCGTATCCGCTGCCTTTGAATTGATTCGGCGACTCCCGCCCGCATTTGTGAGAGCAGCTAGGGGACCTGAGTTACTCGAGGACACCGCGGCACTAAGGGAGGCCAGGGCAGTATTTGCAGAGATCGAGGCGGTTGGTGGGCCGGACACGAAGATTGAGCGCAAGGGAGGCTCGAACGAGGCTGATGGGAGCGGGTCCCCATAGGAGGGACTGTGAATCTGGTTCGACGATGCCGCTCTTCGTTGAGGCAGCGGCCTGGAGCTGGAGAGCGTGCTTGTTGGCTGCTGTAGTGGGGATCTGACGATGCCTGATATCGTAGGCTCAGAATACCGCGGTGGGTGAGGGGTGGAATTCGGTGTGCCTTGCTCGCTCCAGGCAGCTCTACCGGTCTCTACATTGGAAGTGGATGGTTCGTAGTTTGACAGGAGTCCATCCAAGTCGTCTCTGGTTGGGCTCCAGCCTGGGAACTGGTCTGGGTCCATGATACAGGATTGAGAGCTGCAGTTGCGAGTAGAGACTGGCTTGAACAAGCATACTGAGTCGAGTGTTGGGCAAGTTTCAGTCAGCGGTTGCTTGTGGCAGATGCATCTTGGCTACTTAGTTTATCAAAGACAGGTGCAAATCGTCTGACCACGGCAGAAGTCCGATTAGCCTGCAGGAAAAATGCTGATATGTCCAAGGGACGAGCGACTGCAGAAAGATCTGTAGCGAGGACAGGCAAATGATGGCTGGATCTGTGTAAAGGTGATCAGTCGGCTATGTGTAGAGGAGATAGTCTGAAGTTGGCAGGCTTGTGACCAGCGTTGGACACGATGGTGGCACCGATGATGGAAGGATAAGCAACGTCATTGGAGGCTAGAGGGGTGTGGCGGTGTGGCGGTTAGCACGTGTAGATGTGTGGCTGGTGGGTCGGCGGCACCGCTTTGCTTCGGGGTTACTGCGGGCTTAAAGTGATCCCTGCCGTGTTCTTTGACGCACCCTCGCTCACCCTCTTTCACCATTGCAGAACACTTTTGTTACTGCCAATAGCTCGGAGTCCTGGTGCTAGGCTGGGTTGTTGACGAGTAGCAGCATGGCAGACCTTGCTATACGGTCCAAAATCCTTTCCTCCCCTGCTCGACATGGAGGGTCCTACTACGACCGTACCGGTCCTGAACGGCGACCACCACAAATCCCCTCGAGAGCCCCTCGCGACTCGCGATCCTCAGGATATCAGTGCGGGTCATACAGCTAGGACCCCGAAAGATGCGGACGGCGTGCATGTGCAGGATCCAAACGACGGCTCATCCATCGTGGTCGAGAAGGAGATTCCGAAAGGAGCGAGGGTTACTGATGGCGCGGAAAGGTTGAACGGGGTTGAGAAGGGTCGCAATGATGTGATAACCGAATATGTGGAATCCCATGGAGCCATGGCATCGTCAGACGGCATGCCGGAGGCTCAACAGCTTAGTGCTTTGGGCACATCACTTACACCAATAGCAACTCGCAATGGGCTGAGGACGACTGAGATACACACGAGCCAGATCGTGAATGGAGCAACAACACGGTCGATGGACGAGGGGCACAAACTGTCCGATGAAAAGCTGCAGAGACCCGTGGGTTCCCTGAAATCACTTTCGCCCGGAGCTCTTGGCCTACAAGACAAATCACCAGTCTCTAACGAGGAGCCTAGCCCTCGAACTGCCATGCCGACCGGGCCCGGCGGACTTCCTGCATCCTCAAACGGAGACATCTTCACTTCCACGCCAAACATTGAGTCTCTGAGCCTAGGGTCGTCAGCGGACCCAGACGCAAGACGGCCTCGCAATTTGACGATCGAAACAGGTCACAAAGTCGTGCCCTCTGTACTCAGTCATTCAGCACGGCCTGGTCTCTCTCAACGGGCCCTATCGACTCCTGGCTCTGTGAGAACCCCTCTGTCTCCACAGAAGGGCGACAGATGTGGCTCACGGCCAACTCTTAAGATCCCAGAAACCGCGGCTAAAAGTGAGGGAGCAGGGGGAAGAAGACATTCATCTTCAGGACGGCCATTACCGTCTCCTATGCCTACATCTATTCCACTCCCGCCGTTATCAATCCCAACGTACCTTCAGCTGGAGCTATCATCCCAACGACCATCGCAACTCTACATCCACAGGTCCGCCAATAGCGAATTCCCGTACGAATCGTCTCGCGTCAAGACCGAGAGGTTGCTGAACTTTCTGGTGCTACCATTTTACCTCGAGAGAGTGCTTTGGTTCGGCACTCTGGCATGCGTTGATTCTTGGCTGTATACGTTCACCATTCTCCCCCTCCGGTTGCTAAAGTCCATTTACATCTTAGGCAAGTCATGGTGTACCAACTTCACGGGTGAAGTGCATTTCGTGTCCCGATTCGTATACAGCGGCGCTGGCCGGATGTGGCGGAGAAGGCGAAGCAGCGTTGTGCCTATGACGGCCCGAAAGCCATCAGCCCCCGATGCTGCTGAGCACAAACTGAATCAACCCGTCGCCTCTCATTCCCGCAGACCTGGGAGACAACATCAGCGAATGAAGTCTATTCCTTCAGCACTGCTGCCTGACGACAAGGCCGACATGCTGAAAGGGCTTCTCATCATCTGCACCAGCCTTGTGCTCCTCAGACTCGATGCGAGTCGGATGTACCACTGGATTCGTGGGCAAGCCGCGATCAAACTTTATGTGATCTACAACCTCCTCGAAGTCTGTGACCGCTTGTTTTCTGCTATCGGACAGGATGTGCTCGAATGCCTCTTCTCAAAAGAAGCCCTGGAGCGCAAGCCTGATGGGCATAGCAAGGTTTTGCGGCCGTTTTGGTTGTTCGTCCTGGCGCTTATCTACACTGTCATCCACTCGACCGCTCTCTTCTACCAGGTCATCACCCTCAACGTTGCCGTAAACTCTTACTCCAACGCACTCATCACGCTCCTCATGTCCAATCAGTTCGTCGAAATCAAATCCACCGTGTTCAAGAAATTCGAGAAGGAGAACCTGTTCCAGTTGACCTGCGCGGATGTGGTCGAACGCTTCCAACTCTGGCACATGCTTGTCATCATCGCGTCTCGCAACATCGTCGAAACAGGTGGCTTAAGCGCAGGACTGACGGCTTTCACGAAAACTACGACATCCTCGCCCTCCGCTCCACTGATCACCAATTCCAGCATCCCTATCACCACCGCCCTTCCCCCTCGCTCCGTCTCCTCCATTCTACCCAAATCTTTCACCTTGGTGCCCGCCGTGGTGCAGACGATAACAACGTATGCGCCGGCTGTGTCACAGGTACTTGGCCCCTTTCTCGCTGTCCTGGGCTCCGAAATGCTCGTCGACTGGCTCAAACACGCCTACATCAATAAATTCAACAATACCCGTCCCGCGATCTACGAACGATTCCTCGACGTACTAGCGAAAGACTATTACACCAACGCCTTCGGCGATCAAAACCTCACCAAGAGACTGGGCCTACCAGTCATCCCTTTATCCTGCCTCCTGATCCGAGCGAGCGTGCAGACCTACAAGATGTTCATGGCAGCGTGGATTCCGTCTTCGCCCACCAGCTCGACTAGCCTCGCAAGTATTCATGAACATTACTCGTCCTCCGCCCGTGGCGCAACGCCAATGACAACATCCACGGCCATATCACATACCCTCGACGAAATCATCGCCTTTATCCCCACCTCTCTCAAGACGTCCAGCGCGGTCACGCACATTACTACAGTCCTGCTCTTCCTGCTCTTCTTCCTAGTCCTCCTGGCGTTGAAGCTCGTGCTTGGCATGCTCCTATTATCGTTCGCGCGATCTCGCTATCGGAGCATGAAACTTCGCGAGCGCAATCCCATCTACCACGTCGATGGTGGACGTAGAGTCGGCGGCTGGGGTGTCGTCGAGGTAGACGACGACAAGAGACGATGGATCTACGACGACGATCCAGCTGGACACAAGAATCTCAAGGAACGAGAGGAGAAGGACAAGAAGAGCAAAGAGAGGGGAAACGGGGTGGAGAGCTTCGAGAAGGTCAAGCGGTATGAGATGGTGGCGAAGAGGATTTGGTAGGCAGACTGCTCGTTGAATCGTCTCATTTGAGCGTCCGCACACTTGGTCCGACCTCTCCGTCTAGAGGGCTAGCATCTAGTAGTCTACCATTTCTGCATTTGCAGAGTTCGCTTCCCAGGCTGCGTTTCTCATCGTGATGACAGGGTTTTCGATCGTGTCTCATTCTTGACAAGTCGTAATACTGCCACAAGCTTTCTGCGTGTCGCTCTTGACCGGGCGCCGCTCTCGTCTATGCACCCTCACAATGGCATGCAGCGTTCATTCGTATCCATCCAAAAGCACAAGCATCAGCTGCTCGGTCCGCACAATCATGCCCACCATTGTAGAACCTGCATTTCATCCTTCGTCCCCAGCGACCTCCCACTTGTGGTGGCTGCCGTAGTTCTTGTAACGTAAAAATAAACTGTTCAAGGCTCCGACAATGGAGCTGGAAATTCTCCAACCACAGACCCACTCGTGTCTCATATCTCTCAAAATGCCATCCAAACTCTCCTCAGGGGGCTGGTCTTGTCGCAGCCAACTCGCCGGCCACGGCACTCTTCTGATCTTCCTTCATGAAGGGGAAGGCCAAGACCTCGCGGATGCTGTAGTTGTTCGTCAGGAACATGACAATCCTGTCGATTCCCATACCCCAGCCTCCCGTGGGTGGCAAGCCATATTCCAGGGCGCGAATGAAATTCTCATCAATCAACTGTGCTTCATCGTCGCCTTGTTCTTTCTGACGGGCCTGCTCTTCGAACCGCGCGCGCTGCTCAAAGGGGTCATTCAACTCGGTGTAGGCGTTGACGATTTCCTTCTTGCACACAAACGCTTCGAAGCGTTCGCAGATGCCGGGTCGTGAGCGGTGGTATTTGGCCAGAGGGGACATGATCTGCGGGTGTCCGGTGATGAAAGTCGGGTTGATGCACTTTTCTTCTATGAATTCTCCGACCAGCTTGTCGAGCATGCGAGCGTTGGTCAGCGGCGGCGAACACTCGACGTTGCACTTCTTGAGGACGGCCTTGAGGAAGGCGCTGGTTTCGTCGGTATGAAGCTGGTCCCCGGGAGGGAACTTCTCGCCCGTCGCTTCCTCGAGGGCCGGGATCATGTCGACGCGCTTCCAGGGGCGTGACCAGTCGACTTGGTACTCCTCGCCCTCCTGGGTGGTGAAGGTTGTCTGCTGGCTGCCGTGGATCTCTTGGACAAGGCCCGAGACCAGCTCCTCTGTGCGGTTCATGACGTCGAACACGTCAGCGTAGGCTTCGTAGAACTCGCAGGTGGTAAACTCTGGATTGTGCGTCAGGTCGGCACCCTCGTTGCGGAATTGCTTGCCCAGCTCGTAGACTCGTTTGATGCCGCCGACGACAAGCATCTTGAGGTACAGCTCAGGGGCGACGCGCATGAACATGTCCTGTTTGTACTCGTTGATAAAGGTCTTGAAGGGCCTCGCTGTAGCGCCGCCAGCAATCTGGTTCATCATTGGTGTCTCCACTTCTACGAAGCCATTGGAATCGAAGTAGCGCCGGATGTATGAGACGACTCGTGCTCGAGTGATGAGGATGTTGCGAGATTTCGCATTCATCAAGAGGTCGAAATATCGTTGACGAAAGCGTGTCTCTACATTTAGCTCTCCAGAATGGAAACCGGTGGTATCGGGGAGTTGTTGTAGGCATGGAGTGAGGAGGATGACCTGGCGGGCGCAGACAGAGAGCTCGCCATCGTTTGGACGGTTCTTGGGCGCCGTACGACGAGGATAGCCGATGACACCGATAATGTCACCTCTGTGTATCAGCCCGTGGACTCTCTCAAAGTCGCCTTCAGCGTCTTGGGCTTGACACATGATCTGGACCTTGGTGTTGCCGTCGATCACATCGTAAAACACCAGCTTCGCACCTGCGGAACGCTTGACGTATACCCGGCCTGCGACTCGTATCTCGACTTCTTCTGTCTCCCCGGGCTTGAGATGGGCGTACTGCTTCTTGAACTCGTCAATCTCTATGTTGACCTCGAACTTGTGGGGATATGGGTTCGGGTCATGGCTGTTCTTGAGTCGCACGACCTCGCGACTTCTGATCTCGAAGTATTGCTGCAATCGTGTCAGTACTGGAAACTTGGGGCGCCGTGTGGAATCCTGACATTGGGGGTGAGCTCAACCTCGGCCTCCTTCTTCGCTGCCGCCTTGGGCGGTGCTGCAGCAGCCTTTTCTCTCTTCCTCTCCTCCACTTGTCTTTGCTTCTGTCTCTTCTTGAGCTCTGACTTCGATACGCGCTCTCCGGTCACCTCATCCAAGTGTAAGTTCGCCGCGTCTTGCGCAATGGACTCCGTTGCATCGGCCATGGTGTGACTCGTGGCCGTGAGACTGAGAAGATGGCAGGGCGATGGCAGAATGAAAATTATACGTCGTTGTGCGAAGAGTCACCAAATATTTTGACTCGAATTAAGACCCCACTTGAGTGCGGGGGATAATGTGACTCTTCTCGCGTGCCTGACTAGTGAATCCGTCCTCGCCGCCGTTGCCCAGTTGAGGCGTCAAAAGTGCCTCGCTTCTGTTGTTGATCCTCACTTCATATTCTCCGAGTCACGTTTCACCAGAGACCATTCCGCGCGCAGGTCTTCAATTGAGAATCAGGCTCAGCTCAGAGCAATATGGTGTGCTACCAAGGTCCTAATACCTTCTACAATCTCTAATTCCCTCCGGCCTGGCAATGGTTGTCGAGAACCCATCTCTTAAAGCATCTTCAGTGCCGTTGCACAGGACAATGCCCAAAGACCTCCCTGACACAGCCAGAATGCCCATCCACCCAAGCTATACCGCTTGTTATACTTGATGTAGCCGAAGGCGTACAGACTGCGAGCCAGCAACCATCCCAACCCCAGCGCTGCTGTTACGGTGGGATACTCCAGTCCTGCGAAGAGCATGGTAGCCATAGTTTGGGGCATGTTCTCGAGCAAGTTGGCATGCGCTCTCTGGGCGCAATTGAATTTGTAGGCATCTTGGCTCTCCTTTGCCTGTTCATGCGACGCATACGCGTTCGGATAAGGGACGTTTGCTGGTTTGCGCAGGAATGTCACCACGTTGCCTTGTATATTCGAGAGAAGCGGGATCCCTCCCAGCGCGATGAGGGCGACATAGCTATAGACACTCGGTCAGATACGTCAAGCTGCCCTGTTGCGTGCACCAAAGGGGCCACTTACCCGTAGCCGTTGGGGGTTGTGAGCGTGTAAACCATTTCTGCTTGTCCTTTGCTCGCGTCTGTGACTGAATTCAACGAGCGCGTGTCTGAACTGTGTGAAGACTGAGCTTGACGCGACTTCAACTGGGGCTTTAAGGCAACAGGCAACGTTGTTTTGAAGCTCCTTTGGGCGATTGTTGTGCCACCCAGACGCAGGCTGGCGGAGGAATCTTAGGCCGGTGGCTGTCGGACTCAGAGTCAAGCATGTACGAAGTACTCCGTACCCGAGTCGGTTTCTTCGCAACACTGGAGCGCGCGGTTGAGCCTAGAGCGTGAACCGAGCCCAATGGCGACATACTATCTCGGGAATTCAAGCATTTCTAGGTTAGGCATTGCTCTAGTTGACGGAAGCATTCAGTAATCTGAATCATGTCCCCTGCACATGTTCATGTACGGTCGCTGGTACCTGGCGCTGCGGAAGAACGTGAGAGCAAAGGACAGAAACCTTCGATGAGCGCGTTTCTGAATCACGCTTTGCCATGGAATTTCTAAGCTGGCCGCAGTTTTTGCAGTCCTTCCTTCATCAGCCCAAGCGCTGTGGGTCGTAGAAAGTCCGTTTGCTCTCAGCCAACTGTTTGTTGGATTGCCACGTTCCAAACTCCAGCGGGCCTCTAGCCCTGGTCGCGTTCAGGGCCGCGTGATTCACGCTGAGGGTTCCAAGCTTGAGCGCATCAGTATCAGCTCAGTTTCATCACTGCTTGCTGATTCCCAGCACCATGGCAATCTCGCTCTGCTTGAAAGCGACGATTCATCCGGATACATGCCTCCCTTCCGTTCCTGCGCCATGCACAAATCAACATCACCAATCATGAGAAGTCGCGGTCCAAGACGCGTCAAAGAATCGCGGAATGCGGAGGGGTATTGTACAGTGACAGGGATGATCTGCGTTCAATCACTGAACCGTCTGTGAGCAAGCGCGCAGTCATTATGTCAAGCACCTTTTGCTCACTTGAACTTCAAATGCTCCTCGTAGAACCTGAGCATAGGTCTGGGACAGTATTTGTAGACCATGTCCATGCTGATCTTGGACCGTTTGCCGTTCTTGAATAGGATGTATGCTAGTAGCTGTCTGGTCTCTTCGTCGCGCTCAATCGTCTCAACCTTGGCGACTTGGTCCTCCCAGTGATCACCCTTGGGCAACCAGGACAGGTCTGGTTCAGTCTCTTTCACATCTTTCGCGCCATTGCGCTTCTGACGCTTGGGTGCTGGAAGATCTTCAGAAGAGGCCGTTTCCCGTAGGCTCTGTTTTGATTTGCCCCTCTTCATAGGTGCCTGTGGTGCACCCCCAATCTTTTTGTGGTATGCCGCAAGGATTAGACGCGAATGTCTGTCAGGCTGACGTGTTAGTCCTGGCGCGCTTGACGATGAGGGTCGCGATCATACGGCAGAAGATGTTCTTCAGGTTCCCACGTGTTTTGCGAAGCCGGATAGCCTTGCCATTTGATGAAGTAAAGCAGCTCTCCCTTGACCCACTTGTGGTCCCGGATTGATTCGACATTGTATTCCTCCCCATCTTCATCTTCCTCGTCCTCGTCTTCTTCATCACCTTCGTGTGCTTTGGCCGTGGTCGCCTGGTCACCGCCGTCGTCTTTCGCTTGACTGGGCGCTAAATCTCCATCCTCGTCAAGCTTGTCCTCCAATTCGCCATTGAGTTGTTCTTTTACTTCGGTGTCCACGTCGATTCCTGCATCTTCGTAGACGTCGTCGATGTCGGAGCCGTCATCCCCTAACAAGCGTAAGTAGCTGAGAAGTGGTTCGAGTCTGAGCTTGGACGTACCCTCAAGTCGAGGCATTTCGCGCCGGTGCACCAAGGAACGAGTGAACGAAGAAGAAAGATACGGCTCGATGCGGCAGAAGAATGTCGTGCATCCTGAGCTTAGAGTGCGTGAAGTCGGACTCGTGCGGCTGCAATGCGATGCGACAGGATGCGATGGCTCGTTCAGAGGCCGGACACGACAGAGTAGGGCTGAATATTACGGCCACGCATAGAGCCACTAAGATATAAGTGGAGAAGATATACGGTGGAGTGCGGGACACACTCCAAAATTTTGAAGGCATACCATCGAGAAGACAGAAACTCGGACGCGCAGTCTGAGCCTCTCCTTTCTATTTGGCAGGACTCCCAGTGTAGGAAGAACGAAGGTCGCAGGTCGGAAGAAAGGCCGTGGTCCGCTGACTCTCTATTACACATTTTACTTTTCGATCATCCAACAAGACAGGCTCCGCTAAACCCACGACCACATTCGCTTTACAAGGCAGTAGACCCATTCACCCACGGGGAGTAGGAGCGGTGGAGGTTGGTGTCGGAGATCTCTGGCGTTATGGCGATGCAGCTGGACCTCTCGCAGGCTCAGATAGCCAAAGATGAGAGCGGACGACCTTTTATCATCGTTCGAGATCAAGGAAAGAAGAAACGAGCGCACGGCACGGATGCCGTCAAGCAGCACATCGTTGCAGCCCGCACAGTCGCCAACATCGTCCGAACATCCCTGGGTCCTCGAGGCCTTGATAAGATCCTCATATCCCCTGACGGCGATATTCAAATTTCCAACGATGGCCGCACAATTATGTCCGAGATGGAGTTGACACATCCAATCGCCAAACTCATGGTGGAACTTTCAAAATCACAAGACGAAGAGATTGGTGATGGCACTACGGGTGTAGTCGTCTTGGCCGCTGCTCTGCTCGACCAAGCCGCGGACCTGATCGACAAGGGAATCCACCCCATACGGATCGCGGATGGCTTCGATCAGGCGTGCGAGGTTGCTGTGGCACATCTAGACCAGATCAGCGACGAGATCACCTTCACTCGTGACAGACAAGAAAATCTGATGAAGGTTGCAAAGACGAGCCTGGGAAGTAAAATCGTCAGCAAGGCCCATGACCAGTTTGCGAAGATCGCTGTCGACGCTGTCATGTCAGTCGCCGACCTGGAACGCAAAGACGTTGACTTTGAGCTGATCAAGGTCGATGGTAAAGCTGGGGGCTCGATCGAGGACTCCCTCCTCGTCAAAGGTGTCATCGTGGACAAGGACTTTTCTCACCCACAGATGCCTAGTGAGGTGAGAGATGCGAAGCTAGCCATCCTCACATGTGCCTTCGAACCTCCGAAACCGAAGACGAAACATAAACTCGATATCTCCACTGTTGCAGAATTCCAAAAATTGCAGCAGTACGAGAGAAACAAATTCATCGAAATGATCGACATGATCAAAGCCACGGGCGCTAATCTTGTCATCTGTCAGTGGGGTTTTGATGATGAAGCAAACCATCTGCTACTTCAGAACAAGCTGCCGGCTGTACGATGGGTGGGTGGCCCCGAGATCGAGCTGATCGCTATCGCGACAAATGGCAGGATCGTGCCTCGTTTCGAGGACCTCAGCGCAGAGAAACTCGGCAAGGCTGGTGTAGTAAGAGAGATGACATTCGGCACGACGCGTGAAAAGATGCTTGTTATCGAGGAGTGTGCGAACACGCGAGCGGTCACAGTTTTCGTCAGGGGCAGTAACAAGATGATCATTGATGAGGCGAAGAGATCTCTCCACGACGCTCTCTGTGTCGTACGGAACCTGGTCAGGGACAACAGAGTCGTCTACGGTGGCGGAGCTGCTGAGATTGCGTGCTCAATAGCAGTCGAGGACGCTGCATCGAAGTCTCCGGGTTTGGAGCAATATGCTATGAGAGCCTTTGCTGATGCTCTTGATGCGATCCCGATGGCGCTTGCGGAGAACTCTGGCTTGAGTCCAATCGAGACCTTGGCCGAAGTCAAGTCACGGCAGATCAGAGAACACAACTCCAGGCTAGGTGTTGACTGCATGCAAACCGGCAACAACGGTAATTCATTCATGACGCCCAGTTCTGGACAATCACTGACAGGCGATAGATATGCGCGAAAACTTCGTGATCGATCCACTGATTGGGAAGCGCCAACAGTTGCTGCTTGCAACTCAGTTGTGCCGGATGGTAAGTCCATAGACTCTGACATTGACCGTTTCTGATCACCTCCACTCACCAATATTCACCAGGTATTGAAAATCAACAATGTGATTGTGGCCGGAAGCGACGACAATGACTTTTAGACCTGTTTCAGCGGCATGGCATCAGCATTCCTCGGAGCCATCAGAAGAGCCTGCATGAACAAAAGCTACGACCCATGTACCGATATGATACCCACCCGAAAAGGAGATAGAAGAATGAAGGATGATTGAGGTCACCAAATGTCACTGACGCTATGGTTTCCACCTTGGCCAGCGTTGTTCTGCTGTCTGTCCGGCTTGTGATTGGAAGGGCTTGTCCTTCTCACCTTGAATACCACCAATGGCACATTCAGCTAAACAAACATCTCGTCGTCCATTTCTTCTCCAGCAAGCAAAAGTCTATTTCCCACTTCGATGCTAGAGCATACTGGATGGCAGTGCTAGTCTTTGCTAACAGACGACGCCTTGGAAACACAGGGTCTTTGCGCAATCTCGTGTCACGGATGACCAAGGGCACGATGAGCCGTTCCGCAAGCCTTGCATTCTGAACGACTGACCAACACAAGACCTGACTTGATATCAAGTGGCTAAGCAGCTTGCATCGACTGGGTGGTCCGCGTGGGAGGACTGATTTGGATGGTTAAGAATTTAGTTCAAAGTCTCCCAGTAGCCGTTAACCCTACGATCTTAACCTGGCAAAATGCTTGGATTTCAGGGACGTCTAAGAGCGTACTTTAATATTCCATGTCATACCGTGCTGAGTTCATGTTGATGACGTTCCTGACGGACCTCAAGATCTGTATTATGGAGAGCCAGTTGCCCAGAATTATGTATGAGAGAATGCTCCCCAAGGAAGCGAGACTAGATGATGACGGGGCGGAGCCTTTGTTCCAGAGCTGAGCGCTAGAAGGAAAATCCAGAAAATGTTGCATCAAGACGGCTTGTCGTGCGTCGCCCGCCAGGCCTCGAGATTCCATGTTGATTGACCGGTTGTCTTGCTTTCAGGTTGCAGAAGAGCAGCAGAACGAAGAGGCTAAGAAGATATCGGCTTATTGCAGACCAAGAAAAGCCGGTTCGCTTCAGCACCACGAGCCCGAACCTGCTAGAGGGAGAATCAGGTGTGAATGATGCGTCCGCCATGAGAAAGGACAAACCAAATCTTTCCCGCCATCACAGATACTGACTTGAAAGACCTACTACTCGACCTGTGCATATGTTACCTTTAATTGGAGAGAATTGCTGACATTGACGATGAAGGCTTTCCGACCCTATCTGCGTCTTCCGCGTCATGGGAGACGAACGTTAGCCACAACCTCATGTAGTACTGACTGCTCCGTCTGCCGAAATACCAAGAAGACGATGAAGAACTCTGCCGTCTTGGTGCCCTGATGTTCAGCTACGGGGTCGTGTTTCCGCTTGCGCACCGAAAACTACTGGATGTGTCTTCGGTCAAGCAACCGAGGACGACAGGCGAATGTCATCCCCGGTTTCCGCTGCTCGCCGGCAGCAGGTAGGAGCAACGCAACAGAAGACCCATCTAGTCGACGATGAATAAGCAATGGTGCTTCGAGAGTCTCACAGCGGCGTTGCCTGTAATCCGAGAAGCCAGCACGACTCCTGACCCCTGGCTCACCGTCTTGGGCGCGCTGGCAGCCAAAAGTACTGGACTCAGAAGTTTTCTTCGCCGGCCTCACTCGGAGATTACTTACAGCAATTGGACTTATCGACTTCACGCAGCTGAAACACATCGTGCGCAAGTATCTCTTGCTCGGAAAGGTGTGCGTAACCGGCTCCTTTGAGCTGTGGATGAAGGTCACAGGGCAGCGAGCAGCCGATACGGTTTTGCAGCTCGAAACAGGGCGGCAACAAGTGATGAGCTCTCATGGCGTGGAAGAGATATACGGTTTCATTTGCGCCGGGGATCCATCTTGAACTGCTGGGGCGCTGAGCCAGCGAAGCGTCCGCTAAAGGTGGCGGTCTACGTAGCATGAAAAGAGAGCAACCTGCTGACCTCTACAATTTTGCGTCGCAGATTATCGTTCGAAGCAACAGAGGTCGATATATGGCATAAACAAACTGCTAGCCTGGGTTCCGCCCATCGCAAATGCAGAATCACTTTGTCCAACTCTTCCGTGACATGAGGCTGTGTTATCCTTGACCGCTGTGGCAACTCGGAGAACAGAGATAGGAAGGGTACTCCGTACTCCGTGAGCGTCTCAACAACATCGTCTACCTAATTCGCCTGGCTGCGAGTCGCCGAGGGAGCTGCCTTCCGTACTCATCCGTCGATGCTGCAGGAAGTGGTCTGAGGTCGACCCATACTCCGGTCGAAAGAATCACAGCCATGAAAGCACATGCGAGTGATTATTGATTAAGGTCCTCCTTGAGGTTGGGGCCGAGCCAAAATAGACGGCCGATCCGGTGAGATGGAGCCATTGGACTGGGTTCCCTGCATACGAGGTATGGAAGCATCAGGCCATTGTGTGTCACTTTCCCAAAAAGGGCCTGCGGTCGCAGATGTCGACGCCCGAGTAACAAAGCTGGGGTCCAGAAGACCCGAAGCGCCACCAAAATGTTTGATTTCCTGGGTGTTGCAGTTTTACCGCAGGGTTCTGTCAAGACATCCGGACCCGACTAGTTGGGCTGCGCGCGGCGAGCCGGGCAATCAACACATTCGACAGGTGGACAGGCGTGACAATTTGATTGGAAAGTGGAAGGGATAAATTCGCAGACGCAATCGCAGGATCGAGCCGCCGCTTCCTCCCGCGTGGATAGGGAGGCCTTGCAACGCTGTCAGATCGCATCAGCCACCGTCCAAGTATCAACTAGGGCCAGCAGTCGGTCACCGTCGTTCTTGGAGCTGTAGCGGGACCGCACGGGTGAACATGCTGAGGACGACGTGGGCTTGTTCTCTTGTATTGACCTGGTAATTTGAAAGTATTAGATAAAGAAAATAGGAGGTCAATCCCACACTCTCGGAAGCACAGAGGAAACAGTGAAGGGGGCAAAGTTTGATGGCCAGATCGAGTGGCGCCCTTGACAGTAAGAGCTATCGACTGCCCGCGGGTAACTAATCGACCCACATACTGACCGGCGCAGACTACTGGGTATACTTGAGAGGCAGTGTGTACCACGGTACGGAGTATACTGGGTAGTACTGTGCACAAGGCGTGATAGTTGCGCGTGACCAGGCTGTGGAGCTGAACGTTGTCAACCGGGAACGGCAGCTTCCGAACCGCAGATACGGCGGTCAAACAGGCGAGCGGTAGTGGCAATTATGACCCTGAATTGACATCCCACCCTCCCACCTCCCAGGCGCCAGGGGTGATGTGTGGCAGAAGCAGTCCAGCGAGACCGGAGGTTGGACTTCCACGTGGGGTGTCGAAGCAGTGTACACAGCATGCATACGTACGGAGTCCACCGGGTCTCCTCAACTGACGCTACAAGGGAGAGATGAATAGGACCTTGAACGGTTTGCATACCGAGTCTCCGTGGTCGCTGTACAGGAACGGGATGGAGGGTCGCATCGAACAGCGGAGAATAAGCAACTTCGAAGATAGCCGACGCACTGAGGATGTGTTTACCAACCCCCTGCGCCAGCGATAGGACGGCTTGACCGACTGCGATTCAGGAATGAGATGGTTTCGGGGTTAGTGATGAGGCTAGGGGAGATCTTGCTCTGAGGCGACCCCTTCACCTAGCCGCCGTGACTTGTTACACATGAGCAGCCAGTGAGTGCGGTTGAAATGGTCACGTTGACCATGTGCCGCTGTTTCGATATTTCCTGCACTGTGTACCTTACCTGGACTGGGGGCGCCGAGATTGGGAACAGATCGGACTTGGATGCAAACGTCGACAAGTCTGCACCCGGCTTTCGTTACAGTACAGTGTACTCGTACGCGGGAGGAGAACACAAAGTAAACTGCATGCTCGGACAGCTGAGAGCAGCAGAGCATCACAAGAGTCATCAGGTGGCCAACACCCAGTCATTTTTGTCATTTCCGATGATGTCACTGTAAACGAGGCAAGAGTCCAAGGTGAGTGCGAGGTGAGTGTGAGAAGACACCAAAGTGAGTCAGAAGTCAACGACGAGTCACTTCCTCGCCACAAAGCGATCGCAGTCTTGACGTTTATGTGACTCGATCTCAGATCACTGTATCTCATTACCGAGAGAGCATATTGATGCGCTGGTCGCAGCCTCATAAGACGTTGGCAGAGAGTTTTGGTGCCTCGTTCGAGTCACTTGACCTTTCCTTCGCCTCCATTCGCCCTCCCATCACTCGATCTTCATCTCCTATACTCCGTCCTCGTACCGTGTAGACTCCACCGTCACTCCGTCATCAGATTTGGAAGTCTCGCGTCTCTCATCCCAACGTCCCTATAACCGAACCTGGTCTGCCGACACTGGACGATCTTATCATCTGCGCCTGAAACCGACACGGCGCAAATCAAGGAACGGAACCTTTGTGTCTAACCATTCTGCTAGCCACTGTGCCAAGTCATCAACAAGATGTCACTTGACGATTCCAGCCTCAGTAAGCCTGCAGTTTCTTTGTTTGCGCGCTTTTGCCTTGCATTAATCCCGATTCAATCGCAATTCCACCATTCAGAGGCGGCCCCCGCGTAAACGAACCCCAAGGCGCCTCCGCGTCGAATCCGTTCCTAGCCTGGGGTGATGTACACGATATGGTTCAACCGTTGAAACACTGCCCTCCGGTCATCTGATTGCTGACTTGTTCCAATTGCTGATCGCGGCTTGCGCCCGAGTCCAGGCACCAACCACCAAGCCGACCGTGTCAGCAGCCAAAATGAGCATCAACCACAACCTGTGCATCAACAACCTGATCCTGTGAGATCGGCTCAAGCACAGCCAAGGGTATGCCGCTTCTTCAATACGAACAAAGGTATTTTTCCTCTGTCTTTTGCATTTCAATTTTCTCATTGGCTGTTGCCATGAAACGTTTCTCTCAAATGAGCCCCGGGTCGAGTATCGTCCAGGGGGACGAGCCTGATGCCTGGTCTCGCACCACAACGATAGTGCTCGTCTTGTATTCCGTACCCGCCCGTGGAATTCAATCACACATGGGCATCACCGCACGTGATGGCAACTCTGACAAATGGTGGTAGGTTGTCGAGCTGGCTCTCAATGTCCGTACAGACACGTTCAGAGCAAGGGAAAAGCCCCATCCACGGATCAGACGCCTGGCCGGCAGCAGGCCCAACACAGAGCAGACTTTTCAGTTGGAAACGAACCGCAGGCTCTTCCTCATCCAGCTAGAATCTCCGTTTCTCGACGAAGTCCGAGTCAGAAGCCGGTCTCGCAGCTCCAGCAATCCAATCCGCGTGAATTCCAGCTAGGTCAAGTGCTCAAGAGATTCAGTCCGGCCCGCAGCGAGACGCAAGACGGAACCCTCCTGACATTCTCTCTGGCTCCGTCGGATCCGGATTTCCCCTTCGAATTGCAGGGAGGACTGCGATGCAGCCTGACTGTTCCGGCCGGCTACCCGCAACATGGCAAGCCGACGATCCGAATCACCAATGCTGAGATGGCACGAGGCTTCCAGATCAATGTGGAAAATGGTTTCGACAGCCTTGTCGCGAGCTCGCCGCAGAAGACACTCTTAGCGCTGTTGAACGACTTGGACAGAAATTTAGAGAAATTCCTGACGACAGAAAAGGCACAGACCGTCAAGATCATTGCCAATGCGGACAAGAGAACTGAAGGTTCCCACCCAATACCAGAACCAACTCGGCATCGATCTCCTTCTCCGGTATCCGTTGCCCTGGTGTCCCCAACGTGGACACCGCAGCAGAAGTCTGATGCTCTGGCTAAGAGACAAGCTGATGTTCGGCAACTCGAGGCTCGCATGAGCCGGATGCCCAACTTCTCCAAATCGCCTGACGGGACAGCTTTCAATGTACCCGTACAATTACCCAAGGCAGCCAGACTCCCTTCCAGCCTTCAGTCGCTGAAAGAGGTCACTTTGTTGGTGCCAAAGCTTTACAACCTGGAGCCATGCACAGTGTTGTTGAAGGGTGTTAGTGGACCAGAAGTGGAGAAAGTCCAACTCGCCTTCGAAAGGCATGCTCGAGGTAAAAGGGACATGACCCTCATGGCACATGTCAATTATCTGACGCAAAATATGTACTCAATGGTCTCGGAGATGGCAGAGATTGCGGAGTCTTCCGAAACCCATGTCCAAACCGAGCAATCTGCCATCGAGGAGCCAAAGCCTGAAGTATTGCTGGGTAACGAATTGGAACCAAGGCGAGAATACTTAGAGGAGGAACGCCCACACGTGAAGTACATTCCTCGTCCACCGGAATGGGATCACCACGATTCAGAGGACGAAACTGAGGGGTCTTCATATGATTCAGACGACTATTCTGACGCTGATGAGTATGAAGACGAACGTGAAGATGAGGATGATGATGGAGACGATGAACAAGGCGGCGCTTCACTTCCAGCACCAGCAGTATCAACCTCAACCGACAAAGGCATTCATCTTTCCTTCCCCCATCTGGAGCTCCACAACATCGAGCTCCTAACTCTCGTCTCCCTGTCCCTTTCAGTCAAGTGTCTACGCTGCAAAACGCCCTCAGATGTCTCCAAGATCAAAGCCAGCAGTAAGGGCGAGGACGCCGGTCCCATCGCCTCTAGCACCCGCACAGAATCCTGCCCAAAATGTTCAACTTCATTCACCTTCCTTTACGTGCCCAATACACTGCACGCTAACACCATCCGCGCCGGCACGATCGAAGCGACAGGCTGCACCATCACGGACATGCTTCCGTCCGTCTTCCAACCGACTTGCTCGTCTTGCTCGACAGCATTCCCGGTCCCGCCTGGAGTGGTCTCCGTGCGCGGCGACACTCCCATCCAAGTATGCCGCTCGTGCCACGCGAAGATGACGTTCACGATCCACGAGGTCAAATTCCTGCGCGTGTCACACACGCTCGCGGCCCTGCCACTGCGTCGTCCGAGGAAAGAAAATCTAGGTATCTCCGCCGGCACCCCTCTCCCCAGCAACGGCACTTGTCCCCACTACCGCCATTCGTACCGATGGTTCCGCTTCTCTTGCTGTAATCGCGTGTACGCGTGTGATCGGTGCCACGACGCCGCCGAGGCTCACGTCAACGAACGCGCCGAAAGGATGGTGTGCGGGTGGTGTTCTCGCGAGCAGCGCTTCCGTCGTGACGACTGTGGCCTGTGTGGCAGGAGCGTGACCAGGCAGAGAAAGGTCGGTGGGTTCTGGGAAGGCGGCCAGGGCACGAGGGAGAGGCGGCTGATGAGCAGGAAAGAAAAGAGGAAATATAAGCGGCCGAGCGCAAAGGCAGGGGCTGCCGCACAGGGTACGAAGCATATCAAGAAGGATGGATGATGAGCCTCCACGGCCAAAATCGAGTGAAGCCGTCCGCGACCGGAGGAAGTAAATAGCTTGGTCTGCAAGACTTTGTCGTCGGTGGCCGTAGCAATGCCACTTGCAGAGCGAGCCAGATGATGGAACTCAATCAACCCTCTGCTTCACGCATGCGATCGGAACATCTAATGATCTATCATACGCCGCCTCTGGTCCGATATCTATTACCTTCCTTGTCTCGTCTAGTTCCTGACTGATCCGTCACATATCGCACAACAAAGCTAGAGGAACCTATACGAGTACAACTTCAAAGGGAGCAAGAGTCTACATGGCTATGAGTGAATATCAAGCAGTCTTGCTAGCACCGTGGTCAGCTCGTAGTGGACTCGCCGACAACCCCAACACCTGATGAACACTGTGATTGTCAAGATGGCAGCAGGGTACGATCAGGGTTCTCGCTCAGGTGACAACAGCTGCCCCACACAGTAGTCGGCTTCTTTGCAACTCAGCTGCGTCATGAGTACTCCGTACCAGGCACCGGGCACTGTTGGCACAGGTGTGAGACACTGTACCACAGTAGGCAGGTTAGTCGCTGCCATGCAACTGGCTTAACAAGTTCAAGTGCATCATCCTTTATGGGAAAGTATTGTTACTCTGCCAATTTCCATCACTCGTCCCTAGAGCGCTGGTGGAACGACACCGCTGTCTCAGGTCTTTCGTCGATGCTACAGTACCGCGCAATGAACGGTGCTGGGTGAAAGGCACCGGCCGGCGAGATCTCCCTAGATGGACCTTGGCGAGGAGCAATTCGTCCATCTCCACCCTTCCTTCTAGAACCTTTGGAAAGTTGCATCGACCCAATTTCTCGAGTGCATCCCAAGTCTGCGCTCTGGTCGAGTCAGCAACCGTGGCCGGAGTCTCTTCTGCTACATTGGGAACCTCTCGGCCGGGCACCACTACCCACAGCTTACTTTCCCAAGCCCGAGGGCCCCGCATTATTTCCTTAGTGAGAGTCGACGAGGCTCGAAAACCTGCCTAGGCACCGAGTACTCCGTAGTTAGAGTTGCATCCGGAGCCACGGGACATGTGACAGGAGGCAGATCACCAACCGGAATGCCACAATGAACGAGTACGAGGTACGCTTCTCGCGCGGAGCCTTTTTGACACGGCTTGCAAAGCTCCAATACTTTGTTACTGTGTCCACCCAAGCCTACGTAAAGCGTGCGCACAGGTGCAAGTGGGTGAAGGATTTGCCCCCTGCCCCGCAAATTCAAGAGTCTCTCTAGCTGCGGACACGATACCTAGTACTCCGTGCCGGGGTACTTGTGATGTACCGCCTGCGGGAGAGTTTCTGGCTTACGGACGAGCCCCGCCGCCGACAGGCATGCATGCCTCAGCCTTCCTCGAGGTCAGGTCGCGGAATGCCGGGTTGCTGGCTGGCCTTGGGGTGTTGCGATTCGTACTCCCTCGGGTGCCGTGCTCCATTATCTGTGTGTCCATCGATGATGCTTGACGAGCTGAGTCGCGGGAGATGCAACAGCAGTGTGTGGCCACAGCTTTCTAGGGGGATCGTCTCGGTACGTCATGGCTTGAGCAAGTGGACTGCTCATAGCGAGGGTGAGGGCTGCACCGCGATTACACTGCCGGTGCGAGAAGTGTACGGGGAATTCACTGTCGATCATATTTCGATGTCATAGCTGGCAAGGACACTGGCACCACTGGCACCATTGGCTTGGCCAGCAGCGAGATAGTTCAAGGCGGAGGGGAGCGAAAGCACCGCCGTGTTGAATCGAGCCCGTCTTACCCATGGCCTGGCATCCGGAAATCCTACTGATTCGTGGCGCCGGGCAAAAGCGTTCTGAGAGGGTGCGAGTAGTGTCGGTGAAAGCATGACAAGAGTGTCCATTCCTGCGATACCACGATCAGAAGCTTGTCAGTGCTACACTGTACCACAGTAGGCTGTCGTGAAGCTACGAAGGAGAACATGTCCCGCCTCGGCCTCCGCTGTAACTCGAATTCGTTCTCGAGCGGTATATGGAAAGACTGTGTTCGGTGTGTCTACGCCTGAGCCTCGGAGATTGGCAGCCCACGATGCCGTTGTGACCTTCATGCCTGAGGCATCAAGCAACCACAGGAACTTCGCCCGACACGTCTGATCCGATGGTCTCAGGAGCTGCTCCCCCCGTCGTGGTCGGTCGGGATGAAGGCTGACCTCGGCATCGGAAATCTCCCTTGGGCGCAAGACACGAATATTGGCCGGAACACAGGGTGCTCTACGACTGTCTGTCGGTTTCCATGGTGTGAGACCGACGCACTCCTCACCGCAATGTTCTGACCTCCCTCGGAAGGACTATGGCGATGGTGTAGCACACAGGGAGACTCCAGAGATCTGACGAAGATTGCGCAACCGCTGACCGACGTCGCCCCAGACATTCGATCGTCCATTCTGGCATTTGCCTCTGCCGCCTCTCTTGCCACCAATTACGAGGCCTGTTACAATATTACGATCTTGATGAAGAGATCTACGAATCATAGGGAAGTCATGTCTTTGGCATGTGGAAATGAGTCGTCATATTCGCGGGTAAGCCGAACAGCTGGGTGAGTGGTGCGCCGGCGTATTCAATGCAGGGCCCTTCCCTGTCGTCGTCGCCACACTGCTGTTAATGCATTTCGGGGTGTCGATTCCGAGAGCGACGAGGAGGCAAACACGGGACCGTTGGCTGTCAGCACGCCGTCATAATACCAGCTTGACAGACGAATAACACACTCGATACGAAAGGGAAAAGATACGTGTAACTCAGCAATATTCTAGACGCCCGGTCAATCAATAAGGCAGAGTTTGCGTGGGCGCCTCAGCTGGGCGGACACTCTCCGGTCGGGGGACGAAAGTCGCACGTTTGCCTCATGCAGATCCTGGGCAGATATTGTTCTGGAAGCAACTGGCTTTGAGATGGCCTCCGCACCACGTTGGAGTACTGTACTCAGTCCTGGGTATCTGCTGGACACGGCCTCGCGGATCGTTGCATGAAGCTTGGAGATTGGCCTTTCGCTCTCCTCGCTCCTCGCCGATTCCTGAGCCATGTCGAGGCGGGGCCAAGCTTGACAATATTCAACATGGGGACTGGACCCTACTATCGATTCGATCACCTCGACCGTACGGGAGATGTAGTTCGGAGTACCCTGGAGAAGTGGGATCCTCATTGCCCCGAGACACAGTCGCGACCCGGGTCTGTGCCATTCCCCAATCCGACCTCGTGCGACACGGTACACAGGACAAAGTACAAAGTACCTAGACTCGACCAGCCAGTGTCACGTCGAGCATTTGGAGGTCATGCACCCCACAGTGCGAGAGTGTGCGCATCAAGGCCTAGACTCCAACGGCACTCCAGACTCGGCATGTACACAGTACGAGTGACCAGAATGCCTAGGTACCCAGAGTTAAGATTCACTACGAACAGACACCACGAGTACTGTGTACACCACAGTACTTGGACCAGGGGCACAGGTTCCTTGCCGCCTGATCAGTGATCATTTCCAGAACCCCCAGACTCGCCCTCATTTTCTGGCTGTCTAGACTCTCGACTCGCCGTCATATTCTGGCTGTCTAGACTCTCGACGCGCGACTCTAGACCCCAACGTCCTCAGGCCTCCCGGGGACGTTCCAAGGCGGGACTTTCCACATTGTGGTCACTTGTGGTCCAATGCCGGTCCTCCACTATTTTCCACGTTTCTCTTCGCGTCCACCTGACCATTTGCCAGACGGTGATCGTGTCCCGTGAGGTTGCTTCTCTGCACACGATACGTCCGACTGTGATCCATCGAGGCCCAATAGCCCCGGCCTCACGAGATCGCGCGCCCTGCACGCCCCCAGGTTTCCGGCAACCGGCCAGCCGACTCGTATCCCATCGGCGGTACACCCCGGCTAATGGGGGAATACTGGATCATGGGGAATCCTCGGGACGGTATTCGTACTCTGTACCTCTGGCGCCTAGATACCTCGTAAGGAGTGTGCTGTGAGGCGAGGTACCGTGGTCCCTCGCTAGGCGACTCGCCTACACATCCCAAACACACTGTGGTGTGATCTTTGTGTTCTCGCTTGGTCGGATCGTGACCCCTTTCTACGACATGCACTCTACAGAACGATGTCCCGCGGTGAAAGAGGAAAGGACTGTCGTAGTACTCCGTACTGTTCCCTTGGCACCTGTGTTTGGGCAAAGAGCCCACTTCCGGGTGTCTGGGGCCGTATCCGATCCCTCCTGCATGCGTCCATGATCAGAAGCCAGGTATGTATACAGGACACCGTATGTACCCCATCTTGTCTGCTGTAAGCCCTCCTTGCACTCCCATCTGATCCTTCGATCGAGCTGCTGCAGCTGCAGCATCAGCATCATTGATCAACACGGTTCCTGTACATCATGCGCCGCGTTCGCGTCGCTCAAACTCTTTGCAGTGTCACCAAGATCAAAGTCGGTCAGCAGGACGCTTGGTTGCAACCAGAGCCCTTTGTCCGTCCGCGACCGCGCTTGATTCATCTCCCCGGCTTTAGCTCTGCTTACTACGGAGTACACACACTAATGACCGCTGGGCATGCTTGGATCCGTGTCCTCCGTACGAGGTGTGCCTTCTAGTCATTTAGCCGGAGCCGCGGCCTTTGACCACCTTAACCAGCAACCGGATGAAGAAGTCGCCACCCTTGGCAACGTTGTGCCAGCCTGGTATCGAATGTGTACAGTACGTACTCCGTATTTGACGATGGGATCCAATTCACGATGCGAAAGGGGAAATAACTACAATGTAGAGAGGCCACATGGCCTCACGCACCCTGATGCAAACACACGAAGCCAAACACCTTGCCGTCCGGGTGTCCTTTTCATCATGCAATTCAGGACGAGTAGCTAGTACGGGGGGCAGGGTACTCGTACTCACTGTACATAGGTACAGTACACAAGATGGAGTACTCCGTACAGAACACTGTGTTGAGTGCCGTTGGTGTTTTGTGAATCTTGGCTTGAGCAAGCCAA